GGCAAATGTGGTGGTTAATAGAGGCAATTAGTGACTATCCAGAGGCGTAATGCAGATTTAGAGTCGTAAGTCGCGCCTTGAGGCGTTTGATAAAGTGTTAGTTACCACTCCGTATGGTTCTCGAAGATATAAATGTTTTGCAAATTATCCGCCGATTAAGTGCACCCTGGATTCCAATTCCACGAAAATATCATCGGCATAAACGTGACCATTAACGAAACTAATTATGTTTCGGGATCAATGATTAATTAAGTGCCCGTCCAAAATAGTCCACAAACATTTTAACCTCGCGGCACGTAATTGCAATAAATTTAATTTATCCCAAAACGCATGTAGGTACCCACCCAATTTGAACCCGTATCACCTTAAATGCGTTTCAGGTGCATACGTGAACAGTTGTTTCAAAATAAACAATTATACCCACAGGTTGATCCAAAAGTATGACATAAGTATGGATATTTATTTATTATTTGTATGGATATGATATGAAAATATAATCCATTTAGGTCTATTTTTCTAAAATATTTTCAAAAACCAATATTAAAAGAATAGTTACCAGTGTACCAGTGATGCAACAGAAGCAAAAGCGCAAGCAGATGTCAAAATATTTTTTTGCGGATGCGGAAGTGTAGGTAATGATTTTTGTTCAATTTTTAATTCGGATATAAAAAATGCGAAGCCGGATGCAGAATCAGGTATAAAAAGGTGTGCGGAACTTCTGCAGTTGCGGAAGTAGAAGCATAGGTTATTGTGTTATTATTATTATCACTCATCAGTTTTGATGACTGTATACAGTCAATTAATAAATTTAAAGTTGGCTGTTGAAAAATTGAATAAGCACCCCACCAGCCGGGTATTTTTAACAGTGAAATTTTCATCTGTAGATGAGACCGGCGATTAAGAATATTTGTGGGATGCTGCCTAAAAATTTATTAAAATATAATCCATTTAAGTCTATTTTTCTAAAATATTTTCAAAAACCAATATTAAAAGAATAGTTACCAGTGATGCAACAGAAGTAATCTTAACAGAAGCAGAAGCGCAAGCAGATGTCAAAATATTTTTTTGCGGATGCAGAAGTGTAGGTAATGATTTTTCATCAATTTTTAATTCGGATATAAAAAATGAGAAGCCGGATGCAGAATCAGGTATAAAAAGGTGTGCGGACTTCGGCAGTTGCGGAAGTAGAAGCATAGGTTATTGTGTTATTATTATTATCACTCATCAATTTTGATGACTGCATACAGGCAATTAATAAATTTAAAGTTGGCTGTTGAAAAATTGAATTAGCACCCCACCAGCCGGGTATTTTTAACAGTGAAATTTTCATCTGTAGATGAGACCGGCGATTAAGAATGTTTGTGGGATGCTGCCTAAAAATTTATTAGGGTCGGACCGCTACTCGTGTTGGTGCGTCAATAAATTTCTTAAAATTTATGAACATAGATAAAGTGACATAATTTTTACCGTTGTTTTTTCACCGGAAAATCGTGCCGAATTTGTGCTGAGGGTGTAGTTGCCCCACTATTGATTAAAGCCAATCTATACCGTGAACGTATTCAATAGAATTCGTTAGAGCCAATTGAGGTTTGCTAGTTTCTTTCCCAAAATAATATCGGGAAGGGAAGAAATCGCAAAATTATGCGTGCGTGTGCCCTAATAATAAGTTGGGTCAACAAAAATCACAGCACTGTTTTTGAATTTTTGATTCCCTTAGTCGGAAAAAAGTCTTAATTTTATTCATCATGCGTGCAATAAAGCAAAAAGGGATGAAGGGTGGAGGTCATTTAATTAAATAAAAACAGAAAAAAGACGAAAGATAGAGGAATTTTTCCAGACAGACATCATGAAATGAATACATTAAACCATAGGGTCAAGCGGATGGCTTAGATACAAATTAAGATATTCTAATTACTGCTCCGGCAAGAACCCCGTTTCTGTAATACATTTGTGCTCCAGATAGCAGGGGATGGGCTATTTCGTAATGTTATTAATTTATCCCTAAGGATTCCTTCCCAAATGTAAGGATTTCAATTTTTAGATATGTTATTTGCTCGAATGGCGCTTAACCGATTTCGAAGCTTGTTTGTCAGCTGATATTTGTTTTGGACAGCTAGACAAAAACTTTTTGCATTCCTTAGCCACCAGAGCTGGGAGTATCTTGAAAAAAAAAGATACTTAAAAGTAGCTAAGATAGAGGAACTGGTCCGAATATGGGCCCCTATTTTGTTTTTTTTTAATAATTTGGTTATTCTTTTTTCAAATGATGTGGAAAGATGTTTACATACTATGTAGGGACGTAGTAATAAAACAACAATATTAATTTCTCTTAAAAATTACACATTTATTTATGGCAAAACAAAGAATGAAATGGTGCACATTTTTGACTTTGGGCTAGAGGGTATGGAATATGGGCCCCCTTAAAAAGTTATATAAAGAGCTCTTTCATTAGGATAAACACACAAGCACAAAATAAACAAACGTCACAAAAATAAAAAAAACACAAATATCTTACAAAACTATCCGCAAAAATCGCACACATACTCATCCTCTGCCCTAGAGCACTGCTCATGTGCCCACAGTTGACATATTAGACACTGAACCCAGAGTTCTTCCCTATTATCATCGAGGAAGTGTATGTCACAGAATAAGCATATTGCATCGTTTGTGGGGGAGAATTGTCCTATTTGATCCATATCATGGTCATCGTCGGCAGGCCCATATTTAATACACTAAAGGGGCCCATATTGCACCAAATGCAACTTGTAATAAAATTATAGATTAGGAACAAACATTGTTTTTTAGAATTAAAATCACTGCTACAATGCAATGTTAAACTTTCCTTCTATCACATGAAGCCTGAGCAGCTACAAAATAATATCAGGAAATATGAAAATTAGTCAAATTAAACTTACATCGAAAAGTTATGGCCCACAGAGAAACAATCAAACCGCCATATTCCAATAACAACAAGTGGAGTGATGGCGGTAATTGGTAAAACAAGTTTTGATAACCTGTTGGTGTAAATTTATACATTACCTGCTAGATGGCGTTAATTGTTTCATAGATGAGTGGGGGGCCCATATTAAGTGCTCGGCCCATATTCGGACCAGTTCCTCTACTTAAATTATGTAAAATACTTTATCTTAGATACTTTTTATATTGTACCAAAAGTATCTTTAACTTAGTTACTTTGGAAAAGTATCTTGTAACTTGTATCTTAAAAAGTATCTTAGTTTCTCGGTATACCGAATGTATCTTAGTTACTTTACCGAGAAACTAAAATACTTTTAAAGTATCTAAGTTACTTGAATGTATCTTAGTTACTCTATAGAGTAGATACTTTAAAAGTATCTTAGTTTCTCGGTAGAGTAACTAAGATACATTCAAGTAACTTAGATACTTTAAAGTAACTAATATACTTTTTAAAGTAACTTAGGGAATGATTTAAAGTAGGTATTTACCTAACCTACAACTTGTTGAATTTTCATAATTTTATCGTTTTTATTCATACTTTGAAGTAACTTACTTACTTAAAAGTGTCTTAGTTACTTAAACGTATCTTAGATACTTTTGTTCAAAAGAATATTGTAACTAAAGATACTTTCAACTCAAAGTATCTAGTTACCCAAGGTAACTAAGTTATTTTGTTAAAAGTATCTTATAAAAATAACTAGATAATTTTCAGAAGGGGCATTTCCCAGCTCTGTTAGCTACACACCATAAATAAAATTTTCTATTATGAGGTTCTTATTTTTACTTGAAATATTACTAAACTATCCATCAATCAAAAAATGTGGTTGAAATCGGTATCTTACAATTTACTAATAGATACCCAACTTCTAAGCTATCACCTTACATCAACAATATCAGGTCACCTAGACAAATTCTAACCTTGCTACTCCAAATTAAAATCTTAAACTTATTGGAGTAGCAGGGTTAGAATTTGTCTAGATGACCTGATTTTGTTGATGTAAGGTGATAGATTAGAAGTTGGTGGTTTAAAGTGATAGTAGGAGATATTTTTGTGGTGGAAACATATTAGATGAGATATAGGATGGATCATCCTTATAGAAACAAAGTATAAACAATAACGTTTTGCTTTTCTTATCCACACATCATCAATTATCCATCACAAGATTCCTATTTTTAATTAGTGAGGTGATAATCACCTGAAGACGATTGCAGATACTTAGCAATTGAAACGTTGTGAATTAATCAAAAAAAGACAATGGAAGTCCAAAAATATGTTTCTAATGAAAACACCACATTGTCTATTATTCTTATTTTTACTTGAAATATTACTAAACTATCTATCGATAAAAGGTTGTGGTTGAAATCGGTATCTTACAATTTACTAATAGATACCCAACTTCTAATCTATCACCTTACATCAACAATATCAGGCCATCTAGACAATTTCTAACCTTGCTACTCCAAATTAATTGATATTGTTGATGTAAGGTGATAGATAAGAAGTTGGTGGTTTAAAGGGATGTTTGTGGTAGAAACAAATTAGATGAGAGATAGGATGGGTCATCCTTATAGAAACAAGTGATAAGAATGGTATGGAGGAGAGAAGAGAGGTTTAGCGTGACGGAGTAGTGTATTGGCTACTTGTTGATGCTGGATATTAAAAAGACAGCAGCGGCAGCAGCAGCAGCAGCAGGCTAGGATAGCAGCAGCAGTAGTAAAGAGATGCGAGTAAGCCACGGCACAGATATCTGGGCGGGAAGAGTGGCGAATAGATCGCTATCACCTTTATGCGCTAACTCGGTCTGCGTGCAGCTAACCAACCAGTTGTCTCGGCTCGTGCCAGAGACCGCCTGCACACGCCCACAACTCTCTTTCTACTTGTTAGTCGTTACCAGTCATTAGTCACTTGTTCAACGTTTATGCAGGACGATCGTCTCAAAGCCGAGTTTCACTTCGCACACTTGTTTTTTCGTGTTTTCGGGCGTGTACAGACTGGTTTCAAATAGTGACCTGTGATACCGATAATGCTGCCTTACCAGGCGGTAGCTATGGACTATGCCGTTTCGTCCAGTTTTCAACGACACCAAGCCCCAATTGGATTAGGAGTCGGAGTCAACATCAATCCAGCATTCACACACTCGTGGTTCGTACCGGATCTGTGTGTACCCTACAAACCGAACCTCGAACCAGGGCATGTCAACTTATTATATCTGCTTAAATATAGTCAATATAGTTCATCAACTATAACCAACTAACCAATTTATCTCTAACCATCATTGTCTCTAATCTAATCTAACCATTAACCAATAAGTAACAATGGCTGATATTTTATTTTTGCCAGCTATTGTTCCTAAGATGTTTAATCATCCTTATTAAGCATCAACATTTTAAGTCCGCCATATTGTCTAATATTATCACGCCAAAATGGTCACTCTTAAAAGCCCATAACATTTAATATCTTCTTGTTGCATGTTTTGATGGATAAAAAAATAACTGCAAAAAACTTGACAGCTCAGAAATTACATTTTTTTCAAGAATTGTTATCCTGATGCAGTTATTAATATTTTATCCTTTTGTACCATTGAATATTTTTATAGATGACATTGGTTTATTTAATGCAGAAATATAAACATTTAAATAATACCTTTTTAAAAAGAAATTTTATTGTTTATTAATAATTGTGTACCTACCTATGTACCTACATAATAGTATATTATGTATTAAGTTTTATAAATGCCATTTTAGTCATTTAGCAAACGAATGTTTAATAAAAACAAATGTCTAGAAAAGTTTATAAAACGAGTTGCATCGACTAACACAACGAAGAATTTAAAGCCAATTTTGTTTATAAAACATTTGACATCTCAAACGTCAACGGATTTAACCTCACTTTTTCACAATTTACAATAAAGCTAACTTCAGCCCGTGACTAAAACGCCATAAAGTCGCAGCCCGTCACTGTAGAAACGAATAGAAGTTTTTAAATATCCTGTGCCAGAAAAATCAATAACTGCAAAAAACTTGACAGCTCAGAAATGACATTTTTTTCAAGAATTGTTATCCTGATGCAGTTATTATTATTTTATCCTTTTGTACCATTGAATATTTTTATAGATATGACGTTGGGTTATTTAATGCAGAAATATAAACATTTAAATAATACCTTTTTAAAAAGAAATGTTATTGTTTATTAATAATTGTGTACCTATGTACCTATATAATAGTATATTATGTATCAAGTTTTATAAATGCCATTTTAGTCATTTGGCAAACGAATGTTTAATAAAAACAAGTGTCTAGAGAAGTTTATAAAACGAGTTGCATACTATACTTTATCTACGACTAACACAACAAGGAATTTAAAGCCAATTTTGTTTCACATTTGACATATGTCAAACCTCAACGGATTTAACCTCACTTTTTCGCAATTTATAAAAAAGCCAACTGCAGCCCGTTACCAAAATGCCCAAAAGCCACTGTTGTTTAACTTCAGCCCGTGACTAAAACGCCATAAAGTCGCAGCTCGTCAATGTAGAAGTGAACAGAAGTTTTTAAATACCCTGTGCCAGAAAAATCAACATCTTAAAAATATTAACATAAAAATTACATTTTATAATTTAACCAAAAAATCCTTTTAATTATAATAAGTTTTTGCGCACCCAGGGGGGCAAAGATATTAAGTATACTACTGACGTCAAATTGATACTGCCCTCTTGACACGCCAAAAATAACCAACTATCAATAAAACGTCAAAAAGTAGTATACTTAATATCGATGCCGATACCTTTTTCGTTCAAAAGATATCAGGCCCACTTTGTATATATATATATATATATATATATATATACATATATATACACATATATGTATATACCTATACTCAATACCCAATTATCCTTGATAATACAAAGGATTATAATAATAAAGGGATTTTATCGTCATTTTTTCAATATAAATATTCATCGATGTTCCTTGAATAAACATTCTTGAATAAATTTGATTGCAATACCTAATCAAAAGTAATGATGACCAATCAATTGGCATGAGGTAAACACATCCTTTTATTTGTATATTTAAGGATGAAATTGGTGGCCAATAAAAGTCAATAAGGATAAATAAAGCGTGAATCATAAATATTTGCCTGATGTCTGATTGAATGGGGTTCAACAAATAACATTATTAGAATGATCGTTAGAAATAATATTGTTTTATGATATATTCCCGCACCCCTTACAAAGATAAAAACAATAAAAAATATCAATAGAATTGATTATAAGCGGTCAAGATGGAATGAGAAAACCCAACCGTAATAACTATATAGAAAAAAGGTGGCAGATTGTACATAATATCTATGTATTGGCATTAGTGGAAGGCATAAAGGGCATTTGAAAGCTGAGGTAGTTAGGGACATAGGGACATTTATATTTATTAGGATTATTTAAACCCCCAAAAGACTGGACGCACGAATTTGATTTGATTTGTTTTGTTTAGTGGAATTTAATTCAAGGCTGAATCATGGTGCACGTGGATTATAACCCTGTGTCACACCAAGATTTCAAAAAATAGTGCATTCTTCTATAATTTGTGTCGATTCAAAGTTACTCAGGAAAACACTTCTATGGGTATTGTTTTTTTGAAAAGCTACAAGGTCGGTTAAATCAGAGAAAAGTTGCACCCATATACAGGGTGTTTTGCATTCGGGAACGGAAAAACATCAAATTGAAATTTTAAATCGTTTATAATCCATTTAAGTCTATTATTCTTTGTTATTTCAATTAAAACACCACATATATTTTAACATGTTTATATTCTTCATACAATTCTGAGTAAAATTACTATATACTATATAGTATACTAAACTGCGCACCACTCAATGTGTCGCGACCAAAAATTTCGTCCATTTTCAAAACGACATAACTTTTTTATTTCTTGAACGATTTTATTTTGGTTTGTGATGTCTACTAGCCCCATTCTCTGGCAATTCATGCTATAGATATGAAGCCCACGGTTCTTCAAGTAAATTTACTACAGGGTGATATGTAAAACAGTGAAAAATTTCAATAACTTCATCCAAGCCCCGTTTGTAAAATAAATATTTTTTTCTCGTTTTTACTTTGAAATAATGAAGTATTATGTCTTACCTTGAAACGTTTTTCAAATTTTTCGAATTGGAATATTAGCAACAAAAATATGATTTTTTTTTTCAATGGAGTACATTTGATGCTTTTTTGTAGGCAATACACTCAGCCTTTTTAAGAACAAAAAGATAAGATGGTGAAAGATTGTTCCTTGAATAATTCTGAACAAGCGACAAGCAACAAACTTCCAATATTTTCAAAGGAACCTAAGCAAAGACCACTTTTTCAAAATTACATTTTGGTGAAAATTTTCGAAAATTAAACCTGAACCGATATTTACGTTCGTGACATGTTTTCTTCATAATTTTGACCTGATTGTGATTCAGTTGTCAAATTCAGGTTTCAGATAAAACCAAAATCACCAAGAATCAAAATTCGAAAACAATTCCTGGATGTTAAATGTCTCATTAAAATCTGATTGCTGGATTTTACTGTGTTATGCATTTTTAGTACGTTATTATCATGTCACTGAATGATCAAATCAAGGATCAAATGATGAAAATTAAATGCCAATAATTTGGTGTTGGTGGACGACAATGCCCGTCCGCATCGCGCTTATATCGTAAATGAGTATTTAAGGGACCATGATATTGAGAGAATGAATTGGCCACCTTTGTCTCCGGATATGAATCCTATTGAGCATGTGTGGAGCAGGATGAATCTGAAGATGAGAGAAAGGAAAGGACGCATGGAAAATTTGGATGTATTGGTAAATTCGATTCAGGAAGAATGGGAAGCCATACCCCAGAAATTTCTAAGGAACTTGGTCTAGGAAATGCTCAGGAAGGTTAACGAATTATTACGGGTTAGGGGAGGGCCAACGAAATATTGAAAGTTATTATTGTTATTGTTTGTTACATTTTTCTGTTGAATTTTGTAGTTTTTATTATGATTATATCTTCGCATAAAATTTTCAAAAATAAACAAACAAATTTTGTATTTAACTTTATTACCAATTAGGTAGGTACTTATCAGTAATAAGTTATCACTAGTGCGCAATATAAATGTAATTTATGTAACATTATCCTAACCACTCAAACAAAAATGAATCCCCAAATGGCATTGGCAAAGGCATGTTATTGAGACATTTAACAGCCGGGAATTGTTTTCGAATTTTGATTCTTGGTGATTTTGGTTTCATCTAAAACTTAAATTTGACAACTGAATCACATCAGGAGGTCAAAATTATAAAGCAAACATGTCACAAACGTAAATATCGGTTCAGGTTTAGTTTTCGCAAAATGTCATTTTGAAAAAGTGGTCTTTGCTTAGGTTCCTCGGAAATTAATGGAAGTTTGTTGCTTGTCGCTTGTTCAGAATTATTTAAGGAACAATCTTTCACCATCTTATCTTTTTTATATTAAAAAGGCTCAGTGTATTGCCTACAAAAAAGCATCAAATGTACTCTTTTGAAAAAAAAATCATATTTTTGTTGCTAAGATTCCAATTCGAAAAATTTGAACAACATTTCAAGGTAAGACATAATACTTCATTATTTCAAAGTAAAAACGAGAAAAAAATATTCATTTTACAAACGGGGCGTGGATGCAGTTATTGAAATTTTTCACTGTTTTACACATCACCCTGTAGTAAATTTACTTGAAAAACCGTGAGCTTCATATCTATAGCATGAATTGCCAGATAATGGGGCTAGCAGACATCACAAACCAAAATAAAATCGTTCAAGAAACAAAAAAGTTATGTCGTTTTGAAAAAGGACGAAATTTTTGTTCGCGACACATTGGCTGGTGCGCAGTTTATATGGTATACCATGTCCTATACCTAAAGTGAATTATTTTCGAGTTATTAATTTTTTTCGTTAATATTTGACAAATGCGCGTCAATCAAAAATAGCCTATAACTTTTTTGTTATTAGGTTTGCGAATATGGTGGTGGGATTTTTGAAATCTTAAAACATGTTAATTATTTACCATTTTTTAACAAATTACATGATAAAACACAGGGCAAATTAGGGTAACTAAAATTTTAAATATTATTTTTTATCAAGAAACCTGTGAAGGGTGAGTTGACTTTTTTAAAATTTAAAAGTTATACAAACAGTAGGTATTTGATAATTTTGAAAAAAACTGTAGGATGTCAACTAGATAAAGCACTGGCTCATTGGAGACAATAAAATATAACATGTATGGCTTGTCAGTAATATTGTTTACAAAACACTTAATTAGTCAACAAAATGTTTTTAACAAAAAATGACGCTTTAAATTTTGAACAATGACAGATTACGTGGTAACCACAGGTTTCTTGATACAAAATAATATTTAAAATTTAAAAATTGTTAAATATCTCCAAAATTATTAACTTTAGGTGCCTATAGGGAATAGTAATATATGAATAAAAACAACACAACACTATAGTGTACTCACTATTTTAATTTTGTTTTTAATGCTTCTTCAGAATTAGTACATATTTTTATCAAGTTGCGGTATTTATATTAACAAATGGCAGGTAATTTAAGAAAATTAGTACCTGAAGGTACTTACACAATTTTGGAAAAACTAAGGATTTGGAAAGTCCAATCTAATATGATTTTATAATTTTAATAAATATTATGTTTTAGTACTACAAGTACCTATACCTTCTAAAATAAATTTAGCAAAGGCGAGCTGTTAGTTTTAATTTGGTCATTAAGAACAATATCAGATTTTTTTTTTACTTTATTAATTTCCAAAGACTCCAGAAGATTTAGTTTGGTACCCTTATTGGCATGAAGTATTTTAAGTTATCAGTTATCATTTCAATTTTTCTCTGGTTTTCTTAAGAAATTTGTTGAAAAATGATAAAGAATTGACATAAACAATGTTTTAAGATTCCAAAAATGCCACCTCTATATCCACAAACGAAAATTAAAATTAATAACTCGAAAACTTTTTACTTTACGTATAGGACATTGTATAGTAATTTTACTAATAAATGTATGTAAAATTTAATAATGTAAAAATATATGGGGTGTTTTATTTAAAATAACAAAGTTATTTTACAATAATCAAAATCCTTTTGAAGAAGTAAGTCATAATGTAAAAATTAGTGTTTGGGGAAGTCCTTGATTGGGTGGTGTATATAAATGTATTTTATTGTAGTTTTTTTGTAAAAGAAGTGAAAATTAGTTGATTTTGGGTTGGGGGTGAGTTCGGCCAGAAGTGGACCGTATTTAAGCCGCAGGGGATTCGTGTTCGATAATTCGACCAAAGAATTGTTTTTGTCGGCGTAGTCAGCTCAATTTACGGTATTTGCGAGGGGCAGGGCGTGAAAACAAAATTAAGGCGAACTTTTGCTAAAATTGGTAGAAATTGGCCTATGCTACTTGAAGCGTCATTTTGGTCCTTCGGGAGTTACCCCTCGGCCGCCGATTATTAGGTTATCTATCCAAAGAGCGTTTCTCAGCTTTCCTTACTAGTGTACCTGGCGACACCTCGGCTCTTTTCCACGGTCCGACATCCCGACAATCCCCCGGGAGACAGACCAATGCTTCTTCTTTTCTTTTATGTTGCCTTTTATGCACTGGAATCCCATTCCTGCTGACAGGCTCCCTTCAATTCCCTCATCAACCTTACAACGCTCGTATTTTAAATGGACCACGTTTTAGGACTCTGCACTGTCAACCGGTCATCATCGCCGGACCCTTTACTCCAAAAAACGCTGACCACAGCGACCCGAACGACGCTTCTCAAAACGTATGTGTTTCCATTTTAAATGAACATGGATAATTTGAATCTAATATATTTTTGATCTCTGTGCGTTTTTCCTCATTGATTTTATGGATTCGATACGTGTGTCTCACTAATGACTAGACCTCCCCTGAGGAATATATAAACAAACCGAATGACCCTTACTCTTTAGGTAAATAGTAACGAAGGGCGAAATATATTTCTTATCCATGATGAAATTCTTAAACAACACGGCCAACGTCCAGACGTCATTCATTGTTTTCGACATGAAAATCAACTGCAATAAAAGTGAGTCCATCTCATTTTTTTATAACTTTTGCCGAGTAATAAAAGTTGGAACATTTTATGGGCGCTTTAAATTTTTTACGCCGCCGTCTATCAAGTCTGCAGTTTTTTCAAGTGACAAGTTAAAATAATGTTTTAATTGGTAGATATAATACATGCTAGTTCCGTATTTTATTTTATGTATCAGTGCATTGTAGTTTTATACACCCTTAGGGACGTTTTGTCCCATAATCCGAATCTCAATTCCTACTCTTTCCGTACCGAAGTTTACCTTTGGGAGCGCCGATTTCAATACGGCCGCTATTCTTACACATTCAGATAAGACTCCAAAAGGTAAATTATTACCGAATAATGTGAAAACAATTTCCCCCCTATGCTCTCTAAACTTTAAAGTTAATTGAAACGTTTTATTTTCTTACAGCATACTGGAATTGAGGAAAGAAAAAAGCCGCGATGCAGCCAGATCCCGCAGAGGAAAAGAAAACTTCGAATTCTACGAATTAGCGAAAATGTTACCCCTACCAGCCGCCATTACCTCTCAATTAGACAAAGCTAGTATTATACGATTAACGATATCATATCTTAAATTACGCGATTTTTCCGGGCACGGTGAACCGCCATGGAACAGGGAAGGACCACCCCCCAATAAAGGACTCAAAGGTAAGAATTACACCTCTATAACAATTATTCATCAAACGTGTTGCGCATTGGCTGATTAAGGGGGACAATTTACCTATCAAGATGATCGATTAAAATTTTCGTCATTATTTTCTGGATGGATCATTTTCTATAGAACGTGCTCCCAGCCTATAAAGACTAGTTCATATTGTTTGTGGTAGAATAATCATGTTATGCACCAAAGAGGGTTCTAAATTCAAGGTTTGGGCTGGCATAATCGACCACAATCTTATAGGTCCGTTCCTTACGGCATGACCTCCAAGAACTTCATGATGGTAGCTTTGCAAAACTTTGCAGTTGGATGGTGGGCCTGCCCATTTTCCTCCTTAGATGGATCGGTCGTAAAGGTCATATTGCCTGGCCTCCACAAAGCCCTAATATTTCCCCGTTCGACTTTTACTTGTGGAACCGCTAAAAAACACTGTATCCTTGATGCTGCGGCATATGTCCAGGGGAGTATTGGTAGAAGACTGGAGAAGTGCATTGAAGTCAATGGAAAGAACTTGGACTTTGATTGGCATTGATGGATTCCGTCGTAAAAAGTTTCAATGTTTTCAAATGTACGTTCATTTTTAACGCATTTATATTGAAAGTTTGAGGTCTTGTAACATTTCTGTTTGCATCTTTGAACATTGTAAGGTTTCCTCTATGTCTAATCACCATGTATCATTTAATGTCCAACAAGCTAGCTTGACTTCTAAAATGCATCTTGGACTTTTGACCACCCTGTATATCAAATCAGCAAAACGGTGAACTAAAGAAAAGTTTGCTTAGTAAATCATGAAGTTGGAGTTTATCCAAACCGAATGGTTGAAATTAGTGGCAATAGAAAAAGCACGGAAGCGATGAGTTAGAGATCGGTAATTGAATTAGTGGTAGGAAGAATTTCTTCTGACCGGTTTAATGCCGACCTCTGTACGTCGGGTAAAAGGGGACTTAAACGTACCCTGTAGCTGATAATCGACTGACCATGCCTTGGGGTAAGGTCCCGAGAGAGTAAGCGCGCTGGCCCCGGACTACTTCAATATTTCTTTTCGGTTTTTATGAGTGATGTCTTTCGTCCAATTGCAGCTGCTAACACTATTTATCCATCCCTAAGAAAATACCAATAAGTTTTTCTGTATAAATATAGAATTATTTATATCGACAACCCCTCCGTATACTTTTAATCAAAAGCTATCAATTAACATCCATTCCAACATTTTATTCAATTTGTGGCATTAATTTCATATATTCCTGTGGTATATCTTGAAGGAAACTTTTTTGTTGTCCATATTCTAATATATTTAAAATTCCTTCAGAGGTTATGACACTGCCCTGGTTCTAAAAGTTGCTTCTGATGAATAATAAAGAGCAGCCATTTTGTTTTGTTCAGTGAATATTTTATTATTGCTTTCGCTGCTACGTGATTTGTAAATTGAAATTTCAATTTTATGTTCACAGGATATGATAATGTTTTAACTGTAGAAATAATTTTGATGTCATGAGTACTACCTTCTGGTTATTTGCATATTGGAAATTATCCAGGATTTTCTAAATTTAGAAATACAAAGACTGTACGCAATTGTGCAATTTACATACGGGGTCATCATCTATAGTATGTAGGTACAACATTCTGTGACGAAATTATCCAAAGGATTTTGCTAATTTAGAATGACATTACATAATGCCATTTCCTTAATTCGATTTAATATGGAAATTCTGAGTAAATAAAGGCTAAACATATCCTATCCAAATTAGCGGTGATCAAATCTAAAATGGAAATTTATTTTAATGAATTTACACACAGGAGGCATTTGTTTGATGTGGATCAGATTTCATTACGCAAGAAAAGGGACGATAAATGAGTAATCAAGGGAGATTTACTAAAGACACACAATAATTATTATTTATACCAACCAAGTGTCTTACTTTAAATGAAAAAAATATGATAGGTTGTAGAATTTTTAAGCTCATGTTACTCATTAAAAACTCGTGACAGTTTTGAAATTAAAAAATTAAATGTGAATCAAAAGTTGGTCTTTTACAATTTTTTCGTTACATTATCCATTTAAATAATATCGGAGGTCAGTGTTTGAAAAAAATAAAAAAAATTATATTTTATTTTAGTTTATTTTAAGTCTTGACCTATGAACAATAATTAAAAAAATTAACGTTTTGAGTTAGTTTGACCATTATTTCTTCCAAATTATAAATAGTTTATTTTTTATATTAGAGGATTAGCTTTTTCAAAATAAATCAAATTATCGATATTTTAAATTTTTTTATAAGAGGTTGTCAATTTCATCAAAATTGATCATGGTTGTGCACCTTTAAATACTTATTGCTCTAAATTTAACCTTAATCAATATTCTGGATTAGCTTTTTCCATTTAAAAGGAAAATCAAGATTTTTGCATATTTATTTGGCTTAATTTCTTTTATATGAATAAAACTAAATAAGTATGAACAATAATTAAAAATAATTACTTTTTAAGTTAGTTTGGCCATTATTTCTTCCAAATTATATATATTTTATTTTTTATAACAGAGGATTCGCTTTTTCAAAATAAATCAAATTATGAATAATTTAAACTTTTTTTATAACAGGTCGTCAATTTGATCAAAATTGATAATGGTTGTACACCTTTAAATACTTATTGCTCTAAATTTAACCTTAATCAATATTCTGGATTAGCTTTTTCCATTTAAAAGGGAAATCAAGATTTTTGCATATTTATTTGGCTAAATCTATTTAATGTGAGAAAAACTAAATAAATATGAACAATATATATTAATCTTTTAAGTTAGTTTGACCATTATTTCTTCCAAATTATAATTATTTTATTTTTATAATAGAGGATTAGCTTTAAATACTTATTCAATAATTATTATAATCAATATTCTGGATTAGCTTTTTCCATTTAAAAGAAAAATTAAGATTTTTATTTGGCCAAATTTAAATATTTTATTTTTATAATAGAGGATTCGCTTTTTTAAAATAAATCAAATTATGAAAATTTTAAACTTTTTTATGAAAGGTCGTCAATTTGATCAAAATTTATCATGGTTGTACACCTTTAAATATTTATTGCTCTAAATTTAACCTTAATCAATATTCTGGATTAGCTTTTTTCATTTAAAAAGAAAATCAAGATTTTTTATTTATTTGGCTAAATCTCTTTTATGTGAGTAAAACTAAATAAATATAAACAATAATTAAAGTTAGTTTGTTTGGCCATTATTTCTTCCAAATTATAAATATTTTATTTTTATAATAGACGATTAGCTTTTTTAAAATAAATCAAATTTTAAAAATTTTATAAAAGGTCGTCAATTTTATTAAAATTGATCATAGTTGTGCACCTTTAAATACTTATTGCTCTAAATTGAACCTTAATCAATATTCTGGATTAGCTTTTTCCATTTAAAAGGAAAATCAAGATTTTTGCATATTTATTTGGCTAAATCTCTTTTATGCGAATAAAACTAAATAAGTAGAAACAATAATTAAAAATATTAACGTTTTTGGTTAGTTTGACCATTATTTCTTTCAAATTATAAATATTTTATTTTTATAATGGAGGATTAGCTTTTTCAAAATAAATCAAATTATGAATATTTTAAACTTTTTTTATAAAATTGATCATGGTTGTGCACCTTTAAATACTTGTGAATAAAACTAAATAAATATGAACAATAATTAAAAATATTAACGTTTTAAGTTAGTTTGACCATTATTTCTTTCAAATTAGAAATATTTTATATTTATAATAGAGGATTAGCTTTTTCAAGATAAATCAAGTTATGAATATTTTAATATTTTTTATAAAAGGTCGTCAATTTGATCAACATTTTTCATGGTTGTGCACCTATAAATACTTATTGCTCTAAATTTAACCTTAATCAATATTCTGGATTAGCTTTTTCCATTTAAAAGGAAAATCAAGATTTTTGCATATTTATTTGGCTAAATCTCTTTTATGTGAGTAAAACTAAATAAATATGAACAATAATTAAAAATATTAACGTTTGAGTTAGTTTGACCATTATTTCTTCCAAATTATAATTATTTTATTTTTATAATAGAGGATTAGCTTTTTCAAAATAAATCAAATTATGAAAATTTTAAACTTTTTTTATAAAAGGTCGTCAATTTGATCAAAATTGATCATGGTACCTTTAAATACTTATTGCTCTAAATTTAACCTTAATCAATAGTCTGGATTAGCTTTTCCATTTAAAAAGAAAATCAAGATTTTTACATATTTATTTGGCTAAATCTCTTTTATGAGAGTAAAACTAAATAAATATGAACAATAATTAAAAATATTAACGTTTTGAGTTAGTTTGACCATTATTTCTTCCAAATTATAAATATTTTATTTTTAAAATAGAGGACTAGCTTTTTCAAAATAAATCAAATTATGAAAATTTAAAACTTTTTTTATAAAAGGTCGTCAGTTTGATCAAAATTGACCATGGTTGTGCACCTTTAAATAATTATTGTTCTAAATTGAACCTTAATCAATATTCTGGATTAGCTTTTTCCATTTAAAAGGAAAATCAAGATTTTTGCATATTTATTTGGCTAAATCTCTTTTATGTGAGTAAAACTAAATAAATATGAACAATAATTAAAAATATTAACGTTTTAAGTTAGTTTGACCATTATTTCTTCCAAATTATAATTATTTTATTTTTATAATAGAGGATTAGCTTTAAATACTTATTCAATAATTATTATAATCAATATTCTGGATTAGCTTTTTCCATTTAAAAGAAAAATTAAGATTTTTATTTGGCCAAATTTCTTTTATTTGAATAAAAATAAATAAGTATGAACTATAATTAAAATGACGATTTTTTCATTAAACCATCCATTTAAATAACATCGGAGGTCAATGTTTGAAAGAAATAAAATATATATATATTTTATTTTAATTTATTTCAAATTTTGACCTATGCTTTAAAATATAAAAACTATGTTATTGATTTAAAGTTAACCATAGAAAAATAATTATTTAACCTATTAAACGTCATGAACTCAAAACCGTTCAAGCTCATAATTTTTTTAATTTTAAAACTGTCACAGGCTTTCGTATATGTTGGAGTTAAGGTTATGTGTATGTAGAGTGTAATTGTTGAAAGTTAAAAAAGACGCGTTGAAAATCGAATTAGGGGGTGGTATGTAGTTGAGTGGTTGACAATGAGGACATTTGTGGCCGCCTAAGTATGTAACAATCCGCGTGAGCGGAGGACGAGAGCGAGTCCCCAAAAATATGACATGTAAATCTAATCATGAACCCTCCGCCGTTAAAATCGCAAATCTAATTCCTTCCCCGTCCGAAAGTGATAAAATTAGTTGTTGCTTATTGTAAACCGAACTCGGAAAATTTGCCAACGCTAATTCGTTCTACTCTGCGGCGAGATGAAGGGGCCCCTCTGATTTTAAGTGAAATAATTATTTGGAATTAAGCTCCGCTTCAACAATCTTAGCTCCACACTCTTAATGAATTGACATTGATACGACGGGGACTGACAACTTTTATTCTCCATTCATATTTAAATTCCTAAACTCATTAAATAAGATACCCCAAAACCACAACTTTGTTTTTTTCTTGGTACTTAATTGAATTGAATTTTAAACGTTGATTCGACATAATAAATAACTCCACTCAAAAGTTAGAAAAAGATAGGACAGAATTTGTACAAGCTAATATTCGTATAACATATGAGCCAGGCTGGATTTCGACATTCCCCGTTTTGATAAAGGCACAGGACCTCTAACAAATTGGTTACAATGTCATCTGTAAAATATGGCTTCTTGATACCCCGGCCAAGATTAGGGAATACGTTGTCCCCCCGCCTTATCACGATTTCAACATATGATTCACTTTCAACGTATATTTATTGGTTTTGAATTATTGCCTATTTATCTAATATAGTTAAAATAATCCCGAACAAAAAATAAAAACTGCATTTTTTTATAGATACACTGAAGATGCTACAAAACAAAAATGGTTTGTAGTTTTAATTTTTAAAATATCCCTTGCAATATTTAAAACAGTAGGTTTTTTGGTTTAAAACACAATATAAATTTATGTAATACATTTTTATCTTTTCTTGTTCTCATTTTATTAAATCATATGTGTAAATTGATGCCCTCTTACTAAATTTACAGAAATATTAGAATTATTTCGGCGCATTCGCCATTTTTACTTATATTAGGCTCCTACCAAGCATTTGGACTGTCAAATTGACGTCAGGGACATATTATCTCATTGCGCATGCGATTTTGATATTGCGCATGTCCCTTAAGTCCATTCGACAGCCCCAATGCCACCTATCGGTGTAAATTTGAATTATATCTGATTTTTATTGAGTTTGCTAATAAAAAAACCGCATAAAAAACTAAATGTTACCTCCCTTACAACAATAGATGTTAGGTAAAATTTTCATAATTTTTAATTATTTTATTTCAGCTGGTAGAAGTAGATCGTCAGCTGGTGTAGCTATGGATATTTTCGAACAACATCAAGGTACTCATATATTACAGGTAATTTCCTCGAAGAAAATCAAAATATTCCTTTACATGACATTTTTTTTCTTATAGTCTCTTGATGGTTTTGCCTTAGCTATAGCTTCAGACGGAAGATTTCTGTACATTTCAGAGACTGTTTCAATATATTTAGGACTTTCCCAGGTGAGTTAATTACTTTAATAAAGTATCAAAACGCACTGCTTAATTGAGTGAATACTCCCTCAGTAAATATTAAGCCTATAATCATACTTTAACCCCTTTTGACTTTATTAAGTTCTTCGCTGTCACTCACAATCCAAAGATTATGAAAACGTGTGCACTGTGATCTAAAAATGATTAAAAGAACAAAAAAGTCTCTCTGGACAGTAATAATAAAAAAACGTGGGGACATGCGGTGCATGTATTATTAGATAGAATTTGATATCTTCGTGTCCGTCCGTCAAAAAATGCCGGATGATTTATTATGTGTGGTAAATGGCCTTTCTAAATCCTGTTTTGATGTCCAGAAGGAGATAAATTAAAAAAGGGCCGTTTTTGTTTATTGCTGAGCGAAAGCACATCCGTCGGTGGAAAAGGTCACCGGCACAGGCACTGTGTTGCGGATCCCGGCAGCTTGCAGCTAGCTGCTTTTGCCGCCTCCCGAAACTTTGCCGCCCCGCGTTGCCGAATGCTTCTCACGTAGTACTCTGCTGCAGCGTGCCTGCCATTTATAATAGCGATGGCGGGGCCATAATCAATAGGGTATTTCCAACTGCGGGAAAATGGCAGACCTTAGAAGAACACGTACATGTTATTACCTACACTGTCTCTTTCAACAATTTTATCCATCAAAACACCTAACACATCGATGCCGTTTGCCTACATTACTTTTCCCCATCCGTCATCATCAACTCTTACAACTTTACCCTGTCAACAAAACTTCTCACCTAAAGTTATTATAACAATCACAATTTCTCAACATGTTCATTATTAAACAATAATTCGTCTCTACTTCACCAAACACTCTAAATAAAAGAGGATTAGCTTTTTTAGAACAAAACAAATTATAAATATTATTAACTTTTTTCTAAAAGGTCGTCAATTTGATCAAAATTAATCATGGTCGTTCACCTTTAAATACCTATTGCTTTATATTTAACCTTAATCAATATTCTGGATTAGCTTTTTCCATTTAAAAGCAAAATCAGGATTTTTGCATATTTATTTAGCTAAATCTCTTTTATGTGAATAAAACTAAATAAGTATGAACAATAATTAAAAATATTAACGTTTTGAGTTAGTTTGACCATTATTTCTTTCAAATTATAAATATTTTTGTTATAAAAGAGGATTAGATTTCCCAAAATAAATCAAATTATGAATATTTTAAACTTTTTTATAAAAGGTCGCCAATTTGATCAAAATTAATCATGGTTGTGCACCTTTAAATTTTTATTGCTCTATATTTAACCTTAATCAATATTCTGGATTAGATTTTTCCATTTAAAAGGAAAATCAGGATTTTTGCATATTTATTTGGCTAAGTCTCTTTTATGTGAATAAAACTAAATAAGTATGAACAATAATTGAAAATATTAACGTTTTAAGTTGGTTTGACCATTATTTCTTCCAAATTATAAATATTTTTATAATAGAGGATTTGTTTTTTCAAAATAAATCAAATTATGAACATTTTAAACTTGTTTATAAAAGGTCGTCAATTTGATCAAAATTAATCATGGTTGTGCACCTTTAAATACTTATTGCTCTATATTTAACCTTAATCAAGATTATGGATTAGCTTTTTCCATTTAAAAGGAAAATCAGGATTTTTGCATATTTACTTGGCCAAGTCTCTTTTATGTGAATAAAACTAAATAAGTATGATCAATAATTGAAAATATTAACGTTTTAAGTTGGTTTGACCATTATTTCTTCCAAATTATAAATATTTTATTTTTTATAATAATAATAGCTTTTTCAAAATAAATCAAATTATGAATATTTTAAACTTTTTTTATAAAAGGTCGTCATTTTGATCAAAATTGATCATGGTTGTGCACCTTTAAATACTTATTGCTCTATATTTAACCTTAATCAAGATTCTGGATTAGCTTTTTCCATTTAAAAGGAAAATCAGGATTTTTGTATGTTTATTTGGCTAAATCTCTATTATGTGAATAAAACTAAATAAGTATGAACAATAATTGAAAATATTAACGTTTTGAGTTAGTTTGACCATTATTTCTTCCAAATTATAAATATTTTATTTTTTATAATTCAGGAATAGATTTTTCAAAATAAATCAAATTATGAATATTTTTAACTTTTTTTATAAAAGGTCGTCAATTTTATCAAAATTGATCATGGTTGTACACCTTTAAATACTTATTGCTCTAAATTGAACCTTAATCAATATTCTGGATTAGCTTTTTTCAGTTAAAACGAAAATCAGGATTTTTGTATATTTATTTGGCTAAATCTATATTATGTGAATAAATAAGTATGAACAATAATTGAAAATATTAACGTTTTGAGTTAGTTTCACCATTATTTCTTCCAAATTATAAATATTTTATTTTTTATAATAATAATAGCTTTTTCAAAATAAATCAAAATATGAATATTTAAAACTTTTTTTATAAAAGGTCGTCATTTTGATCTAAATTGATCATGGTTGTGCACCTTTAAATACTTATTGCTCTATATTTAACCTTAATCAATATTCTGGATTAGCGTTTTCCATTTAAAAGGAAAATTAGGATTTTTGCATATTTATTTGGCCAAGTCTCTTTTATGTGACTAAAACTAAATAAGTATGAACAATAATTGAAAATATTAACGTTTTGAGTTAATTTGACCATGAATTCCTCCAAATTATAATTATTTAATAAATCAAATTATGAATATTTGAAACTTTTTTTATAAAATTTATTTGATCAAAATTTGAGTTAGTTTGACCATTATTTCTTCCAAATTATAAATATTTTATTTGTTATAATACAGGAATAGCTTTTTGAAAATTAATCAAATTATGAATATTTTAAACTTTTTTTCTAAAAGGTCGTCAATTTGATCAAAATTGATCATGGTTGTGCCCTTTAAATACTTATTGCTCTATATTTAACCTTAATCAATATTCTGGATTAGCTTTTTCCATTTAAAAGGAAAATTAGATTTTGTTGCATATTTATTTGGCTAAATCTCTTTTATGTGAATAAAACTAAATAAGTATGAACAATAATTGAAAATATTAACGTTTTTGAGTTAGTTTGACCAATATTTTTTCCAAATCGTCAATATTTTAGTTTTGTAATAGAGGATTAGCTTCTATAAAATAAATCAAATTATGAATATTTAAAACTTTTTTGGTAAAAGGTCGTTGATCAAAATAAATCAAGGTTAACTTCTTCCGTTTTTTTCAAAAAGTATAATTTTTATAGGTCGAAATGACTGGTAGTAGTATATTTGACTATATCCACCACCAAGATCACCAAGAGATAGCCGAGCAGTTAGGTTTAGGCTTGTCCACGGGTCAAAACATGGCATCGCCCGGTTCAGGTTCCGAGGAATCCACATCGACGGCAGGAACAAATAATCCCGATGGTAAGCGATTATCGTAATATTTATGTTGATTTATTATCGTTTATTCGTTAGTTGGTGTGTGATTTCAAATGCAGAGGGACAGGAAATGTGGTTAAGCATTCAGAGTTGCACACACGTACGTGGCCAATTGTTATTCTGTGTTGATGTCAGTTGTCACACCCAAGAATGCCGCTGCGCTACGTTGCGTACAATTCCCTTAACTGCCACTTCTTCAAACATTCAAATTATATCAATTATTAATATACATTTGTTTTAACTTTTTAGTGGCAACGACAATGTCCATTGGTAATAACCCGCCTTACAAGGGTTTAGATAGGGCTTTTTGTGTTAGAATGAAATCGACCCTCACCAAAAGGGGTTGTCATTTCAAATCGTCAGGTTATAGGGTAAATAATAAAAACCTCAAACAATAAAGCAATGTGTATTAATTGTAAACATTTTAGGTTGTTTTAATGTTATGTAGACTTCGACCACAGTACACGTTCTCTCATTCTCGTAAAACTCAGCCTCCGCTTTTGGGTATGGTCGCGTTGGCTATAGCATTGCCTCCACCGAGCGTGCACGAGATACGTTTAGAGTCCGATATGTTCGTAACTAGAATAAATTTCGACTTTAGAATAGCGCACTGCGAGCCCAAAGTACTTGATCTTTTGGATTACACGGCCGAAGAGCTGACTGGGAGGAATTTGTATTCCCTGTGTCATGGAGAGGATGCTAATAAGTTGAGAAAGTGTCATATAGACTGTAAGTGTTTTGGTTTTTTTGAATTATGTTTTGTTGACTGTTGTGTGTTTCAGTGATAAATAAGGGGCAGGTATTGACGCATTACTACAGGATAATGAATAAGAATGGAGGTTACACATGGATGCAAACGTGTGCCACGGTAGTGTGCAATACTAAGAATGCCGATGAGCAGAATATCATTTGCGTTAATTATGTCATAAGGTATGTTGGTTTATAAAAAATGTAATGAATTGTTTTTATGGTTGTCAATTTCAGTGGGCAGGAGTACGAGAACATGGTGATGGATTGCTGTCAGATGGAGGAGAACGCCCATTTGGTGAAAAGGGAGGAGGCCAGCAGTAACGACCCGGAGAATGGATCTCCTGACGCGGATCGTGGAGGTACGTTGACGTACCACCAATGTTAATGTTGTATTGTATGTAGAATGTTGAATAATTTTCGTACTAACTGTGCTCGTTGTCTGTGGTCAGACGACCGTAACAGCGGGGGACCGCCCAACCCGCCTCAGGATTCCACTCAGGACTTGGAGGACGCCGGCAGCAGCACCCAGCAAACCGACTCTGGAACATCCAAGGAGAATGGAACTAGGAGATTCGACACCGCGCCCGTAGTCACGCAGCTGGAGAGGAAGCCGATGTCGGCCAGAAGGGGCTCCAAAAGGAAAAACGCGTCCTCGGACGAGAACGAGGAAGAGGAGCATACGTCGCCGCCGCAGAAATCTTCGACGAGTCAAATGAGCCCGGCGTCGTCCTGCCACTCGACAGGACCCGCCCCTCTTCAACCTGCGAGCCCCAAGAAACCGGAGGAGACTACCAGCGGAACATCGGTGAAGGACTTGGAGAACGCCATGTCGAAACACCTACCGACTAACTGTAAATCGCCGACGCATCAGCCGACCGACTTCAGCACCGATGCTCTGTTAAAACAACAACAACGGACTACCATACAGTGGATAGGCGCGCATCACCAACAACAAGGCCCTCTACCTGCATCGGCTCTGCTAAGGCAGCTCTATGCGAACAGAGAGAGCGTTATCAGAGCCAACGTGCACGGCATAACGAGTAGATCGGGTACGTCAGCTCCATCGGGTTACTACCCATCGAGCAGTGAACCCCAAGTCGGCGTCGGGCCGCTACCCACGCCCCCCGGCAGCGAGAACTCCTCCACATACAGCGACCATCAGTTCTTGCTTTCGCAACACCAAAACTACCCGACCAGTTACTCCATGGACTACCACACGGCCATGACGCCTCCTTCGAGTGTGTCGCCTCGCGACAAGCACCAGCAGTTCCACGGAGCTGTCACCTTCGAATCTCCCGTGCCATATCAAGACGTCCTGCGACACCAGTATCCGGACAGTCCGCTGCCTCTCAAGCCGCAGGTTTATTCCTACGTCGATCAACCCCAGTTCTATCATCACGCAGCCGCCGGCGCCGCCGCCGCAGCCGCCGCCGGAGCTGGCTTCCACTTGTATCACACCGCTAAAAATGCCCCGACAGCTCCCTCCAATTGGTACACATCTTCATAGTTTTTTTATTACTTTTCAGTTCGATTATTAGTTAAATTGTTACTTAATTTTTCAAGTAGTGGCCAAGTAATTATCATAGTATTCGTCGACTATTTTAAACCAAAGAAAATAATGGAAAATAACTCTAAGGCAATGCTGATATTTTTTATTTCTTATTGGTTTGTACATAATGTGTTATTTTACATTATTTACAGTTCGTTTTATTGGTTATGGTGGCATTCATCCAGCATAACAAATATATTGTAAAAAATATACATATAGTTAAAAAAAATTAGCTACATAGTACTATAAACTTAAGTGTACATACCTACTTACATAATATATTATACAATATGATAAATTCAATTTTAATTAATTCTAAACTTGAATTAATCATTACAATAAAAAATTCATGTGCGCTTAGACCACAAAAGTGAAACTTCTTTTGGACAATTTAAATAAAATAAAATCGTGTTTTGTTTATGAGAATTCTTGTAACAATTCCCAAAATCTAGAGAATTTCACAATCCACACAACAAGGTCTGTTCTATTTCGTACTAAACATAACTACAACACTGCACACGGCGGCCATTTTTGTTGTTTACAATTCGTGTGCCTTGGGTTTGTGCTGTTTAAACAGATTAATGATCGTTTTAAACGTTGTGTTTCTTACAAAGGCACTTGTAAGCCTTAAAAGAGACCTTAAAGTGCTAAGGGCGACCTTTTTTACCCCTATTTTATAGAAAATAAAACGTATTCTATCAGGGCTGTCATTAAACTGTCAAATGTCAATTTTAAGGTTAATTTGCCATAACCTTAAAAGACTTCTGAGACCATAACCCACAAATTAACCTAAAAATTGATATTTGACAGTTTGATGACAGCCCGGATAGAATAAGGTTTATTTTTTACAAAAGAGGAGTAAAATGGTTGTTCTTAGCACTCTGTAAGAAACAGAACGTTTAAAACGATTATTAATCTGTATCAACAGAGCACAAACTCAAAGTACAAGAATTGTAACAACAAAAATGGCTGCCGTTAAACTCTGTGCAGTGTTGCAGTGATTTTTAGTAAGGTAAACGTCCCAATTATCGACACTGTCCCAATCATCGACATTTGTGCACTAAACATTCAAAAATAAGAATTTGATGCTTTGGACATCTATTGTCATATTAAAATAAGAAACAAGTAGGTTTTCCCTACCTTTCCTAAAAAGTTTCGGTCGGTTATGCAGAAAATATTAATTGAAAAAATATTTTAATCCCGCCATTCCGCAGGTGAACTGTGAACTTGTGCAAATCCTTAAGAAAAGTGTTAAGAAACAGGTAAGTTAATTATGGCAATTTTAGTTTAAAATATTTAAGTTTCTTTATGTAGATAGTTGTATATTTATATACAGAATCTATAATGTATGGTTTTTGCCAATAATTTGGCATAGAATCAGTATAAACGTAAAATTATGTGGTGTCGATAAAAGGTACATCCATTTTTAGGCTTTGTACGATTTATCGACATAGGTGTCGATAAATGGTACTATGTAGCTTTCTCTTTTCTTATGAATATTTAAATGTCTATCAAACTTATTCTTACTCTGTCTGAAGAGTTTAAAGGAAATTATATTAAACTACCGCTGTACCAATTATCGACACCCATTTTTTCCATTGGTAACATCGTTAGAGTGGATCAAAGTCTGTGGAGTGGATGTAATTTATATGTCGATATTTGGTACCAAAAATGTCGATAACTGGTTCAACCTATTTTTTTTTCAGAAAGAATGTTTTAAAATGAACATTATTGAAAATAGTGAAAAATGGGAAAAAAACATTTACAAACATGACTTAAGAAAAGTTATTTGTAAACGATTATGTTATAGTGAATTATAACGATCAATCACTATATACCAGGTAAAATTATTGACATATTATTGTAAAGAAAATTATGAGTTTGATTACCAAGTCTTACATATGGAGAAAAATGGGCTCAATTGGATATGGGATATGGCCCATATGGGACATATGGGACAAAGGGATAATATTCTTTGGTATGATAGAGAAGAGGTCCTTAAAAAATTAAGGAACAAAAAAAACGCGGACTTTACTGCGTACTGGAGATTTGTGATTAAAATACTTTTATCGTCAAACATTTTTGTTTGCAATAAACACTGCTTATATTTTATAATAAATAAACTTTTATGATAAACTCTTTGTTACTTATTATAACCATTTAAATCGACTTTTCCGAGTGTCGATATTACGTACGCAAGGGTGTCGATATTTGGTTCAAGACAAATTTTCCCATGTCGATAACTGGGTCAAATGGTACTTTTCAACAAATTTATTTTTTGCATATAAATTACGCATTGCTATTTAAAAAATAAACATTGCAAAGCAATAATCAATATTATAACAATCCACAGTAAAATTGTTAAACGTGTAACTTTAATATGCAAATTTTTATAACGATATGATTTAGAAAAATCTCTTAAGGTGTCGATAATTGGGACGTTTACCTTATACGCGAAACAAGATTGTTGTGTGGATTGTGGGAAATTTCGTCAAGCTTTTTTAAGCTCTCAGGCTGAGAATTTTAAAAATTTGTCCTACCATTTTTATATTTATACTGCTGTGCGAATTCTGTTAAAACATTCGGCCATTTCCGTTTCATTTTGGGTTTGCCCCGTCCGCAAAGAAGTTTCCCTTCAAAAATCGCGTACTTTAACTAAATTTAAGTGTGACGTACTGAAAGTAAAATTTGTACATACAAATGCAGTATGTTGCCCCGTTAGATGTGAAAACCAATTCATTTAATTCAACAACTGTGGCAATGTCTTTTTTATTTTGTTTTTATTAATGTGATTACTATAGAATACCACGAGATAAAAGGTGCTGACTATGACTATTGTAGGGAATGTGATATTCTGTTTAATTTTGTTACTATACTCATTCCAAATGTTAGGATTACTTACGTTTTGTTGTCTTATGCTATTTAGTACAAATTTAAAAAAACGCGCTTAATAATATGTAGCATACATATTGATGTGCAATATATACTTAATCCACCCTGCCTAAATCAGTGGGGACTTGTTTTTTTTATAATTAATTCTTCTTTATATTGTGCCAATAAATTCAAATATGTTTTGAACGGATTAAGCATTTTTATTAATATTATTATAATTAATTATAAAACAGGTACAGTCAGTGCTGTATGGATACAGTGAAAATATTGTAGATTTGTATAAACGGACTCAATGTAAATTTTTAAGTGTTATAATTAAATTTTTAATGCTTATGTCCTTGATTGTAATTGGCTATTTATTAAGTTCTTTTTTGTATTCATTATATCTGCATACATTCATTGTTTATTTATATTTGTTTAATAAATATACACTGATACACGTGAGTTTTACTTAAAAAAATTTAATAACACACAAATTTACAGATAGTTACAGAATATAATTTGTATAAAATATTTATATCAAAATTAGTTAATTAAATAATAAATTATTGTTACTTGTTAAGAGATTTAGCCTCATATGTTTAGGGGGTTCATGTGGGCTATACCATTGTTTTGACAAACAGTCTTCGAAATCGACGCCATTTTAACGAAGTTATCCAAATTTTTACCAGAAGCTATTGACTTCAAATTCAAATCTGCTCTCTGGCAAGCCTACAAAAATTTAGTTATTACAAAATTATATTTTTCTTAATTTTTTTCTCTCACCTCCAATGTCCAAGATTCGGCCATAAGTTTTTCGTGGTTGGCAGTTTTGACACCGTTTTTCAAAGATTCACTTGCTCTCGACAAAACTACAGCACTTGTGTATATATCAAAAGTGGCACTTGCCAATCTATTCAAGATAAATTGTTCGTTAACGATATTTTTACCGTATTTAATCAACACCATTTCTACTGATTGACCAAAAGCATCAATACTCTGAAAATAAACTTTTTACATACAATTCTTTTTAAGTTATTGTCCATGCACTTACTTTAGATAAAAGCTTTGCAGAAGGAGCCAACTCTTTGTGCACGAGGTGATCAACTGGTGGTGGAGCTTTCAACCCGACTTTCCTACCAACTCTCTTTGAGGCCTCCTCGAAAATCAATCCCAAATTGGCGGTGGGATTTTTAAATGCATTTTGCAATTCCTTCAAATGCGCTCCAGCGTATTGTATCCCAGTCAAAGCGACGAATAATCTCAGAATATCGTTTGTACCCTCGAAAATTCTGAAAATTCTCAAATCTCTCATCACTCTTTCCAAACCAGTTTCCTTCATGAAGCCCATACCGCCCATAATTTGGATGGCTTCGTCGCAAACGTACCAAGCGGCCTCAGAGGCGAAACACTGAAAATGTCACAATCTATTCATGTCACGTCACGCTTTAAAACGTGATGTCAAGTTTTTGTCTCAAACAGTTTTATCTAGCTCAAGTTGGCTATATATAGTATATGTATTAGTTTTTAAATTTGAGGATGGCTTTTTCCGTTTCAAAGCAAAATCTACATTTTTGCACAATAAGTATCTTTTATCGGAAATCGGCATTAAAGTAGTCAACAATCGGCAGTAAAGTACTGCCGATTTAATACGAGTATTGTATGCAACCCATTATACATTTTAAGATGTGTCTACTGCTCCTCAGCAGCAACTAAATAATATTTAAAAAAAGCACTGTCGCGGAGGTCGATTGGACCCTTTAATAAAATGTTGTTTAATAAAAATAATAAGTTAATTTTGCCGCGGCGGGCAAATATATAATAACCGTCGCAACAAAAAATATACGTAGACACTTCCTTCACTCAAATGACATTTGATGTAATCATCAATATTAATTATTAGTATTATTAAATATGAATTCGGATAAAATTCGGCATTTTTTATAAAAAATACGACTTTACTGCCTTGATACATAAATAACTATTATGTGAATTAAGTATAAACAAAAACATCTTACTTTTGAAATGGCAGCCTCCAAGTGGTAATGCTGGGAACCTTGGTCCATGTTGCCGGAAATCATGTATGCCATACTTTCAGTGACATATTGCAACGTTGCCATACGGGCAATTTTTTCTTGTATGGCTCCGAATGAGTCGATTTTGGCACCAAATTGTGTGCGTTGCGTTGCGAAATCGACTGCTTTTTTAGTACATGCTTTCATTGTACCGGCTAGAGCGGCAGCCATACCGAATCTTCCGTTGTTAAGGACATTCATGGCTACTTTGAAACCATTACCAACTCCACCCACTACATTTTCCACTGGGATTTTAACGTTATCGTAGTAAACCTAAAATCAGTTAATTTAATAAATACTTAAGATCGCGAAAAAATCGTACTTCCGCGGTGTTGGAAGCCTTGATGCCCATTTTCTTCTCCGGTGGGCCGTTGGTTACACCGCCAAAGGACCTCTCGACGATGAAAGCAGTAACCTTATCCACAGTTTTGCCGGTTTTTTTATCGGTGACGGGTGTTTTGGCGTATACAGTCATGATTTCGGCCATTCCACCGTTGGAAATCCAAATTTTAGAACCGTTCATGATGTAATGCTTGCCATCAGGGCTCAATTCAGCTCTTGTTCTGCAAATTCGACTTGTGAGCATGCGCGAACAACGTCATTCGGTAACTTACTTGATTGATCCAGCGTCGGAACCCGATGACGGTTCGGTAAGGCAGAAAGCGGCGAATTCTCCCGATGACACCCTTGGCAGGTATTTGGCTTTTTGTTCGGGGGTTCCGAAGAGGAGGATGGCCTTAAAACCAATGGATTGATGCGCACCCAAGGTGATACCAACGCCCAAATCGTGTGAGCCCACAATTTCAACAAGTCTTGCATACTGAGTGTTTGTCAAGCCTAGTCCACCCAAATCTTGGGGTACTTGTAAAGCAAAAGCTCCCAATTCCCACAAGCCAGCCATTGACTTTTCTTCAACTTTTTCTTCAGCGTCATTTTTAGCTGGGTCATTTACTTCCTAAATGAATAATTAAAAATTGAATGTGGCTTAAATTTTATAATTTTTAAATACATAATTATTAAAGAGTTACAAGGTGATGACATGAAATTATGCATACTTGCTAATCTAAGTACTATTCAAAACAGCAAAATAAACATGTTTACTTATTTTTCTATGATAAAAAATTTAAGCAAGTAAACAAATTACCTCAAAAAACTTGGAAACTGGGTCAACAAGCATTTGTAAAGTTTCTCGTTGTTCTTCATTTAGCACATTTGGATAAGGGAAGACTTGCCTTCCTTCTAATTGTCCTCTAAATATGTTCATTACAAAAGAATAATCCTCCGTGGGGGCTGACTGTTTAGGTTTTTCAGCATTTTGTACAGTTTTAGATAAATTTATAGTTGAACACGATATAAACCTAAAAATATATGTAAAAAACTATCTATAAATCAATTAATTTCTACTACCTTTGGATTTCACTGGCTGGAATTTTGGATCTGCATAATTTAGCAACTTGAAACATTTTAACAAATTTATTAATATTTTATTAAAATAAAACACAAAATAAATTTAAAAATTACAAAACACCAGTTATAAGCTTTAATAAAATCAGTGCCCAATTTTCTAAGCTACATAACACACTTTGGACATTGCCTGTAGACTTTGACCTCACAAATAAATATAAACAGTAAGCTAAATCTAATGTCAAAAAAATGTAGGTTAAAATTTTTAATGTACGTCACCCATATTCGTTTATATGTCAAACCAACAACCTAACAGTTATAGAATTATTATATATTTTATGAAATGTTTAATAAATAAAACTTTTTATCTATAAAATATAATGTTAAATTAAAAAGCAACGTATATTTAATCAATATCAATAACTAAAACAAATTTTTAATGCCGTTTTATTTGAAAAATATTCTCCACACTTTGTAAGTCAATGGTTTTCAGATTGAAAATACGTTAAGGGATATTCCCATATTAAAAATAAATCGTAAACAACAACTATAAACGTAATAAAATCAACAATCATTCAAAAAATAAATTTAATTTATAAATAAAATACACGACAAAATTAAAAAATAATTAATAAATTAAGTAATCAATGTAAAGGCCCATTACAAAATTAGTTATAACGGTTACTAAAAGATGGCACCAATAAAAGCAGTCAAAAATTATTAAATTAGGTTAGTTTTCATTTAAAAGGCTTGTGTACAATTCTAAAAATTGCAATGGGAAAAAGAATTTGCCCTTTTGATGATGACGATCACATTCAAAAGCAACAAGTAATTGATAACAATGTGAATACAACGCGTAAAATTAAATCATCTGTGTCAGGTATGTTTTTATAGCAATTTAAACAAAAAATATATTAATATCTTTTAGAAAAAACTCTACAATTGCTTTATAAAGGAGCCAGGCTACAAAATGAACCTCAACCTAATTATATAAATGTTTGTTTTTTGTTTATTTAAATTTATTTTGGGGTTTATATATATATTTTTTTAGGATAGCTGTATTTCGTGTTCAAATTCCTCATCTGTCAAATGCTGGTATTGTTTGAAAGATATTTGTCAGAATTGTTCGATGCAGTGTGATAAATGCAATGAAATGTTTTGCGGAAGTTGTGCTTTTCAAGTGTAAATATTATTGCTTTAATTAATATTTAAAAAAATACCCTTACATTTTTTTTGTAGGTATGATGCTGGACAAAACTCTCTATGTTATTCATGTTTTTAATTTATTGTTGGAACTGTAAATAATTTTTATATTAAAGTAGGGATAGGAATACTTAATTAAATTAAGTTTTATGGGAGGTCAAAAATACTGTTGGGATTTTTTAGAATTTTTATTAAATAAACTTATTTTATCGAAGTAAATTTTGTTTTAATACCTACAAACTTTTCACTTTTGCTATTGTGTTTAACTTAATTTATTTACAAAATTATTATTTTTGTAATAAAAATAAAAAAATAAAAAATTCAGGCATATTTAATAGTAACTAGATGGCGCTGCAGTTTTCAAAGGCGTTAACTGTGTTGCCTATTGTTTTATATTTTGGATTTGTTTTATTATGTTTTCTCGTAACCTAAACAATTTAAACTAATAAAACTTATTGAAAAAACGCAAAAAAGTTTGTTATTATTGTACTATGAATGAGTTGTAGATGTTTAGGAATTTTAATACAAGGTTGGGAACACTGAATACGGCGGGAATCCGGTTGGCCAGACTGGTGGACTGGAGAGAAGAGAGTGTTGTAGTCTGTGATAGATTTATTGTGTTTTTTTGTGAATTGTATTGTGAAAACTAACACGGGGGGTTAAATAATTTTAATAATGTCAACGTCGGGGGATTTTGGCAACCCCTTGAGGAAATTCAAACTGGTTTTCTTGGGAGAACAAAGCGGTAAGAATTTTTGACAATTCTTGATGAGTTGTAAACTTTCATAGCCAGGCGTAGTCAAAAGATCAATATACCCTTTATTTATTTATTTTTAATAAGTTTTTTTTATTTTAAATTATTGATTTTTGCAAAACATTAGCGACTTTATTAATGTACTTTGTTTAAAATCCATATTGTAATTTTTTTAGTTGGGTTAGGTTGACTTGTCAAATTCGTTAATTTTTGTTAATTTACGTAGGTTTAACATATTTTTTTCTTTTTTAGTTGGAAAAACCTCCTTAATAACAAGGTTTATGTATGACAGTTTCGATAATACTTATCAGGTATGTCCCCTTATAAATATGTGGCATAATATTTCATTATTTAGCTGATTTTGCTAATTTATTAACAAAGTTATTTTGTCAATTTATGCAGTCTTATCATTTTTAATTACTTAATTACCATGTTGCTCGCGATTATGTTAATTAATGAATTTTTCTCAGATTTAGTTGGGAAAAAAATACAATGGAGGAAAATTAACAGTTGTTTTTTAGGCTACAATAGGAATTGACTTTTTATCAAAGACAATGTATTTAGAAGATCGTACTGTAAGGCTGCAGCTCTGGGATACAGCCGGTCAAGAAAGATTTAGATCACTCATACCCTCCTACATTAGGGATTCAACTGTTGCAGTTGTAGTTTATGATATAACCAGTAAGAAATATTGAAATTTAATATCAACCACTTCTTATATTATTATATTTTTAAAAGATTATTAAGACCAGTTTTCAAGGTTTTTACATGAATTTTAGAAAACTACACCCTGTATGTTTGGAAATCAAATTAACAAGCAAATATTTTAAGTAACTTTTTTGTTAAAACCCAAAAATAGGAGAGCCTAGGAAAGACTAAGGTCGTTAGCCTTTTGGAGTAATCCAATAAAGTTTATTTTTATTTATTTATTTTAGGAGAGCCTTTCAAAGTTTGATTAAATTTTGAGGCCAGTCCTGGCTAAAAAACTAATTGTCTTATTTTTAGATGCAAACTCGTTTCATCAAACATCAAAATGGATAGATGATGTAAGAACAGAACGAGGTAGTGATGTAATAATAATGCTGGTGGGCAATAAAACAGATTTATCGGATAAAAGGCAGGTTAGCACAGAAGAGGGGGAAAGGAAAGCTAAAGAGCTTAATGTTATGTTTATTGAAACTAGCGCGAAAGCAGGATACAATGTTAAACAGGTATTTTTTTAAATTATTATAATAAATGGTGTTTTTTCATTAATTTTTTTTAGCTATTTAGACGCGTTGCTGCCGCTTTACCGGGTATGGATTCAACGGAGAATAAGCCACCAGAAGACAGTATCCTTTTCGACAAAAAAAGCATGATTAAATGGCTTGGCATGATATCTTTTTATTCTTGTTCAATTACTGGTTCATTAGTTTCTTGAAATTTGCGGCTTTAGTTTCGATAGAAAATGATCTCAATTGAAAGCAAGATGTAGTGTGCTATTTACTGTTTTTTATAGAGATCATTTTCTATAGAAAGTTAAGCCGCAAACTTCAAGAAACCAACAAATTTACCTAATTGAATTGTTTTTTTTATTTATGTTTTACTTTCCTTAATGTTATTTTAGTGCAAGAAGTTGTATTAAAAGACACTCCAAACGAAGTAAAAGATCCTGATGGAGGTTGTGCATGTTGATTGCTGTTTATTCCATTTGTGCTTGTTTGTACAGGTTTTCCCGATTTTAGTTAAGTATTCCCGCCCTATTTTTTTTTTTAAATCCTTACATTTTATGTACGTATTTTTTTTAGAATTTTATTATATTTTATACAAGTCAAACAAGATGTAAGATTTCTATAATACTATAACTATTTAATTAATTTTATTGACTTAAAACTATTTATTGCTTAAAACTTAATTATTTAGCACATTTAAGAAGATGAATTTATTAACTGTTGGGGTTTTACAATAATTTACACAAGTACAAGTTTGCATCCATCAAGTCCACACTATAAGACACTTTTTAAAAGAATATATTTTTTCTACACATCGATTGTAACTATCGATAATAATATTTAGAAGTGTCAAATCAATATTGCATTCTGTGATTAAACCAGCTTATTTATACTCGGAAAAATAAAATTTGAATAATGCATTTAGTAATTAATTGTTAATATTGTTTATTATAATTATTGTATACAGTATTATACTTAACCAGTGTAATCATTGTAACATTGTTTTATATAGCACATTAATTTTGTTGAAAACAAGTAATTCTATTTATTTACTTAATTTAAAATTTTATTAAACTGCAATACATTTATTAACGGTATTTTATAGTGTTTTATTTTAATATTAAATCAATGTAAGTACAAAATTTCCTTATTAAAATCACCAGCTGTCGACCTCCAAACCCAGCCTCAGCTTCAAAACGACCAACAAGACTCGGAGGGCGGTTGTATGTGCTGAAACACAAGCACTGGCATCATTTAGTTCGATAAAAACTCTTCAACAATAGCGTACACCACAAAATCTAAGCAGTACTTTCAATGCACACGTTTTCGTGTGCTGTTCGATGCGCAGAACGCGTCGGATTTTGGTTTGTCACTGCGCATCGTCTTTTCTTTCATATGTGTATTTTGCTCATTGTATAAGTAAATTATTGAGGATATTGCTTAAGATTTACTTGTGTTTACATAAAATAGTAGCCTGTGTCGAGATTTATTACGTTTCAAACGCTATTAAGTGTGACGTTTTTGTTGCAACTCGCACAATATTAGTCGTCTTGGCATACACACAACTCATCAGGTTTTTTGTTCGAGATTTTTGGAACAATTTCATTCATTTATTTTGCTACCAATCAGTTATACAAAATCATTTTTTCTATGGTATATTTGCTTCATGTTACTGAATCTAGACAAATTGAATAATAAAATATTTCTTATTGTTTATTAATTCGTTTTATTTGCAATACCTTTATTTACTGGCATTTTAATAAGCACATACCCAGACCGCAAAATCACATTCCCTGCACATGTCAGGAATATTCCAATCGTCCCAGAATATTCCCAGGAATATTCCTGGCATCATCAAATGTCCGCTTTTTGGTTAACCCAGGCATCATAAAAAGAATATTCCATATATCTGCCTGCAGAAGACTCAAGGATTGTTAGGGGAATATTCCTTGATATAATTTGGGGATTATTCCCAACCCTTATTGCCTCTTATACCCAGGAACTTAACTTAAGTATAGCCATTAATGGCTAATAATTATTGAGTTACTGAGTAGATCAGTATCACTATAATCATTGTTTGGCTGTGCCATCACAGACGCACATCTCCAACTAATATTATTAACCTATCGGTATATATAGTTATCAAGCGTGCGTAAGCAACGGTGGGAGGTATTGCAACTAAACTAATGAATATTCACTGGGAATGTTCTTAGATTATGCTTGGAAGTTTTAGAGGATCATTTTAGGAATATTCCTAGAATGAAGCGGATTATTCCTAGGCGATAGGGAATATTCCTGGAATATTTTCGAACCTTCATTGCAGTCTGGGTAGAGGTACGTAAAGTTTTTTAAGTAAAACATTTCAAACAAATCATTACCACAAATAAAACTTATGTATTTAAATCAAACAAATAATTTCATAGATCAAACCAAAATTTTTTAAATATATTTATTGTATCTTTTATAGTAAGTATGTTATGTATCAAGTTTTATAAACACTTAGGCACGAGCGAGTGTTTAATAAAAACGAGTGTTTGGAGAAGTTTATAAAACGAGTTGCATACTATACACTTTATCTATGAGCTAAAGAAATAAGAATTTTAAGCCAATTTTAATTCATAAATATTTGATGAATTTAACCTCACTTCTTTGCAATTTATAATAAAGCCAACTTCAGGGCGTGACTAAAATGCCATAAAGTCACAGCTTGTCAATGTAGGAGTAGATAAAAACAATAAACTAAATAAATAAGATAACGATGTTAAAACAATGTTATTGAATCCTAAAATAACAATTTATGTTGCAGTTAATTTTATTAAGTAAATAACTTTTTAATTAGCATGGAAGGTGTGGTGCCAATTTCTTCCCTACTCTAAGATTTAATAAATTATTACAATTAAGTTTTCCTCACATATCATACAAAATGATTTACTTGAAATATATTAAAAATCCAACAATAATATCATAGCATTTGGTACTGAAATAAATATTGTTATACTTACCCTTTATTTTGCTATTATTATTTATTTTGTATAATGTTGTAATAATATTCTGTGTGCATTTTTAATATTTTAGTCATATTTTATTGTTAAATTGTACATAAGTTTCAACAAATTTTTCTGAATAAAACATTTAAAATGCAGTGGGGGTAATTAGTGGAATAATAGAGGAAGTTTATAAACATTAATTTTATTTTATTGCAAATACATTTCCTTAAGCAATAAATTTATCAAACATACATTTAAAATATAAGAAAGAAACATCTAAATATAATTATGCACAGGAAAATAAAAGTATATCGTCAAAAAACTAATATAGATAAAAATATATGTATCTTGAAATAAAAAAATAACTTGGCGATTACTTTTATTTTAAAGATTAATTCTTAATGATACTTCAAGACATTTGAGTGGCTCAGTGCCATCCTTGCCTAAACCCCAATTGATTATTTATAAAATAAAGAGACAAAGTAAAATGGTAATAAAAAATAAAGAATGTTTTAATTGTCAAAGTTGCTCATAGATGGGCTACATTGGCATTTACAGATATAAGAATTTTAGGAAGAGGCAAGGATGGCACTGTGCCACTCATATGGTGTTTGGAAATTTTTCAATTTCCACATTTCAAATTAAAGTTATGATTAACTGTACTTATATATCACAAGTGTTAGTTAATGCCTTATTGGGATGAAACAATGTGTTTAATATTCGCGAAGCTGCTTTGTACAAAAAACTACTGTATTGAATTGAATCTTATTCAGTCAAAAATTATATGACATAATTTAGCCCCGAAGTCTTAATTAAATAAGTTCATCAAAATGATGGTTATTACCCAATAATAGTGTTGTGGCATGCCTAACAAAATATAAACAAATAAAATCATTATAAAATATAAAATTAAAAAAAAACGGGTGATATGGAATCCTGCTCTTATTTTATGTACAATCCATGTCACTCTATTAATTACTTTCCAGGCAATGGTTTGGAATACTCAAAATTTATACATTGATACATTTTTAATTATTTACAAAATAATTTTTGAAAATTCACGTTTATATCACTCTATAAATCCAGCCAGGGTTTTAGAAGTTTAAAAGAAATGGTAAAGAAAAAAAAGGAAAACAAAGCCAGCCTGTTAATTTCATATTCTATAATTATAACATTTAAACTAAACAACATAGACAGCTAAAATTCAGTACTTTTTAAACAAAAATAATAAAGGGTTTAGTTTTTTCTTAACATTCTAACAAAAATGATTATCCATGCTTGAGCATTGGAGAGGGGGAAATCCGCGACTGCGCAGTAGCTCGATGATTGACTCGATATAAGTGGAAGAAGGCGTATGTTAAGAAAAAACAAAATATCAACAAAATCAAATGTTAGTCGATTTTGAATCGAGATTTTGTTCGACATTTATTTTTCGTATGCTATGACTTATAAAAAACGGACATTGTGTACCTAGCAAACTAACGAAATGGTAACATTTATACCCAAGTTTCCGTTATCAGCAAAATGCTGCGCAATCGAATTATCGAATACTAAACAATCCGAGCCCATGATGGCGGACGCGACACCCTCGTGGCTGGACCTCGGCATTGCCTCCCAAATAAGACGTCTCCTATTCCCATTTAACTCTAACCTAAACAACCAACAATACTCTAAGAAATCGCACTTTTCATGGACTCAATCACTTACCTATACGCAAAGTGTTCGGCTTGCTTCCTAGACCCTATCAACTGTACAATCGCGAAGAACTGAGTATGGCCGTCGCTCTTTTCCTGTTTTTCTAGTACCAACATAAAATGGTGTCCAAAGCAACTTTGCATCATCACCCAATCCACAGCCCCAGCGAGATTAATCTCCGTCGCGAGAAAAACAATGTCTTCTCCATTCAATGTCGTGATATTTTTGTGGGCATGTTGAAGGTGGACCATAACTTTGTCCAATTGGCCCTAAAATTAATCATTTGCCACATCTCTTATGTCCAAGGTCCCAATAAACATTTTTGTTTTTATAGTGGTTTCCATAAATGTTATATCATCCAAATTATAAAACCTAAATTTCTTAATTTGGTTTCAGAATTATTTATATCACTCTTATGAGCTTATTTGGGGAGTTTATAAAGGTTATCAGTACCTATTTTAGTAAGTTTTATAACTAGAGATAACAGAAATATTATGGAAACCACTATATAACTTCCTAAAGTACTGCTACCGGCTTTTTTCTTCTTTTAATATTTCTCTCTCCCTCAGGCACATTTAAAATATATATTTCTTCATAGGTATGCTATCTTTCTTATTGTCATCTTATTCATTAACTTTAAACCACATGAATATTTTGAGAGGCCAAGATTTTTAACTCAAAGTACAAAGTAATTTTTATTGTAAATAAGTACCTACACAATACTTTAAAAAACAGCAGGAGACATCAAAATACCAAAACATAAATATTTTTTATACTAATAAAAAATACATGAAAATATTAATAAATACATTAATAATTTCTTTTGCTTACATTAAAGTAGTGAATTTTTTACCTTGGTTTGGTCAATTAAGTTGTTTTTGTTATACAATTCGATTAGTATTTATTTTATGTAAAAAACAATCATGTCGGAAAGAATGTATCAACCTTAAGCCCTCTTATGTTGCTCATGGTAATTTAATATAACCTAAGGTACTAGTTCAGTTTTATAGGAGTATCTAAATAACTTTAAGTGTTATTATATAATTTTGAAACTCTTATATACATTGTAGTAACTGTCGCTACTACAAGTGATTTTATAAAACTTTTGATAGGCAACCATCTAACTGCTCAGGTTAGCCATTTTTGCCTGCAGTAATAATGGTTTTAACGCAATGGAATCAATTTATTTCACTAAACATTCGATTTAATCCACTTTTAAAATATTTATGTTAATAATATTATATGCTAAATATTTTCGTTTTAACCAATTTTTAATTAAAATTATGAAAAAGCATTGCGTCGAAAGTCAATACTATGCTTAATTTCTGTTTTAATTACTAAACATTTTTGGTTTATTAAGCATATAAATAATTAATAAAACAAATAGTTTTATAAAACAGGTCACCAAAAACTCCTTTATAAACCTACTGGTAACGGTTACTAAAGGTTATATAAAATGTTTGTAGAAACAATTAAATAACCTAATCATATACCTATAGTTTACAGTAGTAAGTATTAAACTAAGTGGTGATTTTATAAAACCTTGTTAAACTCTTATATAATTTGACAACTCTTATATAACCTTTATATAATTTATCGTTACCATAAGTAGTACAAATTGTTTATTGGGGTCTTACCTGCCAAGAACATGAAGCCCCAGGACACGGACAACTATAAGGACGAAATTCGCAAATCTCCTCGTGTTCAGCTTTTTCATTCAAACCTAGAGACATCCTACATCCAGTCGATTTATGTTTACATGGAAACATTAAATTGTTTGCTACCTTTTCCATCGCCAAATTCCTAATATTTCCTGCAAAGACAACCCTGTAACTGTAAACGCTGCGCATGACCAAACATGTACTGCACTCACCTAAAGTACCTCTGCAAGTAGGACAACAAGACAATTTTGGTCTACAGCTAGCACAAACCAAATGCCCGACCTGACATTGCATAATAGGAGGAAGAACAATTTCAAAACATACAGGACACTCGAACAGTGCTGCCAGCTCGTCAGTCAAAGTGCCTGGTGCTGTACCAATGGCGGAAAGTTGCGTGGTGGAGCTTGTTGAAGCCGACGGGTCACCACTACTGATTCCCCTCCTTTTTTGGCCCCCTACTTGTGCCATGATATCGGCAAATCCTTCAACAAAATATCAATATCCAGCTAAAATTGACATCAAGTCGACATTCTTCTTCCGATATTTAGTAGTAAGGAAGTTCTTAACATCCGAACGCCTTGAAAGAGAGTGGGGATATTTTGCAGCGGCACACCGCAGTTCTAGTTTTAACTTGACATTTTTAATATATTTTAATAAATAATTAATTGTTTGATAGTCAAAGTTTATTGTATGTTAATAAGAATATATATGGGTCATTCCACCAAATATTTTTTTTTATTGTGCCACCACTGAGGATTTTTTAAAGTTTTGTGCAGTTATTATCTACATTATAAAGACGATTATTATTTCTATGAAAGTACTTAATATTAAGAGCTCAAATCTTCAGCTAGTCATTATTATAATGTAGAGAATAACTCAACAAAATTTAAAAAGAGATCTGCAGGGGTCACACCCCAAAAGAAATTTTATTTGGTGGAATGACCCATATATTTATTATGAAAAAGGTAGAGAAAAATTAATTTTTAAGAAATTTTAACTTCATGGGGCATCGCCCCCATTTTATTCTTTGAACTATGTTAATGGGAATTTTGGTTCCATTTATTTAATTTTACACTCAGTTTTTAAGAATTTTGGTGTTAAAAAAAACAAATAAATGACATAACACCATATAAAATACCTATTATAAATTACAAACATAAACTATTAATGTTAAGGGTTAAAACCAAGTTCAAGGTTAGAAAAATCAATACCAAATCAATTAAAAATACCTATTATTGTTATTTTCATTAAAATGGTTTTTGTGCAGTGACAAAAAAATACTTCAATAAAAAGTATTTCAACAATTTATCAAATTAGCATTAATGAAAGTTTTTCGGTTTGTCTAATTAAAAGCCTGGTGAACCATAAATATTCATAAAAATGTGATGAATTTGTTAAATCAATATATAATAATTATATATAAATATGTAAGCAGTGGTATACTAAATATAAAATTAAGAAAAACCATGCAATTGTTTGAACCAAATTATTGTAAATGATGTAAAAGTGTTAAAAACTAACTAGAGCACAAGGGCTATAATCGGCAGTGAAGATAATTACAATCTTAAAGAGTAGAAAAAACGTGTTATTATTATTATGTATTCTTACTTTGTTTATATAATGATGATCAGATATGCAAACTATTAATCCCAGTTATAAGTTGATACCGTCAGTACGAAATTTTATTTTTCGTCTGCGGATATTAGGTCTCTTAACCATAATGATCTAAACGTTTTAAAAACACTTAAAATCCCGTATCATCTAATATCACAAAAGTTTTGTACACTTATATCAATTTCGACGCCATAACACATATGAAATGACAAGTGATCCAATATGGGGATTTTCTAGTAAGCCACTACCAACCTATAACCTTCAAACTAAACGTCAACATTTTTTGAAGATCTTGTATTTTGCTTAAAGTACTCCTTATAATTACACGAAACTAATGAGAAACTTATTAAAAATGTTAATTATCGGCAATGAATTGCTTACCTTTACCTTAAAAAAGGTTTTTTCATTTAATGATTTACACTATTGCTAAGGTCTCTTCGCATCTCTCTACCCAGAACCCTAACTTTCGTTAACAGTTTGGACTGCACTTAGTTTGTTGGTGTTTTAAGATACGACAATTCATTTGTTATTTACATTTTTTTTATAGTTAATTAGGGTATAGTTATAGGGTAATTTGAGTTCAGATTATTACAATTTTAGTGTATTTGTAGTATGTGAAGACAGCTTAATGATGCAGTTATTGGCAGTGAATTTATTGTGGCAGCACTGGTACCTATTGTATTTGTATTTTGCAAATGGCTACCAAAAATTGACATTAGTAAACAGGTGATCAATTTTATTGTAGTAAAAATCAAACATCAATTTATTTAACTTGTTTGCCGAAATTTTAACCGGAGACTTAATTATAAAATGTGCGTTTTAACTTAATTGAACAATGGAGGAACCGATTAATCGTTCTCAAGGAGGGGAATCTGACATGGAATGTTCTGACAATGAATGTTATGAAGAGTATTATTATGATCTAAACGATGATAGCGATATAGAACAAGTTGATCCTTCCAAAAAAGACCCTGAACATTTTGAATACAAATGCTTGTTAGAGGAACAAGTTGAACGATTACTAAATGAAACTGTCGAACGATTGAGTAATATGTTGGATATTACACCTTCTTTAGCCAAAGTAAGTTTAAGATTGATAACCTTTAGTTAAAAATATTTCTGCCTCAAGAATGCTGACTTAAATTGTGATGTTTTTAGGTACTTTTACATAGTCATTCGTGGAATAATAATGAAATTGTAACTAAGTATAGAGAAAATCCAACCAATCTACTAGTTACATCGAGGATAGAGCCGGCTGTTAGTTCTACAATTACCCACAATGCACGGTACATTCACTGTCCTGTGTGTGTTACGCCTCAGTCGTTAGATAAATTTTATAGCTTGTCATGTTCTCACATGTTTTGCAAGGATTGTTGGACGACGCATTTTGAAGTACAAATCACCCAGGTAAATACTAATAGTAATGTAATTTTAAAAAAATGTAAATTTTTTTTTTAGGGAATATCGACAACAATAAGTTGTATGGCAAGAGACTGTGTGGTTTTGGCACCTGAGGATTTTGTATTAAAACATCTGACACGTCCCAACATGCGCGAAAAATACCAACAATTCACATTTCAAGACTATGTTAAATCCCACCCCGAGCTGAGATTCTGCCCAGGTCCTAACTGTTCCATAGTGATTCACAGTAAAGAAATGAAGGCAAAGAGAGCGACTTGCAGCCAGTGCAAATCAATATTCTGCTTTAGATGCGGCATGAACTACCACGCCCCAACTGACTGCTTAGTAATTAAAAAATGGCTGACAAAATGCGCAGATGACAGCGAAACCGCTAACTATATTAGCGCCCACACCAAAGACTGTCCAAAGTGCCACATTTGCATCGAGAAAAATGGAGGCTGCAACCACATGCAATGCTATAACTGCAAGCACGACTTCTGCTGGATGTGCTTGGGAGATTGGAAATCGCACGGCTCGGAATACTACGAGTGCTCCAGGTACCGAGAAAACCCCAATATAGCCCACGAATCGGTCCACGCTCAGGTAAGCAACACTGCGCAAAACTCAACCGGTTTCGATGGCGTACTGCGCAGAAGTGCTCGTTTACAGTGATGAGTTCGACGGAGTTTTCACAAAATTAAGTTGACGCCCGTAAAACACTTTTAAGACAGTTATACAGGGTGGATTCCTTAAGTTTTTTTCCATCTTACCATTATCGTTTTAAAGTGTTGGAAATAACCGGTAAAATTAGGCAAAAAACCTGTTTTTCTCCAGGTCTTGAAAAAATTGCCTTTTTTGGAAAAAATTGTTTTTTTTTAAATATACACATTTGCAAAAAAGTAGCAATTAAGAACTTAATAATAATAATAATAATAATTTTAATTTAAACAAAAAAAATCCTTTTTACAGAAAAAAATTAAATTAAATACCTAAGTTAAATTACAAAATTATAATAATAGAAATCAAAGTGTCAAATAAAACAATAGTTATTTATAGTGGCATACAACATTTTATCTTCAAAGCACTTTATATAGGTCAATTTAATTCAACATCAAAGCGGCCTAACCTCACTTTTTTAGAATCTCATTTATTTATTAGCTAAAGATTACATTAAATGTACAATAATTATTATTCCTTTTAGAAGCAGTAATAGTTTGACAATACCTAGCTACATGATTTAAGTAGAAATGGATTTTTGTAAGAAAATGGTTTACTTACCCTCTTGCTATTACATTGAATTCAATTTATTGTTTAATAAATAGGTATATAATTTCAATTTGTTTGCATTTTTATTAAAAAAATAGGTTGTTTGTGTTTACGCTGTGTTTAACATTTAATTTCACTGAAAACTTAAAGCAACCCAGAGAGCCATGCTTTGGGAAAGAAATTAGTCAACTTTTTCCCAACTAAGTTTGGACTACGATATTTTACATTTATTGGGGTTTATTTGGACATATTAATTGCATTTTCATAAAGTTTGACCAAAAATTGACATGTTTTATGCCAAATTATTTTCCAATGCGATAGCACAAAAACTACACAAATATACAGCCCTAGATAGAGTTATTATTGGCCAACGTCGTTTGTAATGAAGTTTGGTCGAAAATTGGCAAAGCGTTTGTAATTCAGATTGATCGAAACTTGGCAAATAATTGATCAGCATGGAAAAAGAATCGCAATGGCGAGTTACATATGTCGTTAATATTTTAAGACCTTCTCTACAAAAAGGCGTCAAAAAGTGCTTGTGTGATAGTTATTACAAAAAAATATAATCATCTGTGCACTAACTACCTAAACGTGTTAAGTTTTAAACGGCTTTAAATTTTGAGTAAGTAATTAAGATTATGTTTTCAAAGTTTTTAATAAAACATTCAATAAGCGTTTTATTTACCCAATCTTCAAAAAATTAATAGATAGATTAATAGATTTTAATATAAATGAGAAAAAGAGTAATATTCTTTCAAATATAATAATAATATTTGTTAATACTTTGGATTTGTCCAAATATTTACCAATATTTGGTCAATTTTTCAAAAGCCTAATTGCCCAAATAAACATCAAAAATTTGTCATCGTTTTTCCATGCCCAAACATTCCCAAAATTAAACCAACGGTAACCTACCTAATTTATCCAAACTGCTTTGGCATATTATTGGGCACAATTTGGTCATTTATTGTTGGCCATCGCGATTGCACAAATACCATAGGAATATACAGTCCTACATAGTACATTTATTGGCAAAACTTTTCCAAAGGTAATGGGCAATTCTTGGCCATGTTTTAACCTGATATGGCTCTCTGGGAAATTAAAACTTAAAGATAATTTAAATCGTAGAAAAAGAAAACACAACTGTGAAATCCACAGAAACGTCAAATTGCAATGTCCTAACCTCATTTTTTGTTTTATTATTCATATTTAATTTTACAATTATTTAATGAAAAATAATAAACATTAACAGTAAAAATTAGTGCTTATTATAAATAAATTAAACCAGTTTAGTACGTTAATTTTTTAGAAAAGGATTAATTTGTCAAAACAATACCCCTAGCGAGAAAAAATCGAACTAATTACTTGCCTCATAAAATTTTTTATCGGCCTAGCCCATAACAAGTTATTTCTTTATCGAATGTTGACAACAATAAAGTTTAAATTATAGACCGCGTGGAGATAAAAGTTAATAGAGCACCGAATATGTTTTTTGCGGCCCGGTAGAATATTTTTATTGAATTAAAATAAAAGGAATAATTATTATAATCATTTCTATCTATATATATATAAAAATGAATTGCGTGCGTTAGTCCTGCAAAAATTCGTAAATCGCTCAACCGATTTAAATATTTTTTTGTTTTGTTCGCCTTAATTTAAATAAAAAATAAATTAGGAAAAACCGAAAGGAACAGCCGGAAAATCGAAAAAATCGAAATTCCTGCAACTTTGAATTAATTTGAATAGATGGCGTTCGTAACTGCACTTCAAATTAAATAATAAACATAACCACAAATTCATTCATTTTTGTTTGCCTGAGTGGAGTTGAAAGGTTGAAAAGGATTGATTATTATTCACCGGGTCATCTAGTATTATTATAATAATTATCGTGGGAAATTTACTTTTTCTCGATATTAGTCTATGAATATCATCCGTAAAAATTTGGAAATTTTCAGGAAGATTGACTTTTGCATTTTTTTCGTATTACACTTTGAATAAAATGTAGATAAATATGTATGTTTACAAGTAAAATTTTATTTTTTTTCAAGTTATAATGATTTTTGGTTTTGATTATTTGAGAACTGCTGATTTTTTTTCAATTTTTAAATGCCATTTTTATAGACTTGTAATTACGCAACTTGTGTCTCTTCAAATAAAAAAGACACCCATACCAAGTAGGTGCACCCTGTATATTGCTTAAGGTGACATTCTTCAGACAGTTATATCTTGCTTAAATTGACATTTTGTTTGTATCCGATAATTTTAAATTAAATGTTTAAAATTATCACAGAACAACAAAATAAACGAAATATATAAATCTACAATTTTTTAACATTAAAAAAATCAATACTCTGTAGAATAAATCAAAAAACCAACTTGCTTGACAATCTAGACACCGATATATAGCGCCGTGGGCTTGGATCACTGTTCGTGCCGATGCTGCGCAGTACGATTGTTGTTTCGTGATGCTACTACGCAGTATGTAATAGAACGTGTTGTTCCAGGCGCGGGAGGCGTTGAAAAAGTACCTGCACTACTACGAGCGATGGGAGAACCATTCGAAGTCGTTGAAGCTGGAGGAGCAGACGTTGGAGAAGCTGCGTAGCCGGATAAATCAGAAGGTGATGTCCGGTTTGGGTACGTGGATTGATTGGCAGTATTTGTTCAGCGCGGCCGGTTTGCTGGCGAAGTGTCGGTATACTTTGCAGTACACGTATCCGTTTGCTTATTATATGGACCCCGGGCCGCGGAAGGAGTTGTTCGAGTATCAGCAGGCGCAGCTGGAGGCCGAGATCGAGAATTTGTCGTGGAAGATCGAGCGGGCGGAGACGACCGACAGAGGCGACTTGGAAAATCAAATGGATATTGCGGAAAAACGAAGAACTACTCTCTTAAAAGACTTTTTAGATGTGTGATATTTTTCTTATATATTTTAATTTAAATTTGTAGAATAATTGGTGACTTTTCAAGCTAAAAGATGAGACACGTTGGATTTATTTATTGTATTTATTCTGCCAAATATAGCTTTAATAAATTATCATTTTCTTAGAATTCGTTAAACTACACTGCGCGTCAAAATTAACGCATAACAAGTAAAAAAATCCAACTCTAAAGCGGCTTTACCAATCTTTATAAAATTTTGAATAAAAATACTTTAACTTATATATCAGTTTACGTGTTTAAGGGTTTTTCGAGAAAATATCCTTAAAGCCCTTTTATTTAATAATAAAAAACGCTGAAAAAAAACTTTTATTAGAGATTTTTTTTTTAAAAGTAAATAAAAAATATGCTGTGAAAGACCGTATTTTTGTTGGTATACCCTAAAAATGTACAAATCAAACGAACATACAGCGCTTTAAAGTCGTCAAAAATAATCAAAAAGGGGTAATTTTTACCGACTTTGAAGCGGTGCATCTTCGTTACTCTTCGTTTGATTTGTACAAAATTTTCAGGGTATACTAACAAAAATACGGTCTTTAACAGCATATTTTTTATTTGCCTAAAAAAGTTATTTTTTGAACGTTTTTAATTATTAAATAAAAGGGCTTTAAAAATATTTTCTTGGAAAACCCTCAAACACGTAATTATGCGTTAATTTTGACGCGCAGTGTAGTTAATCAAAAAAGTTTAGTCTCTTATCTTTGGCGGATTTGACCAACACACCGTAATTGCTATGTTGCCAACAGCTCATATTTTAAACATTAAACAAATTAGACTGTGATGTGCATTGCATTCTTCCAGAAATTAATTAATTGGAAGGATGTTGGCTTCAGAACCTTAACTTAATTAATATGAGAGCACTTACACTAGATTTTTTTCTTAAAATTCACTCCAAGGGTTTGTTTATAGGTATGTGCAATACAGGCATCTTTTATATTAATACAATAATTATTTATGCTATTTATTTTTCAAAATATTTCAGTCAAACCATACGTCTAATATCGATGGCACCCACTATACACCACCAAAATGTTGTCGTAAACTTATTGCCATGTTTGTCTGGACTATGAAAATATGTTTGCTAAAGCTGGTAAATAATATATATTTAGGAAAAGTATGATTTTTTATTTTTTTTACTAGTCAGGTTTTTAATATAGTTTAAGCAGGCTTCCATAGTTGCCAACTCGATAGATGGTCCATTTAATTACAATTCTAAATATTTGCCATATTTTAAGCAATGATATGTCATTGTGTTTAGTCTACTTGTAAATATTACCTATAGTTGTTGATTCTTAAATAAAATTATTGAAAAAATTTTGCACCAAAGTATGTGTAACACACACATTTTTTTACTAATTCTTCATGTGCATGAACTTTATGAAATTTATTCGGCACAGTTGATTTGCATTCCACCATCTTAATTTGGTGCACAAGTTCAACCTTAAAATGAGTGATATTTACACAAAATCGCAAAATTCTACTTAAATCTACTAACTTATTAGCTTCGAAAAGCATTGACACTTATTCAAAGCAGTTTATTGTAATATCTTATGAGTATTTTTATAATAGGCTTATTTTTCGAAATTATTTATTAAAAAGGCAATAATTTAGTTTTATTTACTTATGTGTAAACGTTTTAAATTATTTATTTGTAATATTTTAAATACGATTGTATATATTTAAATAAAAGTTGTATTCAATATCTAGTTTTTTTGTCAAAGGAAGGACCAACATACACCAGTATATATTTTATGATTATTTATTTGTTATATATTATAATGTTCTACTGTATGGGTACATTTTTACAAAAGCTTTATTTAAAATGGCGGTAAATAATTTATAATCAATCACTATTTTTCGTAAAATTCGGATTTTTCTGTTAAAAGACGTTCACATAAAACTATTAAACAATTTATTTCAATAAAATGCAAATTGACATTTTAATTCTTTTTAATAAATATTTTATTTATATACATGCAAAATCACAATGTTAATAAAAACATTGGTAACAGTCAAAACAATTTAGTCTAAAAATATTTAAATATTTTCGTGTGAACATCTGAGCTCTATAAAAAAAACTTAAAATAAATAAAATCAAATTTTATACGCGTTACATATAAAAAAAATCTTGTATACCTAGAATGCATGGTTAGGTAAACCATCACCCTATAAATAAAATCAAATAAATTATATACAATTTACACCTTGAGCATAAAATAACAATACCTTAAATAAATTGTACACAAATAATAATTTACAAAATATAACTATAATACTTATTGTCTGGCACTAACTTTCAAATATAAATGTCTAACAGCAACAAATATATTTCAAACGTACAATAGGCCAAACTTTGAACACAACCTTTGAATTTTGTACAACCAACAAAAAATTTAACTGTAAAAGTTATCACGTTGCTGGTAGAGAGGCAATGGCGTTATTGGCGAGGAATCCTCATCCTCCGTGCTCATTTGGTGCGGCTGAAGGGGCAGTTTTTGCAAGGCCTTCACTAAAAATAAAAAAAAACAATACTCCTAAACCGTCCCTCAACTCATCTACCCTATCCAACAACAAATCTTTTCATAATTTAAGTCTTTGTTATTGTTTAGTGATCATTAAAAACGAAACAAATATGAAGAAGAGTTAAATGAAAACAACACTTGGTTAGTGAAACACTTAAGGTGGATTTAGCCAGCATTTAATATAATGTAATCTACCACCACTGTAAAAGTCACATTTCGTAATGGCATTGTTGCTGAAAAGTGCACTTTTCAGCCAAGTTCTGTTTGAAAAGTGACAAGTCTGTGTAAAAAGAAATTGACAGCATCGTTTGACATTCAGAGTCTGAATTTTGGACGATTTCTTCGAATTTGCGTGATTTCATTATCATTTGTATTGTATATGTAAGTGTAAATATCATTTAGAACACAATTAACTGTGTTTGTATAATAAATTCTAATTTGTAGTGCATTTATTTGAATTGAGAAGGTAAGTTTATTGATTTTAAGTAACTTATACCTTAAAATGAAACAGCTAACTGTCAAACATGTTTTTAGGTTATTTAGTTTTGTATTTGAAAATAAATTAAACGCTAGCATAAAAAACTCGCTTTTCAACACTTGTAAAACAAATAACTATTAATCATTAATAATTAATATAATTTAACAAAACATTGCCATTAATACAACATTTAGTACCGTCAAACGGGGCGAATCAGGACTAAGGGGTCATTCGGGACAAATCGACGCCACCTTAGAAGTTACGCAAATTTGCACATTTGGCGAATGTTTTCAAGACGAAAAATGGATGTTTCTTAAAGTAGACACTCTGGGCATCTTCTTGAAGGATGTGGGCATTATTTCGCTTATAAACACGGGACATGGTGTTACGGTGGGCGCGACAAAAAAATACGTTATTTTAATACAGCGCGAAACTCTTGTTGGTACTGGTACTTAAAATTATTTTTGAGCTCCGTCAATTTATTTAGAGTATCTCAAACATTTTAGTCACCTGTTGCGCCTAAGCAAAAGTTTTTAAGTTTTATAGTTTTTTTTTAATCAATTTTTTTTATTATTCTTCTCACTTTATGGCGTCAATTTGGACAAAGGTCCGCACCTATAAAAGAACCCCTGTGGGGCAAAATTTATCAAAATTATGACCCGCGAACATTACAAATAGCGTTGGGTCAGATCCGAAAGGATGACCCTCTTGTTTTATCTGCCAATTAAAATATAAAGGGCTTTATTTTAGAAGGAGCTAAATAAATAGGCTTTTCTAATATGACGTCATCAATAAAAAAAATTGAAAACTGTTTTTTTTATATTTTTTGTCCCTATTGACCCCTTACGCGGGGTTAATCGAACATTTTCGAGCAAATAAGCCTCTGTCCTGATTGACCCCAAATGCGGGGTCAATCGGGACACCTCTAAAAATATTTTTTTTGCGTTTACGATAAAAGGTAAAAACGAAGCATTGTTTAAAAGTAGAAACAGAGGAGTTCACTTTCCTCCAAAAATTGTTGATTTATCTCATTTAAATAAAAAGATATTCAGGAAAATAACTGAAAATCGTTCCGATTCGCCCCGTTTGACGGTAAATGGTATTTTTTTAAACCGATGTTGGCAAGACTGTGGTTAACTGAATGATCATTATCTTTACTTTTAAGCATATCACAAAGATTTTAAGCACAAAACAATATAAATAACCTTGATAATTATATTTACTTTTAACTTGGAAGACTTTTAAGCACAAAACATTATAACTAACCTTCAAACATTGGATGGGAAATGTTGTAAATAAAGTTGGTATTACGCCGCGCAGGCGCAGATTCACTTTCATGTAATATAATTTAAGAAAAGTTTAAAGTTGGCCAATTTTACATTACATTATGTTACATTAAATGCGTCCATAAAGTTTTATATTTTAATAGTATATTATGTCTCAAGTTTTATAAATGCCATTTTAGTTACGAGTTTTATTAGACACGAGCGAAGCTTGCAAGCGAGTGTTTAATAAAAACGAGTGTCTAGAGAAGTTTATAAAACGAGTTGCATACTATACTTTATCTACGACGCACACGAAGAAGAATTTAGAGCCAATTTTATTTGTTAAACATCTGTCAACTTTTAACGAATTTAACCTCACTTTTCCCTAATTTATAATAAAGCTAACTTCAGCCCGTGACTAAAATGCCCAAAAGCCACTGTTGCTAACTTCAGCCCGTGACTAAAACGCCATAAAGTCGCAGCTCGTCAATGAAGGAGTAGATAAATTAAATTACGTTACGTTAAATTACATTCAATTAAAAGCCGGCTAAATCCACCTTTAGGTAGGTACACTTACATTTTAATAACGTTCTTCTTTATTTTTGTTTTTGTTTTTTTCAAGCGTATCTATAAAATCGTGATATTTAATTATAATCGAGCAAAAATTGTAGTAGAGCAGGCACTTGCAAAGTAACTCACCTCAAAAAATAAATAAAAAATAACACACCTTCATCATTCAATAGCACACTGCAAGCCAAATCAATTAATTTTCATCTGGAACGTTGTTACCTATGAAATAAAATAAAAAAAATGCAAAAAACTAGAACGCTAAACGTGCTACATGCGAAAAATAAAAGAATGCAAAAACAATAAGTCGGATTTTGTACCTGCGACGATTTTACTCATTTCCATTACTTGTTTGGCCAAGATCTGATTGAGTTGCAATAGGTGTTCCCTTTGTTTTTTCTCTTCGATCATTTTTGTTGTGGCTTTGTTTGTTATGATGTTTTGAGTGTTTTCAAAGGGCTTGTCATCTAAAAACAAGTCGATAAGTAGGTACCTACATGTGTTTGTAAGTTGTTTGTCATTAAATACCTGTGGCGTTAGTCGAAGTGCCGCTTATTATAGCTGTATCTGAAAGCATTTTCTTGATGGACTCCACCTTTCGCAGCCTTTGTTCTTGTTCTTCAGCACTCAGTTGTGGAAGTTGCTCGGGGATGTACCGCTCGGGTATATTGATCTTGTTCGGGGTGCCTAGTATGTTATCTATGGTGCTTTCGTTGTATTTTAACTCTTTGTTGCCTAACGTGGACCGAACCACATCTGGGGCATCAATTCGTTGCCTTAGAGCTCTTTCCATGTCCAAATCATCGCGAGCTCGTCTCGTGTTCAAAATCATTTTGTCAAAGGCGTTATCGTCAGTAGGCAGTTGATTTAGGCTTTTCATTATTAAATTGTTGTGAGGGGCTGTGTAATGTCTGCGTTTTTCTTTCGGTACGGCCCTTCTGTTCGTTTTCTTGGGGGTTTCCTGTATGGACATTTCGGTGATTATTTGCCTCGCGGCTTCACTCTTAAATATAGGCGATAATTCTGGCGATCTTTCAGTGCTATTAACATTAACACTTTTATTGTCATTAAATTGAGGCAAGCTGGGACTCGATAGTGAATTTTGGAGCGCCAATCCACAATTCTCTTCGTATTCCTGATAAGCCAGGGTGGACGTTTTTTGTACAGGCGTGGGTCGGAATAATATGCTCGAACTCTGCGAGGAATCGTCTTCTTCAAGCAAAGCATCCCATTTGCTCGTGCTGGTTACCTTCTCCCTGTCTCTCTGTCTTCTCTCCGATTCGCGTTTCACAATCCTCACCGTCTTTATTTCCTGCTTTTCCTGCGTAACGTTGGAGTGCTGCGTAGTATCGTCGCTCGTCGAATCGCTGGACTTCATCACGCGATTATAGTAGTCGTCAGGGTTTTGTTTTATGTCAGTGTTGATGTATAGAGGTGTCGTAGGTGTTGATGTCATGTTTTCCCACGATTCCCCGTGATCAACGATCGACATTGTGTCTAAATCGGTCTCCCTCCAACACGATGTCACTTTTTTCTTGTTACCTAAAGCTAATTGAGGAAATATATGAATAAACTGTGCAGGGATGTGTTCCATGAAATTGCGACTTTACCTTCTATAAAAAATAATCTCTATAGAATGCCGTGCTCTGATTGGTTTATTGCTTTCTATAGAGAACATTTTCTATAGAAAGCTAAAAATTGAGTGTCATGTCACTTACATTGTAGATTGTGTATATTGTTGGTGGATTTCTGCGAATTGCTCGACTTGTCCGTCAGCTGCCTGACTTGCATGCTGAGCTCTTGGCGTTGCTTTTGCAGATCGCCGATTTTCTTTTGAACCCTATGTAAATCCGACTCTAACATAACATTTGTACCGACAACGCAAGGCAAGCTATCACCTACAAAACATCGATTTTTAAGCACATTTGGAAACATGCCACATTGATTGAACGACTCACCTGCGTTGGAAAATTGGGGCGAACTGCGGTTTTGCCTGGAAGTCTGCAATTTTTGCTTGAGGACGAGAAGTTCTTGCTCCAACCGAGCGTTACCGGCCACAGTTTCCTCCAATTTCTTCGAGTTTTGTGCTAGCATAAAATGTACTCGACTCAATTCGTTCTCCAACATTATTTGCTGCTTTCTAGCTTGTTCCACCTCGGCGGGATCGTTAAATCCCTTATTAATCCTCATTCTTAAGCCTCCTAAAGCCCTTTCAATATCTTCCTTGTCTTGCTGAAGATTTTGCAACGTTCCTGACTCCTCGTGGATAAGTCTATCCAGTTGGTATAATTGTTGCACTTTTTCCTGCAACTGATAGTGATTGGGCGTTATTCTATTCCAATCACGTTTCTCTTCAGCCAACAATCTGCGCTCCTGTATCTGCTGATTGAACTCTAATCTATCCCTTATATATGGATTGATATTGTTATCATTTGGTACGCGATATAAAGAACCTAATTTAACCATGTTATCCACTAAATTTACCAAGGGTTTACCCTTTTCGTATTGCTTTTCAAGCTCGATTAAATGTTGCTTAATTTGCTCCAACTTTTGTAGATTCTCCAGTCTTTTTTGTTGATCCATAAGATGCAGTTGTGCCTACAAATACAACGCGATATAAAAACAACAACGACGCAGTGTAACAAAAAAGAATCAAGCCGCATTAGTAAAAAATATGTTCTTCCTTCACCATTTAGTAGATGTTAGTACGCTCGGAAATGTTAATAAGTACACGTTTTAAAAATGGCAAACCTGTATGGTATCAATTTCATTGTAACTATTTTCAATGGCTTGTAAAGTCTGCGCGTTTTGTCTGCGCAGTTGTATCAAAAGTAAAACTAACTCCTCATGCGTTCTGCCTAGTAATTCGCCCGCGGATACGTTCATTTTACTATCATTACCCTGCCAGTTTTCCTAAAGACATTATTATTGGAAGAAAATGTAAAAATAATGAAACTTGAAGATAAATGCATTTGGAAAACGCTTGAAAAGAAACCAGTTGGTTAAACTAGTTTTTGTCGCTTTCTGAGCTTAACAAGTTACTTGTAAATAACTCAAATGCAGTTTTCTTTAACATAGGCAACTTATAGGTACTTACTTTTTTAGATGCAAAAGAGATATCCGGTTCGTGTTGATTAGCTGGATTATAATAACCCTGCGGCTGAGACCTTAAAGAAAGTTATTTAATTTAATTATTGCATAACTATTAATAGGCTTATCTTACATATATTGATCAGCTTCATTTCTATGTAAGTTCGTTACGGATCTCGCCTGTAAATTTTGCGTTGGGGTCCACATTCTTTTCGATTGTCCGGATCTTGGGAAGGTATCTCTTGTGTTCAATGAAATACTACCTGAGGCTAAAGAGTTGCCAAATTAATATTGTGTTCATTTATCTAATTATTACTGTATTACTCCAGTCAAACCGTACTTTTGAGGGCGTGTATTGAATGCCAACGGAAAGCTTTTCCACAAAACAAGAACATTGTAGAGAATTGTTATTGCAAAATTTCCGTTGGTCCCCACTAAACACCATCGAAATGTGCTACCGTTTGCCTGGCTATATGAAAATGGACATAAATTTATACAAATTTACACCATATATATACATAATTTACATATAACAAATGAATACCTGGCTTCTGGGTGGTATCTGGTACAGTCTCATTTTCAGCACCTACCTCTACCACAGCACTGTTGCCTTGTTGGACCTGAGAGTTGGCAACGGTGGATAATTGATCTTCTGAGGGTGCGCTGGATAGTAAGTCCCATTGCCTTAATTTTTCGCGGTCTATAATAAAACTGCCTTCTTTTTTAATCTCATTAGGTTTGTTACCTTTTTGCTGCAATTTATCTTGTATGGGCATGTTGAAGAAGTTATCATTAACGTAAACAACGCCTCTGGTTATACCTCTTGGTGTTTTCTTTTGTGGTTTTTTATTGTCCTCGATACAATCCAAGTCCTCCATGGATTTGGTGTGTCGTTGACTAGCCGTTCGCAGTCTCTCGCGCCATATTGAATCCTCCTCCCACAAATAACTCCCCTCAGAAGCATTGGTCTCGTTATTAGCTGCATTACTCTCCATAGTATCACTCAGAACGTTCTCCAAAAGTCCCTCCAAAGAGTGACTCCTTCTAACATTACATTCAGTATCGATAACATCACTATTGGAATTGAACTTGTCGTTTTTACGGATTGGATAGAAATTCCTGGCTGCTGGGCCTGCGTCTGATATTTTTTGCCGTTTCAACGTGTCTGATTCGTATATATTTTTCTTGTCGATGTGTCCCGACTTATCGGTTAAGTTCAAAAAGTCCACTGATACAGATCTTGCTTCGACGGCTAACTTAAAAGTAACACCTTCATTTTCACTTGTGTTTAAAGTTTGGCTATTACATTTTAAAGGGTTCACAATGTGTGTTATGTCTTTTTTGCTGCCATTCATTGCGCCTCGTTGATTGTTTAATGTGAGTATACTCGATGTGCACTCATTGTTGGAAGTGTTGACAGATAGATCGGAGTAATAGTAAGGCGCCGCTGGTTGGCTAAATGACGAGTTCGATGATTTATCGCGTCTATCGGAAAAGTAAGAGGAAACTGTTGGCAACTCTTGCGTGCTCATCGAGCTATCAATTCTTATACTCGGCGTGGAACAATTTGAGTTTCTTAATAGTACGCATATTTCCGCCGATGTGGAAGCACTACTTTCAGGTCTTGCTCTTAAAACATAATCTTCGGATAAAATTGGCCGATCTTCAGTCGACGGTGCGTGGCTTGTCGAAGGACTTTTTATCGAATAGGAATGCACCGGCGTACTTTTCTCGATTTTCTTCGGTAAATTGCTTATAAATAAGTTCTCGTAATCGTGAGTTTTCAAGCCAAACTCATTGCCATCATCATTGCTAGCCAAACTTATGTTGCTTATTTGTAGGTCTTTTAGATATTGGTCCAGGTCTACCGTCTCGTTTGTGTCAAAAGTGCCATCCATGGATTCCAATTCACTGCAACATTCCTCCGACACAGGGCGCCGTTTTAACATCATCTCGTACTCTTTTATTCTCGGCATTCTTAATTCGATATCTGAGTCGCTATTGTGCGATAACCGACTGCTGTATCGTCTTTCTGTTTCTATAGTCATACTGCCTACAGATGACGTTTCAGGGTCCTTACTGATACTTGTAAAACATTTCTTGGTGTCCAAAGACTGCGTGCTGCCCTTCATGTACTTGGCAGTACTATTGAACAAATGTGTATTGGCACTATTAAAGAACTGATCTGAATTTCTATTAACTTGCACTGAGAACCCGTATGTTTCGTCTTTTTTCTCTTTGTTCCGTAACTCAGCGTTTTCCTCATCGTCAGGTGGAGGCGAGCTCGGTATAGGTGGTGGCGACACAAGTTCGCTGTCGGAACTGTCCTGAAACTCTGGAACCGTATGGCTGGCACCTAGGTAGTAAGAAGCCGGCCTGAAAGTGTCAGATAAGCTAAATCTCGACCGACTCGGCGTGTCTAAGGAATCTAGATCCTTTGAGGCTTCATCGTCAGCATCTGAACTGTCAGATTTGCTTCTGGGTGACATTAGAATGTCGGGGAGCTCTTTTGGTTCTTTTTTCGTCGGGACGCTAAGTGGATGTTTCAGCTCCATATAAACAGGTTCAAAAGTACCTTCATTAAAGCATATTAATTCATATGGCTGTTGTTCGTTTGGGTCCATATTAAGCGATCCGGCTAACAAGCTTAAATTTTGGCTCATTTCAACATAGGGGTTTTCTTCGGGATCATTAAAAATGACCGTGGCATCACTATTATTGCTATTTCTAGGTCCTAGTATGGCTTTACTGGCAGTCATCGTCATATAGTTCTCTTCCGTAGTTATTTCTAATTCGCTTGAGGATACAGACTTTTCGATTTCAGTCTTTTTTTCGAACTCCGCCAAAATTGACTTGACCAGTGCACCGTTGCTTTTGATCTCGATAACCGTAGGACTTTGTTCGAATTTTTCCGAATACTCGGATCTCAGGCTGGAGACGTGGGCAAGGTTCGACGATTCCTTGTTGAATTGCTTTAAGGGTTTTGTAAGGGTTTCAACGGGGGAAGAAGTGTGCGTTAGGTGTGAGGATGTGATAAACTCGTCAGGTTTGCCAAGGGAATTAAGTACAGTGGTAGAGGTGGTTTGTGCAGGTGATTGTGACTCAGAAATAGTCGGAAATGTGTCCAAGGTCCGTCCTGCCTGTGTGTGCACAGTTTCCTTGCTTCTGTCCTCATTTTCTGAACCAACCATAAAAAAATTTACAAAACAAAAATTTACATCAAGATCGAGAAGAACCATTTTTCGTTTGTTTGTTTTTTGTTTCCAAAAGTAAAGTGCATTAATCTGTTAGTAGTTTGGAAAGTGATAAAAGTTAAGTAGTTATACGTAAGTGTTAGTTACAGAAAGTTGAGACCCAAGTTTTTCCAGGCAGGAAGGACCAATGTAGACTACTCCCAATAAAAACTGTCACCACCTACGATAGTCTAAGCCAGCGAGAATCAAAGATATCAAAAATAAATTCTCGATCACTTAAAAATCATAAATACCTAATTCACGACTTACCTTCATCATCGGAAGAATAACTGTTGTACTGCGGAAGATTTGCGGATCGTCTGCCGTCAGCGCAAGCTTCCGGTCTCTGAGGCATATAACCATTTTCATGGTAATACTCGGTATTACGCCCTGTATATGCTCTACTCCCTTGCACCTTTCTATTTAATGGCGATTGCAACATTCTCTGCTTCCATTCTAAAAGCCGCTTCATCGATTCTTCTCTCTATAATAAATTTTATTATTCATTATTAAAAAAAATTGTCAGTTTATATTGTACTTGTACCTTTCTATCGCCTTCTCTTGTTTGCGGCCTGTCATCGAAGTACCCCTCTCCTTGCGATGAAGGATTCTGAGCTAGCCTAGCGCTAGCCGACCTTGTAAACTGATCATACTCCCTATTCCTCATATTTTGAGCATAATTGTACATTTCTTGCCTAGTGGAGAACCCTGGCGACACCGAATCTCTATCTAATTTATTGCTAGGGCTCGACCTTAAATCTATATCTAACTCTTTCGATAAAGACCCCTCGCTTAATACGCTTCTACTTCTAACAGGTTGCATCGCTGAAGGAGTGGGTGCAGTAACTGGCATGTGGTTAAAATTAATTGGCTGCGTATTGGACCTCATCAAAGGATTTTCTGGATACCTTTTGGCCGGTTGTTGATACCTCATCTGAGGCGCTTTCTGCAGATATTGTGCGGACTTGCGCATCTTCTCCGCGTATCGCTCCTCGGTGTAAAAGTAGTTATCGCTATCGTTTCGGTTAATATCTAAACTTGACTTGGGCCGCGCCGTGGGTATCGCGGTTTGTCTGTGGTTGCTTTCGTACTCCAAAAAATCCGCGCTATGCGGTCGCGCTATGGTGACAGGCGATTTTCGTATTTGCGGAGGAGGGTAATGCTCCATGTTCACCGGCGTATAGGCCCTGTAAGCTGGATTGACAGTAGGAGTGTTTTTCTTGATCACATTGATATGGCTGTATGCTATGGGGCTTAAGGGGCGTTTATACATGCTTTGATCCGCATACACATCCTCATAGTCAGTACCGCGGGGTTTGGTGGCCAACTGCGAACGCCCGTACGTGTCGGGGGTTCGCCGCTCGGAATTCTGCGGGGTTGGGGTGAACACGTACTCGTTAGGATTAGGCGTTAGCATCGTATGTCCATATATACTAACAGGGGATTTCGCAATGCTTCTACACTGCATGTACTGTTGGTTTGTAGGGTATCTGTCCAAAATATCGGGGCTCGGGGACGAGTAGCCGCCAGCCTCGTTCAACCTCCTAGGCTTCGGAGGGGCGTTAGCGTACAAAGGTTGGTTATACTGACTGAGCTCTTGCTGACTAGGGTTGCTTAAGTTAGTCGTGTTGCTGGATGTATGCGTATGTACAGGCGTGATTCGCGAATTGTGGTGATAAATTGACTCTTCGTTATCAGTTGCATTAAGTTGCATTTGTACTGCGTTTGTTGTCTGCTCATTCTCGCTAGAAATTTATTAATGTCGTCATGAAGTGCGCTTTACACCATGCATGCAGGTTTTATGTACAAGATTGTTAAAAGTATAGGGCTTCTGTACCTTATCAGAGCCGGGCAGCTATGTGGTGAGGAAGCACACTCAAAACACACTGCCCTGAGCCGTTATAAAGCAGACGGATACAGCGACAGCGGTGAGCGAAAGGTTATCAGCCCAATTTACCGTCCAGAGAACGTAGCACAAACTACGGCTACCCGGCACTGATGAGGTTCAAACACCGAAACAGGCTGCCTGTCGGTTCCAGTTTGTGGAAGCACATTTGAAACAAAAGCGCGGTGACGAGGTAAAGGGCCAGTTCTCACAATTTTTGCACTATACGTTAAGTAGATAACCTTTTGTTTGCTCTAGTATGTTTGTTAAAATAAGTGTCAACAAAAATGTATACACTATAGTGTACACACTTAAAATTTAATTAAGACAAACACACTAAGTGTATTTGTAAATAGCCTGAAGTGCACAATTGAAAACTTTCTTGCATGAAACTTGCGTCGTGTGAAGCGGCCCTAAGCCCCAATTAAACTTGCATGCATACATTTTGGAGTGACAATGCAAATTATGGTATTGTTTAAAGTTTAAAATCTCTCATATGCAAATGTCAAGTGAATTAAATTATCATATACTTAAGGCATTACTCACATATTATTTTGTAAATTACAAGCTAAATTAAGCACTTTAATCCATTGACTCATTAGTTCCTGCGAATCGGCGGCTAATATGTATGTTCGCATATTAGCGTGTTCGCATTTGAAAGAGAATTTTTTATTGACTTTATCCTCGGGACCACACACGGACACTTTGTAAGACGGAAGCAAAATTGAACCCAGCAATTTTTCCTCCTCGGGACCTGCAACAAAAAAAAAGCCCGACTGACAATGTTATCTCTATAATAACGTTTAAAAAAATGCGGGAAGTGGACAATCAAATCTTTTCCGCCCAAATAATTGTTCACCTCGAATTTACATAACCAGTCGCTGCTAATTATCTCTTAAATAAGGGGACAAACTACAAATAGAAGACCATTCATTCACCAAGGAAAAACTTGTTTTTCTCAACCTGTCACTTTTTATGTTTCAACGCATAGTATCCAGTTAAATCTTATTAAGGTATTCATATTGCAATATTAAAGAATTGAGAATATTGCAACGCGACAAGGTTTCATTTCATTATATGAGTTGTCCCACTATCATTTAAGAGAAAGTACTTACCGATCTAAAGAAACTTAATTATTCTAGTACAAGATCTTAAGCTTTGGTATTTACACGTAAATATACAGGGAGTAGGGGCCAAATTACCAAAAATCATTGATGAAGTTAATAAACTTTACTTTTTATGGAAAATGATCTCTATAGAAAGAAATAAATGAAACATAGCACAGCATTCTTTATCTCACCTAGGGTGCTGTGGAGAATGCCGTGCTCTGATTGGTTTATTGATTTCTATAGACCATTTTTAATCGTAAATTTCGAGAAACACCCCCGGGGGCAATTTTTACTTTTAAAGTCGGAACGAAATTAGCCACCTTGATTATCTCATTTAAGTTGATAAAAACGATGGCAATTGAGGCGAATTAGAATAATTAGAGGAAGTTGCCAATTAAGTTTAAATTAGGTTATTAAATTACAATAAACCATACATAATAGAAAAAGTCGTTATTTTTAGGTGTGATTCTCGGAAAAATACAACGTATAATAATCTTGGTAATTAAGAATTATTTTCTGAATCAGACAAAGAGAAAATTCCGGTTAAGATAGTTCTTGTTTTTGCTTGAAAATGTCATTAATACTAGAGAATCAGTATCAAATTCTACAAGTATAATTAAAAATCTGTTCGCTCCGAATAGGCAGAAAGGCTTAACAACATTCAATCAAAGTATTAGCTTACCGATATGGACAGACACACACGATATTATAAGTGAAATGTTTTTAAAATTATTTAACGTTTATTTGTCTAGAGTAATCTAATCTTATCGCAAACGTAACCAACTACTTACCTTTATAGTAGAACAGGCAATATTCGGAAAGTACGAACCAGCGTCTTTTCCACAACATCAGTCCTTCGGAACCCTGCTTGTGAAGCCATCCCTGTATTGTAACAGGAGCCTCCAGAGGCCTTTTAGCGGAGGGAGACCTTAATTGAGTGTTGCTGGACTTTTTTCTCTCCAGCACTTCTTTGGATTTAGGAGGGGCTTGTGGAGGAGTAACGTTATTACTTTGCTGTTGTTGTTGTTGGTGGTAGTGAATTGGAGGTTGGTGTGGAACCCATATTTGCGGGGTGTTTTGTGTCATTTGATTATAGGGGTGGACAGCAGGGGGTGGAGGTTGCGTTGCTTGATACAAAGCCTGGTTGTTCGGTTTCTGCTGGTGCATATGGCCGTATTTGGGGGTTGTGTTGTGGAGTAGTACAGGATTGGAGTGAATGTTGATGTTGTTGAATTGAGGGGAGGGTTGGAGGTGGCGGTATTGTAGCTGGGAGTTGTGCTGGTGCACGTGTAGAAGCTGTTGGTGCGCATTTTGGTGGTTAGGGATTTTTAAACCGTATTGGAGGAGTCTTAGGTGTTGGGGGGCTGTGTTGTGTTGGTGAGCATGTTTGGGGATCGGATCTAGGGGAAGTTCGTTACTTGGAGTAACCGTGCTGTTTTGGTAGGCCTTTTTGCTTTCCATGCTTGTGGGATCCAACCTTGAAATAAATTTATTAGGTTTATAAATTTATTTTTAACTATGTTTTATACCAGTCCCATAGTTGCCAAAGACATGAAAACATTTTGGCATGTGATTAAGTTTATTTATAAATACTGGATAGATGTCACGTCCTTGACTGGCCGCCGGCAAATTTCAAAATACATCACTAAATTTAAGCGCGATTGAACCATTTTCTACGTATTGATGTAGGTCATAATGGTCGCGCATTCGCCGAAAGTCCACCCAGTGCACACAATACCACCATACCACACAATCATCAAACACATAATTTACAATTAGTCGAATTGAAGGCCATCTCACTTAATAAAAAATAAAAATCATCTCATAACACATGTGTGTGAGGATTTCGAAGCATTTCCGCATACTACAAAAACGGCAAACAGAAGTGCCCGAGTTCCTGACTGACGTCCTATAGCGCCGGCGTCAATGCCAAGATTCTACCCCCTAATCCGAGCCGAGGGTTTTCAACATTACCGTCAATAACGAATGGGAAAATCATTTCTGCCGAGAGACATAACACAAACTTATTTCCGCTTCCGCTCAAATGTCTTCAATCACCACCGTATCATCTCTGATATTAACATAAAAAAATACCAGCAGGATTTTAGGTTTTTAATATTTTTTAGTTAAAATAACTGTGAAACTTTGTCAATATTTTTCTTTTAAAACACATCACCAAAATTCCAAAAACGTTTGGAGATATTTAACTTGCACCAAAACGGGTTAAAACTTTTTTTAGTTTAAAATTAACGAAATTTAAAAATATTAAAATCTTAGCCACAGTCTTAGGGGACATCCATTAATTACGTGAGGAATTTTTCTGATAATTTGGACCCCTCCCTCCCCCTTGGTGAGATTTGGTGAGATGTGGTAGACCCCCCCTACCCCTCACGTGAGATTCTAGCCATTAAACTTTTTTTGCGGACAACAAGATAAACCCAAAAAATAAAAATTAATTATTTTTTTTTGACAAATTTGAATTATAATACATATTCTTTAAACCCAAAAGTTGACGTGAGATTTTTAATTACCCCCCCTCCCTTAACATGAGATTTGGTGAGATTTTGCTAGACCCCTCCCCCCTATTTTTATCTCACGTAATTAATTAAAAATCTAGTTAACTGCAGTAGTAGTGCATGCACTACTACGGCGAAATCGAAAGGTCAGTACAAACGTTCATATAATCTTTTAAAATATTGACGTCAAGAAACTATTTAATACTTTTGTTTTGAGATAATAAAATAATGTTCACATTTAGTAATATTTAAATACACTTTTTGGCTGAATGGCAAAAACAAATAACTAATTTTTATAAACAATATTTTTTTAGTTAAAATCGACCGGTTTACTACAATAAAAATTGCAATTGCACAGGAAAACTGAGAAGTATAAAAAAAACTTATATGAACATGCACCCTTTTCTTTTTAAGTAACATGAAAAGCCTCTTCATAAATTTTATAGTGGCTCGTCAGTGAGACCACACTATAGAGATAAAAAACACAAAAACAGGTTATTTTTTTTACTATGTAGGGTGTTTACATACTTATAACGAGATATGTATACGAGGTGCATTTAACATTCCGTGCTCGCGCGGAATTGTGCCCAGACCGTTTACTTTTAACTCTTTGATTGATAATTGGTGTTATCAATCGGGTGCCAAAAACATATACGGAATGATTAAATGCATACGGCATTTAATAATAGTATACCTAGTGGTCGTAAAGCATCGTTTAGTATTTATTTTATATTGTTTTAAGGTGCAGGTCATACAAAGGGCAACGTCTTTAACATCTCGTATTATTCCATGCAGCATGTGGTCGAATATTAATTTTTATTACTTGTTTCATAATATTAGTATTTTCTAACAGTTAAAACGCATTCCATATAATAAACCGTTCAACATATTCAATACATTGCAATGATTCTAATTTATTTCAATTGTGTTTAATTATTTTGTAAAATGAACAAACTCGGTACTTACTTTATATGGCACACTATCAATATAGAACGAAAATAAATACGAGTTGGTACTAACTTTGACGATTTTTTTTATTAACATTCACGCTAAAAATTTTAGATGTTTGAGATCCATCCAAACACATTAACATTGATTTCTATTTTTAGCGCATTTCAATGGTCTAAATCCGTAAATATTTAAAGCTTCAATTAAATCGAAAATCGATCAGTTAAATGCTTTCTATTGTCGGATTGTAATTAAACGACGAAAATAAATAGAAGCACTTAAAGAGTTTGTTTTTGCAAAATTATAATTAAACATCTGAAGCATAACATTATAACAGTGCGTAGGAATACATTAATTTCGCGAATTCGCGAATATAACACGAAAAAATTCACAGCTGCCTTATAAAACATGCGATGGGCAGCATTTTTATTTTATCCGGAACACTTGAGAACTATTTTAACCTTAAAGGCTTTTATTTAATTTATTACCACTTTCTCTTGTTTTGAATTTAATAATAATAAACAATAACTTTTCTTAACGAAGGTTATTAAGATATATTACTTACATTACTTTACAACAAACAAAACAAAGTGTTCCATACAAGGATATAACTGCAACTAAATAATAATGAATGAGTCAAAAAAACTATTGTTTATATCAGCATGGATATTTTATTCCAAACACGAAAAACATAGTTTCTTCGGAGTCGATAATGAATGCTAAAAATTGACACTATTGTCTTTTTTTAGAACAACATGCAGATTAGACCTTATAAGGCTTACAATATATTGTACTACAAATTAATTCTTGTAATATTTATGTCACGTGGTAAGACTTACGTGAAATGCTTAGAATGCTTTCAAAGTGAATAAATATAGGAGTGGACGAGATTCACCTTTATGTGGGATTACCCACTAATTATACATGACATGACTCAATTTTCAGGCTCACTATTTCCTTTAACCGCATCAAAAAAACAATTCCAGTGATTTTTTTAATAACGCTCTGTATATTTTTACAGCATATTTGGCGTCTTAAAAAAATAAACAGAATATAATCTTGTATTATTTATTAGCCGGAAACATCTGCTAATAGGGGCACGTGTTCAGTAGATAGGAATCACATTAATTATGCCTTTTTCCTCACAACTCCTGAGATTTTTATATTTAATTTTATGGCGGTTCATTGTTTGGTTTACGTTCCGTTTTCCACGCGTCAATTAGATCAAAATGGTTTTCAACAAGTCGACTTTTTGATGACAGATTTACCTACCTAACTATGTGTTAAAAAATTAATTATGATAATATCGAAATTTTTTTTTCTGTGAATACATTCAAACGGCAATGTTCAAGGAAGCATGTAAAACAATTAGCATTGGTTTAATTTACTCGGTAGACTAAAATAAAAAATAAGCATGACCCGTTATCGCAGTATTCGAAGCGTGTAAATTTGGCTAGAAAATAGAATAAATTTGAATACTAGTTAACTTACCAACATTTAAAACATACTGTTTGTTTTTGTTAAACTTTGTTATCGGTTTTATTTGGTAATAAAAGTGATTTATCAAGCAGCAGAAAATATAAAATAATGATAGAAATAACTAGCCTTGAAGTCCATTGAAACAGAATTCTAAAGGGACTAGGCTATTATTTTTCTTTATGCCGATGAAATAACATTCTCATCTTTTCGAAACACATCTTCTTAGACGACTCGTTTCAGCGGTTGATAATGAAATAATACACCTTGTTCAACGAGACTATACAATCTCCAGACCCAATTATTATTATTCTGCAGTTGAGAAAGGTTTGAAGTAAAATAGCAATCTTGCTAACTCACCCGGTATACTTATAAGCACTATAGGCACTCAACGGTTTAGGTTTATGAACAAAAAAATTCCAAGAAAGGCACTTGAAAAGGTATTAGGTATATTTTATAATACCTCCCAAAGTTAATACTTCTTGGAAGGTGTTTTAAAAGCTGCCGAAACTATAATCCCTTTATTATAGTTGTAAAAATTATTCACTTGGAACTTTATTATTATTTATTTAACAAACTAGAGAAAATTGTCCATTTAGTGCTTTCACTATGCTATAGGGATACTTTCTATAGATTTATGCCTTATGTTAATCAATAAATCTCATAATTATCGGTTTTTAAGAGAAATCTAGTTTACTTATTTATTTTTATTTTAAATGTTTAACCTGTCAATAACTCACATCGTCATAAAATGTTACCGAAATGACGTATGTCGACCTTAGCTAGATTTAATTATCTTAAGAATGCCAACTCAGTTGGCCCAACTGAGGCTAGATATACATTTTTTTTCAGTCGGAAATTTGCCCTATAAACCTTTTAAAAATAGTTTTAAGTGTCAACAATTAATTCAAGAACCTTTGAAACCCCGACTTCAAAGAAAATATACGGAAAGATCTAGGTACCTAAATCATATTTAAATTACCTAGTATTTTTAGGTAATGTCAATAAATTTTTTTGATGTGAGTACTTACCTATTTAGAGCAAACTGCTTATTAAAAATTAATTAATAATTATATTGCGTCTTTATAACCCAGCAAACCAAATCATGTCACAGTGATATAACATTTACATAAAAATTGTTCCTTACTATGCAACAGCTATGTCACCTATATGTAATGGCAATGCTCCTATGTCCGCCTCAAGACGCCTTCCTGGGTATGTAACTGTGATGTAACAGTGTTTTATCATAGTTATGTAACTGTAATGTTACAGCGCCATATCAGTTATGTAACAGTGATATAACATTTACATAAAAATTGTTCCTTACTATGCAACAGCTATGTCACCTATATGTAATGGCGATGCTCCTATGTCCGCCTCAAGACCCCTTCCTGGGTATGTATCTGTGATGTAACAGTGTTTTATCATAGATATGTAACTGTAATGTTACAGCGCCATATCATAGTTATGTAATCGTGATAAAACAATTATATTCTATTTGCAATATTTACATATTATTTATGAAATATTTATAAATATAATTTCATGTAATATATTATCTTACTGGTATTAAAAATAATTTAGCCCTAACTTGGTATTATGGCAATTTTTTTGAATAAAAATCAACAAAATTTTAAAATTGCCATAATACCAAATTAGAACTAAGAAATTGTTAATGCCAGGTAATATATTAAATAAATTATAAATAAATATTACATAAATAATAAGTAAACATTACAAAAATAAATAATTCTGAAAGAGATTAAAAAAAAACAAATTGGTTTAAATGTTTTTGTCGAAGTGCACACAGCACAAAATTTATTTAATAAAAAATCCCATAAAATTTACATTTTTACCCTTCAATATTTCAACAGATTTTAAATTTTGAATTTTATTGTTGTTTCTTAGCCCCAGCCAAGAGCAATCTTTTGCCAAATTATTTGAGAAGATTTTCTTTAAAACTCTTACTGTGGCATCTTTCTCTGAGACGCCTCCAATTTTTGTTATATACTGAAACTGAAAAAAATACAATTTAATATTATTTTTGTTTATTGATTTGTTTTCAAAACAAAGAACAACTATATATATATATATATATATATATATATATATATTCTTTATGTAGTTATGTAAATGATATTTGGTACAAATAATAATTTGTTTGATTTTATTTATTCAAGTCAAATGCACCCTGCAACCTTAAGAGATATAAAAATAATGAAAAATATGGAATTTGCATAAAATTAATTGTCACAACAATTATAATAAAAAAGTGTATCCATCTTGGTTATTTAGCTAAATTATTGTATCTTTTAAGTACCAGTTGAAAAAACAGTATAAAGTTAAAAAAATATAGAAATTAAACTCTTATTTTGGCTACCAAATATCATTAAATTATAATTTGTCGCTTGTTTTTTAGCACCGTGTTTTAAAAACAAATTAACATTATTAAACAGGTTTAAAATCGCCCTTTATATACTTACAAATTCAGCCTCTACTTCTTTTTGCAATAATGTTTTCTCAAAACTTTTAACAGAGTATTAATAAAAAGTTGACTAGGTAAGTATCTATTACACAAATCTTGCAAATCTTCCACAAAAGTATGGGAATTTTTCCTATGACCTCCTGAATATTCTCCCAAATTTTCTGTAAAAATATTTTTATTATATGTTTATTTATTGGCTGGTTAGGGAAAGATAATACTTCGGTTTTAGCCTCAGTATATTCCACATTGTCTTGGGTATTTTCTATACAATTTCTTACCTCCACGCCCATTATTTTGAGATCTGCATTAATTCTCCTCCGCTTTTGCCTCCGGGATAGGGAAATATATTTTTTTCTATTTTTGTCTTCCATTTTATTATAAAAAAATGGAATCAAACTTAACTTAACTTAAAACACAATAGAGAGCACTCGACACAACCGTTTAAACGAGTTCGTTATCTTACTAGAGTAAGATAAAAAGGCTATATAAATACTATAAAACATTAATATATAACATTTATATATCATTGTTACAATGTAGGTATAAAACATTGTTATATAGCCATGACATAATAGGGATGTACATATAACAAGAAGGGATCATTTTGATATAACTATTATATTAAAATTTTTTATTATAATTATGTAACAAAATAAAGGAAAACTATATAAATACCATATAATAAGGTTATATGGATACTATAAAACATTGCCATATATCAATGATGTATCATTGTTCCATTGTAGATATATAACATTGTTATATGGCTGATACATAAGGGGGATGTAAATATAACAAGAGGGGAACATATTTATATAAATGTTATATTACTATGTTTTATCATAATTATGTAACAAAATAAATAACTAATATGTAAATGTTATATAAACAATTTTATATGGCAATGTTCTTTGTTAGTTATATCATGGTTATGTAAATGGAACAGCCTGGTTTGCTGGGAATTATTATTAGCATTAACAACATTTGCTGGGTTGTTAAAATATTTTGCAAGGACATACAATTTGAAAATTTGCCGATGTGTATATAAAATTATTCAAATTTCAGTTCTTATATTTTATGAATGTGCTGGGTACCTATATGTAATTATAAAAACGGTCTTTTCAAATATTTGTCAACTTGTGAATAGACGAAAACGAGTTTTAAAAGTTTAAAACTGTTTTGTCGAATTCCAATCGACAAAATGAATATTTATTTCCCTCGTAGGTACTGCGTTATTCGAAAAAATCTAATTAGTTATAGTTGAATGAAGATATTTTTCGTTATTAAATGCGCTCAAACAAATAATAATAAATGAACAGTTAGAAATTTATCTCAAGTTAAGAAGAAAAACAAACAAGTAGCCTATACGCTATAATAGCGTAGTTATACCGTGTATTTCATGTCTTTAGGCTATGGTAAAAGGCCCTAGGTAGTGAAAAAAATATAAATCTTACCTATTGACATATCAATGCCATTGATCCCAGAGTTAAAAGCACATTTTCGAAAACCACCACAAAAACTAATGTAAACAACCAGCATTAACTATTTGGTGAATTAAAGTTACCGTGTAAAGACCAAAATCACCATCACATAAACACATTTTCCAACTTTTCACTGAGTAAAACGTATTTACAAACAAATAACTTTTAGAAATTGAGCACACACGATATACATTTTGTGCTGGGAGTAACTTTACTAGATTCTGTGAACGTAAAATATTTAGTAGAGGGGAACAGGTAGTCGTATCTTGAACGCTTGGTTTAGTGCCGAGCGCCCCTCTACTAACTTAATACACCTGTCCTGTGCTTGTTCACTACTTAAAAAATTAAATTTTCTATCCTAGACCACGTTTACCCCCGGGAAATATCCTTCCTTAATTAATTCAGACATTATTCATTTCGCAAGCCTCGGCCCGTTCTGTTGTTTTGATCCTGTCCAGAAATGCGTGAATTTTTTTAAAATTTATCTTGATTGTCAACGTTTATTCTCGACCTTAATTGTGCTTTAGTACAGTACTTTAGATTAAGAATATAAGAATTATTAATAGGTATTAACATTTTAATAAAAACTTGATTGAAAGGAAGAAAGAATCATCTTTAAGAAATTTTGTTATTATAAATATTTGGCAAAACAAACCAAATACCTACTATTTTAAATGTTTTATACATATAAAAATAATGTATTATAGCACTCAACGATTATAGTGTTAAAAAACTAAGGCTTTTGAATACCAGATGGCGCACTATTTTCCAATTTTAGTTCATTTAAACACCAAAGGCATTTAAAAGTCTAAAATTTCAAAAGTTAAATAATATTATTTAAACTTTGTTTTATGCAAATTATCCTAAAAAATATTTCAATTTATTAAATTTTTCAATCAATAGAACTTTGGTTAGCTTTGCATATGTTGGTTCTATATTTCAGCTTTTCTCACATAGATGGTGCTTCATACTTCTGTAGAAATATGTGGTGTCAACCACATATAAATAATACTACAATAATAATAGAAGTATTATTTCTATGACCAACTATCTCTCTATGGTGTCAACTAAAGCTAGATATGACCCTAAACCAGATTTATAAAACAGTTATATACCTATGGGTATATAACTGTTTTACAAATTTCGACAAGCTAGATATGTCAGCTAAATTTAACTGTCATAAGAATGTCGATTTATACTAGATTAAACTGTCTTAAAAATGTTGACAAGCTATATACAGGGGCAACAGTGCAATCTGCTTGGGAAAAAATTACCAAAGTATCAAACAATTATTTCTTTATGCTCAATGAAAAAGTTCATCCTCTTCAGGGGGCCGTACCTCCGCCAGGGGGAATTTTTCGATACATGTTTATAAAACAAACCAGTGTTATTTTATATCTAGATTTTTAACTTTGGCCCCCCAATTTCTGGTACGCTGTGTATAACAGTCTTAAGAGTATAATGTGAACTGTCCTAAGAATATAACCCCTAAAAAGGTACATATAGCTGTCAATTTAAGCTAAATATCTCTTAAGATCTTAAGTTGTTAATTGATGTAATTTCTAAACTACTTTGAAAAAAAAATTTAAAGGGATATTTCTATATGGGTTTAAAATTAAATAGAATTGTTTTTCTTATTTTGAATATATTACACAGTTATGAATATTTTTACATGATGTTCATGCAGAATAAAACTGATATAAAAAATAGGAATAACTTATAAATGTAACTAACAAAATGGAATATTTTATAGACAATTTTATTACTACAATATAACTTACGCTTGTTTAAATATAGTAAGTAAATGTAATACACAAATAATCGCATTAAATGATATTCAGTCAAGTAATGTTAATAATAATGATTAAGTGAGGTTTTAACTTTTTTAAGGTTAAATGATTCATTTAACTAATAATTGCGATATTGTTTTTTTTGTATTACATGTACCAATAATAATTATTATAATCAACATATACAAATATAACATTTTATGTTTAATACTCGATTAAAATAGGGAGTAAAATTTAAGATTGGTTAAATTAATATTTAAAATATAGATTTGGTAATTAATAGTACTGACTATGTATTTTTTCTTACTTACACCTAAGTTGATCAACAGTATCCTTCGAATGTCATTGTTTCATTGCAAAATTTTTAATTTAAAGGATTTTTGCCGGAATGGCATAAGAGACACTTTATACAGAAATTAGTCACTTACACCTAGTGATATTTTTTAAATTTTTATTATAATATAGCTTTTTATATATTACTGGCTCATAAAATTTCACCTACATGAAGAATTTCTAATTTCGGTTTAAATATAGCAGATCTTTATCAAAACAACATTTTAAGTCATAACAAGGCGAAATCGCATACCCAAATAATCATTGCGTTAACTAAAATTTAGTAAAAACTACAAAGTTAATAAATACCCGAGCTGTTCAACACTAAAGTGAGCAGAATAATTATTAACGTCAAAACTAAACATCACACATACACATATTGTCTTTCTCATCATCATCATCAAAGCAAAATCAAATAAATTAAAGAGTGCATTGTCTGGTAAAAAACTTAACCTCACTTACGAAACTAACAAGTTGAAAAAATGCACTCTTACATTTACCAATCGAAATCCTCTACAACGATTAAAACTGGTCGGCCAGCAGCTCGCAAATCTCGACCGAGACGCTCTCCTTACTCGACCTTACCGTCAACCTGTACATCTGAGCATTTTTATTGGGTTCCAGGCGCAGCAGGCAGCCCACCTGCTGCGTGCGCATGTGAATTATGCCTGCGCAGACGAAATTGTCCGGGTTCGGGTCGATGCCGTCCAGCAGCTGCATCCCGAAACCGATTATTTTGTTTCTGGCAGCCGCCAAGTCCATCTGGCCGGACGCTTTGAAGATTTTCTGAGATCGTTGTTGATTTGTACTGCAAAATGATCATTTCAGTCATGTGTTTTTAGGTTTTGGAGGAGCAGGTGCTAATATGGAACCCCCAAGACATTTCATATTCTTATAATATCCTAAATATACAAGCTAAAGTTGTTTAAACAAGATATAACTAATATTAGTGTGTCCGTTATTTACCTTGCCTAAATGACGATACTTTGCACTTTTTCTAGATTAATTTTTTTCTTGTTTATTATATTCAATAACTTACCAAATATTGTTGATTCTGCTTCTATTATAATCCCTTTGGATAAGAAAATTTTAATATTGGCGTCAAAAATTTATTCCGTAAAGGTCAACATTAATTTTTTACCGTTTTTTCCAATAATTTTTGATTAATTTACCGACCATTCAATATTTATTCTGTCTATAATGTTAAATTTTATATTATACGCTTTTAATATTGACCTTATGAAGATTTTAAATCATAAGTCATTAACAAGGACCGGATTTTATGCAAAATGCCTTTTTGTTTCTATTTTAGGCATTTGTTTGGGACCTTTAATTAATTAATTAATCCTAAACTTAAAAAAATAAAGCGTTTGACACCCCTTTGTTTTTGCCTAAAATGGCAAAATTTTGATTTATTGTCCTAAAAGGACATTTTTATGTGCCTAAAATAGGCTCTTTTAAAAAAAAAAAAGTAATTATTTTTAATTAGAGCATGCTTTCATGCTCTTATTTCTGGACCACAAATTACAAAACTAGTGAAAACCTAATAAAAAAAGTAATTGTGTTTTTGCTATCTAAATATTTATGGATAATATTAAATTTATAAAATAATGGTTGGAAATTATTATTTACTTTGTTTTAATAGGTTTTAATGTAATTTCCATATATGTATTACATATATGGTAATTTCAGACTTTTTAACAGTTTTGTCGCCATCTATGGCATAATTAAATAACTCTCCACAATTTACAGGTGGTAAATAGTTTTTCTATAAAGACAATAGATGGCTAAAGCCAACTTCGACACATATACTTACCACACATATACCGCTTATTCCCTATATTTTGAATAGATGACCTTGTTCCCGTTTTTAAGGGGAGGGTGGCTACTCTCTACCTTTTGCGCACGTGCAGTTCGAAAGTGGGAGATTAAAAAATCAATAATTTTTGTTGGTTATAAATAAATCCAAATGTCAGTTTAAGAATTTAGGTTATATTAAAAAAATATTAGAAATCTAGTTTTAAAATGCGAACTGTTTTGCTGTAAACAATAAATCAAAAATGGTTTGTACTGTGACCAAAATGTTCGATTATAATCTCCTTGGCAATAGGTCCTTGGGTAATAAAATACTACGTAGCCAAATTTCTAATGCTAAAAACATTTTTATAAAATTGAAAAAATAATAATTCTTTTTATTATTAATACTTAAAAACATAATTTATTAATTCTTTATAAATTATGCAATATAAAATATTTTTATAAGCTTTATAATAATGAAAATAATATTAGAATATAATTACATCTGACAACACGGCCCCACGCATGTGTAAAACTGTATAAGTAGCTAGCTCCTAGTTTAACCCCACGAAAAGGAAACAGCCTGAATCCAAAATGATCTGTATATGTGTGGTAAGTATATGCTTCGACAACATATACTTACCAGTAAGAATATGTAAGTATATGTTTGACAACCGTTGGAATCAACGTATCGTGCTTTTTTTTGTTTTTGTTTATATTTTATGTTCATCATCACCTGTTTATTCCAATATTTTCCTTTTCTTTATTCAGACAGGCAATTGATTGCAAGAGTTTGTGTTATTATTTTTATTTTGTATTTTATATTAAGAGATACAATGTATCTCATTAGGGTGGTCGTTAATAATTAAATTTTTTGCGACGCCCCCTAAAAAGCTTGTTTTTGATGAAAAAACACTGGGAATTTTTTTAAAAAATTTTTAATTAAAAAAACACGTGCCTTAAGACGATCTAAGTTAATTTTTTGGTATAATCATGTTTTTTTTTGGGAAATTTTTTGTGAAAAATAAAATTTTATTCCAAATATAAACAATTATAGAACCCAAATCAATAAAAAAACAATAGTTAATCGAAATAACAATAGACAAAAATTTAAATTCAAAATTTTTCCTAGTTGATTTGGTCTATTAAACAAAAAAATGAAAGATATTCAAATTGATATTTTTATTTTAAAACTAAATAAGTACAAACGTAATTCTAATATCTAGATTTCTTCACTCCAAGGTGAAGTTATTTTATTGTTAATAATTTTTAAATCTCATAAAAGTTATTATTCCATATTTTCAGAAAAGATATGATTATACCAAAAAATTAACTTCGATCGTCTTGAGGCACGTGTTGTTTTCAATTTAAAAAAAATCCCAGTGTTTTTACATCAAAACGAAGCTTTTTAGGGGCGTCGCAAAAAAATTGAAGGGGTTAGAATAAAAAGGGTATAAGTAATATTTTCATTGTTTGGAGATATTTGAAGTTAAAGTTATGTTACCATAAAAAAGTGAAGAATTTTGTTTAGTAATGTTTTTCTACTGGATAATAGAGGTCGCTAGAAGTATGAAAATTACTTAAATCCTTTTCATTTCGATACGTCGGAACCTTATCTTTCACAAAACGAACTTATCTCCTAAATTAAAGAAATTGCACTTATACCCTTTCTATTCTAACCCCTTCAATTAATATTTAACGACCACCCTAAGATACAAATGTATTTTTTGTTTTATTTTTATCGATAGGACCTGAATAAATGTTATGTTTAATCGTGTTGTTTTTTATTTCATATCGCCTATTTTAGGCGGTTGAGGCCTATTTTAGGCACTTTCGGCCTAAAACGGCCTAAAGTGTAGGTTTTTATTGCCTATATATGCGTCCTAATTTTTTGAGATAAATTACCATGAGAAATAATTATATTTTGTAAAATAATCTTCTTACAAAAATGCATTTTTATGAATAGAATAACGTTAAAAACGCTTTTTAGGACGATAAAACACATTTTTACGATAAAATTGAGATTAAAAAAAATCTTAAAAATACCTACCAATAATAATAATTTTCACAAAAACGAATTTTTGGGCATTAAAAGTCAGGTCTACAATAGAATACTACATGTTTAGATATCTACTAGACAGGGGTTCCATATAAGCATATTACCACCTTTAAATCTAATTTAAATGTATATTTACCTTCCAAGATTTTTCCATCTGGCAAAGAAAGATTCTCCATTCATCTCTGTCGGTTCAAAGAATTTGTTCAAAGTTATAGGTAAGGGTATAGTTATCTTATGAGATACGTTATTGTAGAGAAAACTAAGGGCTATACTTGGAGCATCTGCAAAAATACACAAACATGTATAAATGACAACCTATTGAATTAAATTATGTACCTGTGTAATCATCGATACATTCAGCATTGAACATTTGTTGTATCTGAGCACCGGCTTCCAGGACAGGTTCCACAGGTTTCACCTGCACGTTGAGCTTGTTGGTTTGTTCTTCGGGCCATTTTAATGTCGGCACGAAATTCTGCAATGGCACGCTGGTTTTGTTGCCGTAGAACAAACCTAAACGGCCGAGGTTGTTGCGGAACTCGCTTTTCACGCCGATCTGAATCAAATCGTTCTCGAAGAGGACGCCATTGTTTTTGCAGATGAATCTGAAATATTTACGGTCAGATTTTGATGAACAAATCGCTATTGCCGCTCACTTTTTGTGATTGTATTGGGACGAGTTTTTGTTGTTCGTAGTAGTGCTGTAGATGTCGCCTAGAACGTCCAAGAGTACGCCGGTGTTGCCGGAGTTGGGTTGGGACGTTGGCGGTGTTGACAGACCCAGCAAATCACCGGAAACCGCGCTAAAAAACAAAAAATGATAACAGTTCAGTTGGATTAAAAGCATCAGTCATTTATTAGGGTTTTTTTCTTCGAGCCGGCCGGTCACTTGCTCTATGGAAACAGTTTAAAATATAAGTGACTTGGGACCCTTCTACATGCAAAATATGTTTCTATGAGAGATATCATGGAGCAAAAATTACTTTTATTTATAAATTTTAAAAAATTTCAAGTTTACTAATTTTGATCATAGTAGGCATCATAGACTTTTTTCTATGGAAACCTACCATCGTAAATACATGGTACAATGCATATAAGTGTACTATAAACTCAAAACATTAATTTATTAAAATGAATAAACTAAATAATAATTATAGACCGTGTCAGCATGTTAGAAATTATAACCTACCTTAATTTAATTTTTTGCTCCACAACCAAGCTTCAATTTAATTTATAGTTGTTTTTCGCTTTTTTGTAATTAGTTATTTTGCATTTTTTTATATTTAATATAATGCTATACAGAGTGTTTCTGGAGAAACGCAAACGATATGGTTTGAAATTTTAATAGCTTATACAATTTGATTTAGACTATACCTTAAGTCAATAGTTTTCAAGATATTCATTTTTTATATATTAGTTTGCCAACATGGGGTTGGAATTTTTGGAATAATAAATAATTTAATTTTTTAAAGGTTTTTCAACAAATAGGCAAACTTCAAACAATAATAACGTTTTTATTATAAATGTAAAACCCTGTATGTTTTAACATAATCAAATAGAAAATTAAAGAATCGAAAAATATTGACTTTAGGTATAGGATATGTAGAATTTAAAAGTTTAAATCAAATAATTTAGGCTATTAAAATTTTAAATCGATGTCTTTCGCGATTCCCTAAAAACTTCTAATGGACTACGTACGTAAATCACCCTGTATATTAAACGTCATTTTTGTGTTATGCATTACTTAATTATTAATAAAAGATACAACAATATTTTCTAAACTAAACATTTATGAATACTGCTACTGCAAATTCAAAACTGATCCTGTCCACAGAAACATCATTTGCATAAAAAATTTAAAATATCAAATATCAAATATTTCAACATGTTATACTCAAATTTATAAAACAAAGTTGATTCTTCGATTATTCACCCTTTAAAAATTGTTAAATTTAAATTAAATTATCACCAGCGCCCCCTGTACGTTAAAATTTTAACAAAATGTTTTCATGGATTAATTGTCATTAGTAATATCTACATTTTGTCAAAATTTCAAATTGATAAGTTTTGAAATAAAAAAGTTATGTAAAAAAAAAAATTTCTTCATTTTTAACACAGTTCAGAAAAGAAAAAGAAATAAAAACAAAGTTGTCAATGGACGAGATTTTTTTTTGAAAAAAGTACTGCATTTAGATGAAGAAATAAGGTAAAAAAGGTTACAATCGATTTCTTGAACCCTTGCAAATCGACCGTTCGATTCTTTCGCGAAACCGTAGTTAAGTAAGCTAAAGGCCATTACCCCTGAACACAGTACTATGTGTTCAGATTTATGAAGAAGAAGAAAGTATCGGTACCTCGAGTTGTTGACGTCATTGGTGTGGTTGTTGGCGACCGGGGTGGGGCTTTTGTTTTCCTTGATTTCGTTTTCGGGGACTCTGCCGGGCTTCTTCTTCTTGAGCACGGCCAAAATGGAGCTTTCGCGTTCGGGGAACGCCGGCATTTCTTCCAGGACGGTGGCCAAAACGTCCGAGCTGGCGATTATGCTGAGCTGGAGATATTCGGAAGCCCTTTGTTGAAGTTCAGCGTCCGCCGATCGAAGATTGCTGTGCTGCTTGAAAACTTCCTGCACTTGCGTTCTGATTTCGGGGAAGAGATTTATGAACTTGATGTACGTCGATAGCAGAAGCGCTCTGGTCATGGGCGAGCATAGATGGTACTTCGAATGCAGCAACTGGAATTGTACGGTCGGGGAACTTCGTTGATCGCCGGCGATCAAGTTGCCGAACTCGCCGAGAATGTAACCGCCCACTTTGACCATATTCTCGTGGCATGCCGGTGCCTGCAAGGCTTCAAACACGGTTTTGGCGGCATAACCTTGCACTTCGTCGCGATTAATGACGATTTGTATGACGCGGTACCAAACTTCCTCGGAAACATAATCACCAGCGATTCTTATCAGATTCAGGATAACGTCCACATACCAGGTGTAGTCGGTGGCGTATTTCTCCGCTAATATAGCAACTTTAAGGACCATCTCTTCCCGTATGGAATAATCGGCCGTTTCCAGATAGTTCAACATTTCCTGTACGATCTCCTCCGCGTTTGTTTTGTCGCACATGGCGTAAAGCAAATCCACGGCCTGCTGTCGGACGGAAACGTCCTTCTCCATTTTCATGGACAAAATAACGACCTCCTGGTGCTTCTTGACCGCCTCGTGGCTGAACTCCGACGTCGCCAGATGGCACATGCTCTCCAACGCCAGGTACCTCAAGTTCGTCTCGCGGTTGCTCAAAAATTGACCGAGCTGATTGCAAGCTCGCACCAGCAGGTTCGCCTCGCTATCGTTGTGTATTATCAAGCTAATGGCTTCGAAGAGAACCGCGTTCTTAGCGTTCGAATGTTGCACTTTCTTCGACTTTGGCGGCTCTTGTGCTTTGTTCAGTATTGTCTCCAAGCATTCGTTCAGTCTACCTCTAACACCTGGATCTTCCGCTGGAGGGGTGTAATTTTGCAGCAAACGCAACAATTTCACAGACAACCACGGGGCCGGCACGAAATAATATGTATAATCTTGTAAATCAGTATAACTAGCAGTGACAATCTACAAAACAAAATATAACAGACATAATTTAAAAATCAACTAAATAAATTACTTACGCGGCTTAATCTAGATACAGCCAGTCCAACGCATCCTTTGTATTCTTCAGGATTTTTCTTTACCAATGCGTCAATTAAACTGGTAGCGGCCGTTACGACCCCCATATGTTGATCATTTAACAAATGGATTATACGCGAAGTCCACTCTCCACCAGGTATTATTTCTTGTGAAGTTCTAAACAAACGCAACAAGCATAAGGCCGCGCTTTGCTTGACAACGTCCATTGTGTCCCTGTATTAAAAAATAAAATACAAGCCTAAACGTTATAATTATTGAAGAGTTTGATAAATAAATAATAGTAGGCTGTGACAGCAAATTTAGCGGTGCCAATGTAGTAAAAATAAAACGTTGTATTTTAATTAACAAATTAAAGTATCATTAAAAACTAAAACCAACATAAAAAGAAAATAAGTAACAATATAAATTGTTAATTTGTTGTTATACTAGCAAAATTAAGGTTTAAAACTGTCAAATTTTTGTGTTTCTTAAGTTGGCAGCACAAAATTTGAAATGATAATTTTAAAAAGTGCTAAAAAATCTGAAAACATTTGTGAATGCGTCTGCATGATGCCTCACAAAATCATATATTCAATTTTGAAGACATTATATGAAAACTTTCCAAATGAAAAGATATTACCTTAAGAACATTTTTCACCTAAATATGACATATCAAACTTAATTCTAGGTTGGCGTTTGAAATGTCAACATATTAATCAATTAAATTTTACTTATCTATGATTCAACAAAGTTTTTATATTATACAAGTCAAACAAAAAAAAAAGATCGGAAAAATGTAGGATTCATTTTAATTTTGCATAAACAGCGATAGGTACCAACGTGCAAAAACAAAATTTACGTTGTCATTTTATTACATTTGCCAATTTTCCAACTGATTTTATATATTTTTTTTTATGTTTAATAATATTTTATATTTGATTCGATTGCTTTGAATGTGTTTAATTTACTTAGTGAACTGATATTTATAGGTAGTATGCTTTTACTACCTCAGATATTTGAAAACATATAAGTTAACCTAGAAAGAGTCACGGAGGATAGGTTTTAGACTTTAGACTAAACATTGTAAAAAATAATTAATTGCGGTTAAAAATCTGGAACCTGTAATATCTACTTAATTATGAAAGATCAAAATACAATAAAAGTGTAGGTCAAACTCATTTAGTTTTATTAAATATCACGGGGTAACACCTTTGGGGGACATTTCGTGAGATTCACCCATATTAGTCCGGGAGGCAGTGAAGATTTTCGGTACTTATTTTCCCAGTTTGTGAATGTCATTAAGTTTGTTCAAATGGTGACACAAAACGACAATTTGTGTGTCTGGCTAAAATTTTCGGATGGGTTCACTAGATGAGCCAAAAAGTCAGGTCCACTTATTTTCCCAGTCATAAATATTTCACATTAATTAAAGTGAGTCATTTTATTAATGGAAATAACAGTCTGGCACATCCCAAGTGAAGGAAAGTCAGTCTGGCTGAAAATTTGCGGAAGCAAAAATTTGACCGGTTTTTAAAATACGTAGCCCTTATTTTCCCATGCTTAAAATTTAACCCATTATTTGGTACTGTCATAAACTATAATCAAAATTAAGTCTGGCTGATTTATGAAATTGGCAAATTGTTCTGGCGGCATCTTGAAAATAGTAAGAATTACAAAAATTTTGCTCTTATTATCCCGGATTTGAAAATTTGTCACATGATAAATAATACTATAATTTCGTAGAAAATACACGTCTGGCTGTTATTTACAATCACGACAGCCCCGCCAGACTCACAAGTCAGAAAGCAGAAACTCGCGTTTGAATGGGAATTTTCGCGATTTTCTTTTTTTTTTATTGATATAACTCAAAAACTAAGGGAGATACAAAAGACTGTCAAGAGATCGATTTTGTAGAGAATCCTACAAAAAACAACTGCACAAATTTTCTCTGATAGTTACAGTTATTCGCGAATAAAGTTTTTTGGTGGCGGACGGACTGACATTTTTTTTTAGCCATATTTAAATTTTGCTTTACACAAATTATTTTCTTATCATACATTATGAAAAGTAAAAACATGTAGAGATGACAACAATCGCCTGTATAATTGAACATGCCGAATTTAGCGCGCCTGTGGAGGGTTGGACGAGTCTGGCAAGGCTTTCGGAGTGTTCCACATTAGCCAGACTATATTTGCAGCTGTAATTATAAAATAAACTATCATCTCACAAAACTTTTAGGACTGCGAAAATAAGGGCAATGGTTTTGATAATTTTCCCACCTGCCAGACATATTACCCATACTCACAGATTAGCCAGACTATTTTTTTTCTTAAGTTCACTATATCTCTCACTAATGGAATTATTTTTATCACTGGAAAAAAAAGTGCAATATATTTGTACTTTATAACGCATTTTCCGCCTTAACCCATCGGAAAACCCCCCCCCTAAATATATATAAATTTTGCTCAGAATAACAAACCCAATAATTGTATCGGTGTTTGCCGACTGGGAAAATAAGTACCGAAAATCTTCACTGCCTCCCGGACTATATATAACGCGACAACATTGAGAGTTGTTGATAGTAGGTTTCTATGGTAACGCTTTTCGCTATTGACAGTTGCAGTGACATTTCTATATGCAGTGCTATTTAAAATCTTAAAATGAATTGTAAAAACGAATTATTATGTTTCTTTCTACCAAATCCCAAATTAATAATCAAGTAACTTTGGGTATAAATAATAATACACTAATAATCAGGTAAAAAATAAAAGCAGGGTGTTTTCTTTGAAAATGAACATCTCTGTTATTTAAAAGAGTAATGAATCAGTGTCAAGCACAAAAGATTGTATACAAACAACAATGCTTAATTAAGGTTAATAAAAGTAATGGCTTTAAGTGACTTACCCAGATACAAGTAGCTTAGGTATATCATTTCCGAATGCTTCTGCCATTTCCCGGCTTCCAATATTCGCAATACACTGCAATGCCAAATTGACATGTATGGGATTCCTCGAGGCCAAATCATTTTTTATACTTTGTATAATCAGTTTAATTAATTCACTATTAGTGTTGACTAGCACTGATATAAATAAATATCCCTAAAATGTTCATAGAAAGTGATAGATGTCAACTTGACAGTTTTGCTGCACTTACTATTTGTTTTTCTGAGTATTTGTTTGAAGATAATAAATTGACAGCTTCCATGTGTCCAAAATCAATGTCATGACCAAGTAAAAATATAAATAGTAATTTGCACACATATTTTTTCTTTTGATATCCATCCAAAGTTTTGTCCCCTTTGAATTTGCTTCTAATATTAGCTAGCTCCTTGTTTATTCGTTTAATTTCAGCTTCTTTACTTTTGCCTGTTACAATAACATATAAATAATTATTAAGATAATAATAATTTACTCTTAATTATTTTTGAATATTTTAACAATTTATAGACAGTCAACAAAGTTTTTATAATGTCAAAACACAGTTTTATGCCAATATTTGTGGCGTTTTTTATCTTAATAGTCATAAAAGCATTGTTTTCTTCTTGAGTTAAAATGTACATATGGTTTGAAGTGACATGGTACTGTCTTTATTTTTAAATTTGAAATGTTCGATGGTACTTACAATTTCTAATATCTGAAATAAAAACTGCCAGGCCTCGCATGCCATCTCCCCTAACGGCTGGCATGACTTCTCCTTCTTCAAAAAATACGTAGATTAACTAAAAAAAACTCACATTAGTGACCCATTTCCAACCCTTATGTAAAAATTCTTGAAAAGGTCAATCTGACCCTCCCCCAACTTGCTATCAAATTTTGACAGATCACCTTGGAAAACTACATTTATAAACTGCACTTACTGTTATTTATTGTCGTATCTATTAAACAACTAATACAATAAATAATTCACGAAGAAATATCAATGCAAAACACCCTATTTACACACCAACTTGTCCAAAGACAGTATCAAAACCGATTAGGTGGCGCTTCAATAGCCGGTTGGATCTCATGTCGGTAAAAGAGATCTCTAACTTAATTCAATTTTACAGTATCGTAGGACCTTCACTAAAAACACTAGAGTACACTAGCAGGTATTTTACCGAAAAACATGTTTTAATTAATTAATATCAGCAAAATTTATTATCAGTTTATATGTAATATTAAAATTTCATTTATATAAAACGATCTCTATAGAAAGTAATAACTCAAACAGAGCACATAATGCTGTTTTAATATTGTGTACACTTCTTTCTTTTTTTGATTCCTGAGCTTATTATATTAAATTACGATTAACAATTAATTTGATAACAAATTATTATTAACTGGACATAAATAAGTTTAATGTTAATTATTTTATCTCCTACTGATGCAATTTATCTAATCATAATTTATATAATTATCGTAACCAAATTTAATTTAATAAAAAAAATTTAACTATTAGAAGAATAATAATTGTTACAATGGTTATATTAAATAAAAAATGTAAATATTGGGGAAAAAATCATTTATCTTAAATTATATAGGTATAGTATTATCTATAGGAAGTATAATTTTTGAAATAAATTTAAATCAACCGTATTGTTGGTTGCATAACACTAATTTAAATGATAGTGAACCTATATATATTTTGAATGTTTAATGTTTAAAATGCCCGATCAGCTTAAAAAATATAAAAGAAATAATAATTGGGACAGCAAGTGCATCAAAACTAAAATATTTTGCGAAATAAACAACTTATTAAAATAATGTTTATATGTATATTATTCAATTACTGCTGAAATAAAGAAAGATAAATGAATAATTTAATGCACTAAATAACCACGTGTGTGTGGGAGTATGTATATCAGAGAAATCACTTCTAATCATGTATTTATTATAACCATTACGTATTATGTACATATTATGACTAAATTGGGCCTTGCATAAATGGATTAAAGCTTTGTTCCAACAGCACCACAGGGATTCCAGCAAAATGGTTAAATTTACGGTATAGGTAGTACGTTATTTACCAAGTTTTTTGTTAACGCTTTACATTAAGGTCCCTATTTTTGTAAAACCATCATTTAAATGATATCGCAATTTTAAAATATAAGCCAAGTTAAATGATCATTATTGATTAATTAAATTAAGATAATTATTTTGTTCTGGTGTAAATAAACTTCAGGTACCTGTTCTTTTGACTTAAGGCAATATTGAAAAATTTAATTATGCAATTATCATCTAAGAAACAGCACATTGTAACCTTGAAAACAGATGAAGGAGACCAAGATCTAAGTTTTCTGTTATGAAATGTTTAATTACTTGCCCCGGAATTGTCACGCAAACGAGTCTTCACAAATTTAATAAAGTTCAGCGAGATGCATCTTAAAGTGTTTTACAAGTTAATATGGCTGCACTCTCTTTTATATTTGGGTAAGTATTGAAAATCTATCAATATTTGCCAATAAACTTCTTCCAACTCAAATTTGCTTGCCTAGATTTAATCGTCATATAAGTAACGTAGTATTCAATAGTATCCAATAATATTATTTTATCTTCAAGGAGTCTATAATTTAAACTTTATTATTGTTAACACTCACTACTAAAGTGATTAATTATCGCCTGGCCTGTAAAAATAATTAAGATCAATCGGGTAAAGTTTATTACCTCCTAGGCTGTAAAAAACCGTTTGTAACAATCAAAAAATTAGATAACTGTCAGATCTACATAATTATAGATTTAAGTTAAAATTAAAGAGGTTAAAAATGCTTGAAAGTTGTCAGATGTTGGAGAAAATATCAAATAAAATTGGATTCAAAATCCTTTTGTTAGATGAATAAAATATTGTGTTTTCTGTGCATGTTTCCTTGCTGCTTCTGACTGAAATAGGGCACATGATTAAGAAACTCCTGTTATACAAAATTTAGTTCATACTTTAGACAATTTTACTTTTTTGCTCAGCAACATCGTTTATAAAATTAATTCGATAATTAAGGCTATCAAAGGGGATGTTTTAATTAAAACATAAGCTCAATTAATATAGGTATAACATTAAACGTGTTTAAGCCTCCATTTTAAATATCAAACGACCTACATATAATAAATAAATTCTACAAAGCACGTACGAGACAAAAAATATTATTTACTTAAACAATTTAATGTCAAGGCACGTCCGGCAATTTCGTGTAATTATCACCACGAATGACTAATTAAATATTTATGTTTTTAGGTGACAGCATTGGAATTTCTGGAAAACTGGATTTCGATGATAAACCTTCAATTGTTAAAACACCAAGACTAAGAGATTCACTTTCGTACAAAACTTTAAAGACGTACGAAAAATCTGGAAGTAGCGATTTTGATGATATCGGCGTGGTATGCGTTTCAGGAGGATGCAACACTACCAAACATGGTGCGAATAAAGACAGTGTTGAAACTGATGTTGTGGTACATGTAAAAACTAGAGTTGAACTAAAAAACCCGAAAATTGATGATACCCCAGATATCCCTGTAGTTACTGGGTATAAAGGGACCAATTTAGAAACAGTTGGTGGTAATTTAAATGTGCAACCTTTAGTGGTGACTAATATTGATGACGAGCTTAATAGACCACAGTTTATAGGCACCACAGAAAGCCCTTATATCAGTGCAAGCCCATATAGTAGCACATCCAGATCATTTGTCCCATATGGCAACTTAAACCCTTATAGTACTCTATCACCTATAAATACTTACCCGACATCTTCACCATCACCATATACACCAAGGTATTTATATGGTATTCAAGAAGAACCACGTGTAGATCTAACAATACAATCACTACCATCTGTAATGAATGATTTTGATAGAAGTTTAAACCAATTTGATGCATACCCGGGATTTATTGAGAACAATAATCGCCCAAAATTTTATCCAATTCCAAATCCACATAGAAACACCCACAAAGTGCATACTGCCCATAGATATCCAATCGAGAATGGTTGGGATAGAAAAATACCGACATATCACAGACATTCGACGAACGGTATCAACAATTGCATCTGTAAAAATGAACCAGGAGTTGATCAACAAGTGTTTTCCAGTGATAGTAGTGTAAGAAGAGTTTCTATTGACGATGGTAATATACGAAGAGTTTCTTTAGGCGACCCAGGGACTCAAATCAACGATAAACTAGCACCGTTAAACTAAATTTAATTGACAATATTACAGTATGGTGGTGGTCATTACTTGAATTAATTAAAATATTTTATGTAATAGTTAATATTTTTTATTCGCCCATTTTATTTATCATAAAACATTAAAACCACTTAAGGGTTTTTAGCGGTGTACGTTGTAATTTTTCCATTATCGTTAATGGTAGTCTGGGCTTCCTGCGCAGATTCTTGTTTGCCATTTATATTTCTTGTATGACTTGAGCTGGATGTTGCAACACTGTAATGATAGTTTTCATTTCCTGGATTGACACCACCAAATCGTGTGTTTATATTTGGAAAAGCCTGAAAGTCAGTTAAATATAATCATCATTATTATAATCATCGAGTGTATTAAAATAACTTACAGGATTTTCTGGAAATACTTGAGCGGTTTGATGTACGCCGTTTGGACCAATAAAGGCACTAGCAAATGCTCCATTATCGGTTTTGATTGGGTTTCCATAACTATCTACCAGTTGTTTATTGGGGAAACCTCCTCCACTGGGGAAACCATTTATTGGGGGTATATTAGGTGCGGCAGCATTATGAGCCTTTATAATATTTTTTTGCAAGCTAAAAAGATGTCTAAGGTATCAAAATACGTATGTTGATTAAGTATTCCATAATACCCATCATTTAGAAAAGTTAAAGATGATTGTGCCTGAGCTTGTGCATTTGGAGTTGAAGCAGCTTGAGAGTAAGAGTTCCCACCGACACCACTGTTAGTATAAAAGTATTAAAGAAAAAATGTCATTTCTCAGGTTACTTAAAATCGATTTTTAATTTCCTTCTATAAATATATTTATATTCAAAAGACTTTATTGGAGCTATATATCATAAATAATCAATAACTTTTGTCCTTTATTGTTACAAAAGATTTACATTTGCATTTTCATGGCCCAGCTACTTCGTTGAGAAAAATAAAATTTATAGAAGCATATTGTTTCGTAGTATGACTTGATAAACAATTTTTTACAATGCACTTATATAAAATGTATTTCTAAAAATAGTTTGATGCAGTATTTACGGAATATATTTGATCTTGACCCTGGCGGATTATTTATTTTGATTCCTACGATTCAGGTCAAGACTCAAGAAATGATAATTTGAGAATAAAATGAAGTTAGTAACAATACAAAATAAGTATCGCAAGAACTTACTTATTTAAAAATTGCTCGTGGTATTTTCTTAATGAGTCCAGACTTTTGTAAAATCCAGAAAAGTCGAATTGGGGGACAGGGGGAAAATTTGGAGGCGCAACTCCACCGTAACCATTTCCTGCGCTCAACGAATCACCAACAACATTTGAGTCACTTCCTAAAATTGTTTTAGATGATGATTGCAAGTTGTACATGTAAAATAACAAATGATTTCTATAGAGAGCAATAAATCAATCAGAGCACTTCATTTACATATTGTATTTAAAATAACATTTTTTCAGATAAACAATTAATTTGTTTTGACTGCTTCTCAGGAAGTAATAAAGTTTTTGTAATAAAATTTGGAAACATCATGAATCTTAACTGACTGTCCTTGATTTTGAAAATGGCTTGATGTTTACATAATAAAAAGTAAAATCAAATAAAATTAAAGTTGTATCTTCAAAAGAGTCATTAGAGAGATTTTTAACCCATGTTAAATGCCGACAAATGACCAGGATCATTTACGGAAATGGATTAATCCCATTTCATTCTCTATAATACTCTTGGGAAGAAATTTAATTTATATTAAAGCTTTCATCATAAAATGAAATGGCCTCAGTAAGTAATTATTGGAGATTCATTGTAGAAAGCACAACATTATTCTAACAAAACCTAACTAATCTCACTCACCTCACCTCACTAACAAAATGTGTAAATGTTACCTGAATAGCCACCTCTGGCAACCCCTATGAGGCAGAGCAGGAAAAATAAACTGGACAGTCTGGACTTGAACATGTTTCACAGTATATAGAAGAAAAATATATCGATGATAGTATATCGGATGCTGCAAAACAGGTATTTTGAGTTCTGATGCGCGATCCCACACGATATACTCCGAATTATGCTAAAATGACAATACTTAAACTTGATTTTTGGTACCTTGTGAGTCATTTGCCGAAAAAAACATATTTAAGTTAATACTCAATGAACTTTGCATAAAGCAGGGCCGTGCGCAGGATTTTCTCATAGGGGGGGGTATCATTAAATTGTTAAACATATATATATACATTTAAAATAAATAAATAACGCTGCAGCTCCCATGGGATATTTTTTTATTGTTTAGGGCACCCAAAAACTAGAAAAATGCATAATATAACATATGTACAAAATAAATATAATTATTTAAAGCTTTTTAATTTAAATAACTTTGTAAGATTATATAATACTTTTTCTAAAATATTTGTAAAAATGATTTTATAAATTTTTATTAAATATTGCAATATTACCCTTCCCCTTTTTGGTTTTATTTTTCACTTAAAGTTATTTTTTTAATTTTAAGTTTTTTAAACCAATATTATCTAAAAAATATTTGAATAAAGCGACATCTATGACATTATTGGAAAAACCTTGATTCCCATTATTAAAATTATCGTTATTTTGACCGATAAATGGATTTCCATTAAATTGAGGAAATACTTGATTTCGGCTGCCGTTGATGTAGTTTCCTTGGTTTTCATTATTCCCTTGAATAAAAGGAGGAAATCCTTGGTTTGGATTACCATTGTTGGAGTTTCCATTATTTCCTTGGTTGTTGGTTCCATTGAATGGAGGAAATCCCTGATTTTGGTTGCCATTGTTATAGTTTCCTTGATTTCCATTATTTACTTGATTATAAGGAGGAAATCCTTGATTTTGGTTGCCATTGTGATAGTTTCCATTATTTTGAGGTGGTGGATGAGGTCTATGGTGATGTGGAGGACCACCATGATATGGTGGAGGTCTAGGATGAGGACCTCCTTGAAATTGAGGCCCCCCTACATTAAATGGAGGCTGACCTCCATTTTGCACAGTGATGCCAATAGAGAAGCCTGGAGAGTTTGCAGCAGCTGATAACAGCATTTGAGCATTTTGAGCTATATTTCCAGCTATGTTTTGAGCTAAATTTCCGAGAATACTCCTATTACGAAGCAATTTTGGGCTTCTTTTGAATATTCTTTGTTCGACAGTATCTGCACTTAGACATCCTAAAATAGAAATAAAATAGTGTTGAGTCAATTCGTAATAATCGTAGCTTAATCTGTGTAAACATTATAAGTTATAATTTTTAACAGTAAAATAGTACTCAAATTATTGATTTGTTTAAGTAATATGGTTCAAATGAGTATTTAGCATATACAGTAAATAAACATACCTTTATCATTGACTAAAATCCCAAATAACAACAAAAATGCGCTGATATTCATGTTGTTTAGCGATGATGTTGTTCGTGGACTATAGTCACAATGCCATTTTCTTTAAATGGCTCAAATTAAAATTTTTAATATATCATTTAATAACAGAACATTGACACGTTTCGATAAACGCCATTTTAATCACGAATTTAATTTAGGCACGAACCAGCTTGCGAGCGAGTGTTTAATTAAATGAGTTCTTAGAAAAATTTATAAACGAGATGCACACCTAAAATTATCTAAAAAATTAAATATTTGTATGAAGCGACATCTACTCGAAAATAAAGTAACCATCCCAATAAACATTTTTGACATAATTTTCACCATTACCATTGCCCGTTATTATTTTAATTAAACTTAACAATTATAATTGATACTTTAAAATTTTAAAATAACTTTTTTTATTACTATAATTGCACAATTTTATCACAAAGCATTAAAAATTCTTAAATGGGAAATGTTAAAGGTACAAAAATTGACAGTTTTATTTATTGGAATTCCTGTTAGAATTTTTAACTTGAGAATCTACCGGCGTTAATATCTTAAATTTTTCTGTTTAAATCAAATTTTGTCCCTTGAAAATAGACTAACAATCGACATAGAGGCTGTTTTTCACTGCAAAAGAGAGTTTTATGGGCATTGTACTCAAAATTTGTAACGCTTTATCAGTTAAATCTAGTTAACTGCACTACTACGGCGAAATCGAAAGGTCATTACAAACGTTTGAACGTACGTTCATATAATCTTTTCAAATATTGGAGTCAAAAAAATATTCAATACTTTTGTATTTTTGTATTTTTTACATTTAGTATTATTTTACAAGAAATGCACTTCCTTTTAACGATTTTATGACATTTAAGTTAGCTGACAGTTGTCAAATGATTTGACAACTGTCAGCTAACTTAAAACTTACTTTAGCCCGTGACTAAAAACCTGTTGCTAACTTCAGCCCGTGACTAAAGCTGACAGCTTGTCAATGTGTATTTAAAAGGTCACTTAGTGTCATGGAAACATGTAGGTACAAAACTTTAAACTTTTGAGGTTAACTTAACAACATACATAATTACTTAATATAAGTAATAAATCTCAAATATTTTTCTAAAAATGCTGCTTGTGGAAGAATTTAAAAAATGAGATTATTAAGTTATTTAAATTATTTTATAATATGCTTTTAATTATTTTGTCTACACGAAGTAATATTTTAATAATGAAAAATTTGGGTCAAAAACCTTAGTTTGTAGTATAATCAAAACTAATTAAATGTATATTTTTTAAAACCTATAAATATTAACCCAATAAGTTTCAAAATATACAATTCAAAATGTACGCAGTCGTGCTAGGTTTACTTTTGCTCCAAACGTCTCTGGGTAGGTGTTAAAAAAAACAATTTTTTTTCACTGTAAATTATTATTTTTAGTACTTGGTGCCCCACAAGAGCAGGAACAGAAAACTTTTACTCTGGCTTGGTACAACCCTTCTAGATGGATTGAATACTACCCCGTACAAAACCCAGACAAATTAGACGCCATTTTCGATGTCTTGCAGTGTATTGTGAACAACGAAAAACCCAATATGTGTGAAGACACTGTTAAAAATTACCAACCGCTATTTCCCAAGAACAATTCTACTGAAAATAATGTCAAACACTAAATAAAACGTTTTGTAGATTTAGAAATGTAAAATTTATTTGAATAAATAATATATAATTATGACATTTGGATGTTTTAAATTTATACTCCTAGACTTACAAATCCAGTAAACAATTAAATTAATAAAAATAATAATAATTAAAACAATAATTATTATAGTAACTAAGGCAGATTTCTATATAATATTATCTTATCTTATTAGTTCCTCCCGATATACTCTGTATTCGTCTCGTAAAAAAATACTACCTAATGATAACTTTAAGCAAAAATGAATTCCCATATAGTTGTAGACAACCAAAATTACATATACTTGGTTTTTAAACAAAGTTTTATTAACAACAACATACTTATCGTCTTATTTCATTTTCTTCTAACAAAATTATAGGAAAGTTTCCATCAAAATATCCAGATACGAGGGCCTTATCTTTATCGTCCTGTGTTTCACCTTGGTTAAACTGGTTATTTTGACCAGGTTGGTTATTTCCGTTATTGGAAAAACCTTGATTCCCATTATTAAAATTATTGTTATTTTGACCGATAAATGGATTTCCATTAAATTGAGGAAATCCTTGATTTTGGTTGCCGTTGTTATAGTTTCCTTGGTTTCCATTATTCCCTTGATTGAAAGGAGGAAATCCTTGGTTTGGGTTACCATTGTTGAAGTTTCCATTATTCCCTTGGTTGTTGTTTCCATTGAATGGAGGAAATCCCTGATTTTGGTTGCCATTGTTATAGTTTCCTTGATTTCCATTATTTCCTTGATTATAAGGAGGAAATCCTTGATTTTGGTTGCCATTGTGATAGTTTCCATTATTTTGAGGTGGTGGAGGAGGTCCATGGTGATGTGGAGGACCCCCATGATATGGTGGAGGTCTATGATGAGGAGGACCTTCATGATGCGGGCCCCCTACATTAAATGGAGGCTGAGCTCCATTTTGCACAGTGATGCCAATAGAGAAGCCTGGAGAATTTGCAGCAGCTGATAACAGCATGTGAGCATTTTGAGCTATATTTCCAGCTATGTTTTGAGCTAAATTTCCGAGAATACTCCTATTACGAAGCAATTGTGGGCTTCTTTTGAATATTCTTTGTTCGACAGTATCTGCACCTAGGCATCCTAAAATAGAAATTAAATAGTGTTGAGTCAATTGGTAATAATCGTAGCTTAACCTGTGTAAACACTATAAGTTATAATTTTTAACAGTAAAATAGTACTCAAATTATTGATTTGTTTAAATAATATGGTTAAAATGAGTATTTAGCATATAAAGTAAATAAACATACCTTTATCATTTACTAAAATCCCAAATAACAACACCAATGCACTGATATTCATGTTGTTTGACGATGATGTTGTTCGTGGACTATAGTCACGATGCCATTTTCTATGGTAAATTAAAAAATTTTAATTAATGTTTATTCTTGAGAAACCAGTTTGTTTTTAAATGGCTCAAATTAAAATTTTTAATATATTATTCAATAACAGAACATTGACACGTTTTAACCAAAACTGAAGAGATTTGTTATTGAACTTTTGTATTTTTCGGATTAAAAGGAAGAAATCGATGTTTAACGCGTATTTAATTTTTATTGTGTATAAATAATTTTAGTTACGATTTGTCTAATTAACAAATTTAATTATATGCAATTTGTTTTTATTAAATTACTATATAATTTTTTCCATTAGTATTTGTAGCTACATATTATATTATTTTATATTATATTATATTATATATTCCTATTTAAACAAAAAAGTACAAATAAGAAATCTGTTTAATGTAATGTTTTTTCTAAATATTTACAAAAAAAAAAGGAAAACCAATGAAATTTGATGTAAAAACAATTTTATGACAAACTTACTGTAAATGAAATAAAGTTGAAACTAGGATCCCCTGTGTAATAATATTGTTTGTACAATAATTGTAAAATAATAGCCTTTTAAATGTTCATTTTAAGTAATTATTGGTCATCAAATTGTAAACAAATAATGCATTTAGCGTTAAAATCAACGCAACGACATTAATTATTAATTAGTTAATGTAATTTAATGAAGTAATTATAGACAAAATAGTATTTGGCGTAATTTAGATCCTGACGTCAACCAAATTTAAATTAGTGTATTTTATTATTTGAAATATATTACATGACATTGTGTTTTGATGTTGTTTTCAAATCCTCAAATTAACAAAATATTTTTTATTTTCAAGCATTCTATAATTTAAACTTTATTATTGTTAACACTCACTACTGAAGTGATTAATTATAGCATAGGATGGAAATATTTTTAGGTAAAGTTGGTTACCCCATAGTCTGTATAAAAACCACTTTTCATAATTATTATTATAATTGTATGTTTTATGTATCGATTAACAATGGTATATGATGTATCAAGTTTTATAAACGCCATTTTAGTCACGAATTTAATTTAGGCACGAGCCAGCTTGCGAGCGAGTGCTTAATTAAATGAGTGCCTAGAAAAGTTTATAAACGAGTTGCACACCTAATATTATCTAAAAAATGATTTAAATTAAATATTTGTGTAAAGCGACATCTATACGAAAATAAAGTTACCATCCCAACAAACATTTTTGACGTAATTTTCACCATTAACATTGCCCGTTATTATTTTAATTAAACTACACAATTATTGATATATCAATACCTACTTTAAAATATTAAAATCAAAATATGAATATATTAAGAAAATATTTTATCCTTAGGTACAAAAAGTGACAGTTGTATTTATTGGAATTCCCACTAGAATTTCTAACTTGGGAATCTACCGGCATTATAAAATCTCAAAATTTTCTTTGTAAATCAAAATAGACTAACAATCGATATGTAAGCAGTTTTTCACAGTTAAAGAGAACTTCTCAGCCTTAAGGCTTGAACTTTATGTAATAATTATTAGATAAACTTCAAGAAATATGACAAACATTTAGTGTTTTTGCATTTTTCATATTTGGCCAATAGTTTGTGGTTAAACTCAAACTCAGTCTACATGCATACACTAAAAAAGTTATTAAGGTGCCTTAACTAATATTTTAAGGTAAAACAAAATATCAAAGGGCAAATCTAAAATAGAAGCCCTTTTTATATTAGCTATTTGATGGGTTTTGTAAATTTCTTATTTCCTTGAAAATTAATTATCCTTGTCTTTAATCTAAAAAAAGTTTCTTAACAAAGCGTAAAAAAAATTCTGACAGAGTTAAAAATTATCTTTTTTAGTAGAACAAAAACTTACTTCCTTAATTTTTTATTTAAGTAATCCTTACGACCTTATATTATTTACGAGAAGTTTGCAGATTTTCATTATTTTGATATATTTGATTTCATCATTATTTTTACAATACAAGACTTTTGTTCGGTTACCTTGAGATAAAATTTACCTCCGGTTAGATCATTAAAATCAAGGTGCCCCTCCAAATGATTAACTTGATGAGTCAAAAATATGCTGTATGTTATCGATGAAATGCAATACACAGTACATTGTTTTTTAAATCCTATTTTCCTTATTTTAATAGTCAGAAGTCCAAACACCCTTAACAATAAAAAGTAGAAAGTAAGGTTAGGTAAATCTGACATATCTTAAGTAGTGAGTATTTACAAGGCTTGAAGAAAAACAAATTTATTGCAGCTAATATTTTTTGTTTTTAATATGAATTTTGTGGTCAACCCTCAATTAATTTAAAATGTATTTCAATACTTTAATAAATATTTTTTGCATTAAACAATTTATTCATTTAATATCTACTGTTATTTTGATGTCTCAACCAGACAATATTAAAATTACAATGATAAATTATGCGCTGTTATAGATGTAATTATTTAATTTATGTCTTTAATGTTGAATGCAAATTTCCATATTTCATTATAGGCTTATCACTTATTTCCTTTTCCTTTTAATCACAATTTGGTTTGATAAAAATTTAATTAGCTATGATTTTAGACCCCCCGTTACAATAGTGACCCCACTCTAAGGTCACGCGTCACACTCAGATTTTTTGTAATTTCCTGTTTTTTTATAAATCCTATTAATTTTTTTATTTCTATTGTACTTATTGCACATGTTCTAGAATCTTCGCAAATTTTATGTGGTCAATTAATTTAAAAATTAAGTATAACAAATGCCTATAATTATTAATTTTTTAAAAATATGAAGAAAATATTTGTTAATTTTAACCAGATTTTATGTTAAACCAGGTCCACGTAACTTTAAATTAACAAACTCATGTTAACTAATCTGATTTTTATAGCAGTTGTTTTCAGAAATAATTATTTAGTAAACAACTAATAATTTACTGCTATTTGATGGGCCATTGTTTTATTGATTTAAGACTTGATAATTTTTTATGTTGCATACAATTATCGTTAATGAAATATGATCTTACTGTACTTAAAAAAAAATAAAGAAATATCAGTAATACCGTTAAAGGAAAAAAATTAAAAAACGGTACCGTATTTTGACCTACTTCAACGTAAATTGTAGTGCCTTTTTGTGAATTAACATAATTTAATTGAAACGTGTGATAACACAGGAACAGAACGGGTTGGCAGTAATGGAGATGTACAAGATGAAGCATATATAAAAGGAAATTTCAAGTCATTGGCCAGTCACTTTATAAATCTCATCTTGCTTGTTAGTTTCTTCCTCTACCAATATGCATTGGCGTGTACTTGCAATTTTTACGGCAATCCTACTCACACTTACAGAATACATTGGTAAGTTTAAATTTACTGAACAATTTTACCAATTGTGTTTGGACTACGGGCTTTGAGGAAAAGACTTTAGAGTTTATTATTTTTATTTATATTTGGGAAAAGCTTATTTAGAGAATTAACATGCATCCTTATTTCAGACTGCTTACCCGTTGCAAAGGCAAAGCAGCTAATACCTTCACATCCAGGCCTAATTCCCGTGTACATCCGCCCAGGCGATATACCTTTGGAAGACATTAATCCAGAGTTGGCAGCCGCTTTCGACAGTTACGCTACAAAACATAACCGAATTATTTATGGGAGATCGATAAAAGAATTATCCCATGACGATAAGGACATATCCTTGGTTAATATCGATGACGATGATGATTTAAGTTTGGATAATGAAGATTCGACCACGGCAAAGACTGCTGTTGCAACTTCCAGTGAAAAATCTCAACACATCCAAAAAATTCCTAGGCATTAAATTTTGTAGTTATAAATTATTGTTATTTCGTATTTTATCTTTACTATCTTTTTATTTACCTAAGTTATCTTATGTACATATCGCGCACAATATTTAGTATGATGTGTGCTCTCCTATCATAGACAAGGTATGTAATTTTAATTAATTTAATTCTAATTTAAGTACAACCTAAATTTAATTATACACAACCAAATTATATTAAATATGTAGTAAGATTAAAAATTCAATAAAATATTTTAATTCTTACATTAATACATTATATATCCCAACATATAACGCCCTATAGATAAGGTTCATTTATTGTTTTATCTATTACTATAACTAATCCTAATAACGAATTACAAATTTGTGTGCGCATCTGGTTATATTAAATGATTAGTACCTAAAGTACTTAAAATACATAGTTGGAAGTCAAAATATTTTTTTTTTAATTTTAACTAAATATAAACTTTTTAAAGTAAATTTATTTAGGATAATTTTCATTCCACAAATCCAATTTGTTATCACAAATATAGATAAACCTTTTGGGTTGGGCAAAGGTATATTTATTTAACTAAATAATCATTTAATTATTTGTTAAGTATAGAAATGACTCACCTTTAGGTTGATCGTGACATATAAAAACTATATAAAAATTAATTATTTATAATAAAATATTTATTTTTAGATGAGTGACTACAGTATATGTATTTTCGCGGCCATTTTACTAATATCCTGTGTTCATTGTCTTAAATCAAATACTACAAGCTCGGTTATAGCCGATCAATTAAGAAACTGCTATAACGATACCGCCATACCCGGAACACTAACCCCAAAAACAAGATCAGCCGCAACTTTAAATTTTTTCCTGGATGTGTTGAGAGAGCTTGAGGATATTAACAAAAACACCAAGGATGGATACTACATTTCGTCTGATATAATAAAAAGGTACTACTTTCAACTTTTATTAAGGACCCACTGGAAATTTCTGGAAACATTTCAACTGGAAATTTCCGGTTGATTCATAAATTTGAAGGTTTTTTTTACCAAAATTGATGTTAAAGGTTCCGTCAAGATGGAATAGTGTATACAGGATCAGGCATCGGTATCCCATATACTGCAAATTATAACGACAAGAATTCCGTACTTCAAAAAAAAACTTTGGATACAACGGAGAGAACTTTATTACTCACTGGCTTAACCCAAAAGGAACAAGTAAGCATTTCAAAATCATCTTGTGTAATAGTGAATTATGCATAACTTATTTCTAGTGTACCCTCCATTTCCTTATTTCCACAACATCGAATGGAACTCTTCGAGGAGACGAATCCTCGACTTGTGGAAGATCTTCCAGGTACACCTCCAGGTTTGTGAGGCAAGCTGAGTTGCTTTACGTTGATAAGGAATCAAGTAGCTGCCCTTACCAATTAGGGGTGGTGGCAAATAAATGGGGTGCTGTGAGTGTCGGAAGCTTGCTGTCAGGAATCGCGGCTGGTTTTAAGAACCAAGAAGTTCCAGAACTAGGAAATTCGTTATACGCGAATACTCTGTCAGGAGATTTGGCCGAGACATGCTTGTATAACTCAAAGGAAATGAAAGGGAATGAGTATGTGGTTGGGTCCACTGAAGGTTGGGATAATACACTGAGCCCCAAAATACTCTACAACAACGCCAAATCCTCTAAAATCACCGAATTTTCTTTAACAAACTCAAGAATACGCGGCTCTTTGGACGGATTTTATCTGGGCTCCAACATTCCCAACTGGAGAAACAAATACAGCGACATCAAAATATCGCAAATTGTTGACATGTACTACTCGCCCAGGGGTGTCTTTAACAACTCCATCAGAGCTTGTAATAGAAAAATACTGGAAACTTCATATGTAAGTACTGGTGTGTTGACGAACGAAACAGCTTTAGCATTGGTCAAATTGAATAGCAAAATCGGAGCTGGGTCAATCACCTTGGAAGAATTCACTGCAGTTGCTGCCAACCAAATCAGCAAGTTCAATTCATATGTTGGTAAGAAGTTTTTACACTTGAATTATAAACAAATATTAGAAATATTCCCCAACACCAAAACAGAAGCCAACCCAATAAACAATTTGTACTACTTCTGGTAACGATAAATTATATAAAGGTTATATAAGGTTTGTCAAATTATATAATAGTAGGGTTTTATAAAATCACCATTTAATTTACTAGTTTTATAATGGTCATATAAGGTTACTGTAAACTCTAGGTATATAATTTTGTTATTTAATTGTTTCTACAAACATTTTATATAACCTATAGTAACCGTTACCGGTGGGTTTATAAAAGAGTTTTATAAAGTTTGCGGTTACCAGTTTTATAAAACTATTGTTTTAATTTTTTTTAATAAAAATTTGTGTTATTAATTATTTATGTGCTTAATAAACCAAAAACGTTTAGTAAATGAAACAGAAATTAAGCATAGTATAAATTTTAATTAAAAATTGGTAGAAAAGAAAATATTAAGCATATGATATATGTATACATAAGTAATATAATATTTATAACATAAAGTGGATTAAATCGAATGTTTAGTAAAATAAATTGATTCCATTGCGTTAACACTATTAATACTGCAGGCAAAAATGGCAAACCTAACAACACTAGTTTGGAGCGGTTAGATGGTTGCCTATCAAAAGTTTTATAACATAACTTGTAGTAACGACAGTTACTACAATGTATATAAAAGTTTCAAAATTATATAATAACACTTGAAGTAACTTAACTTAACTATAAAACCTTGGGTTATATAAAATTACCATGTACCAGGTATTTTGATGTCTCCTGCTGTTTTTCGAAGTAATACAAAATTTTAGATTTAAATTATATACCATTAATATTTTTGCCATACTTGGCTTCTCAAAATTTTCACGTGGTTTAAACAAGCTAATGAATAAGATGATACTAAGAAAGATAGCGTACCTTTGAAGAAATATATACTTTAAATGTGCCTGAGGGAGTAGTCTTTAGGAAGTTATATAGTGGTTTCCATAATATTCCTGTCATCTCTAGTTATAAAACTTGTGTTTTATAGTGTTACTAAAAGGTAACGGTAACCTTCATAAACTCCCCAATGAAGCTCTTTAAGGGGTATATAAGAGTGATATAAATATTACTGTAAACAAATTAAGAAATTTTGGTTTTATAATTTTGATGATATAACATTTATGGCAACCAGTATAAAGACAAAAATGTTTATTGATAAGTGTAACTGTTAGTTACACTGGGCTTCCAAAGATGCCAACATCGTTGGCGAAAAGTACTTTAAGCGCTTTGTGTTTTGTTTTGGTGTTGGGGAATATTTCTAATATAACATATCACCAATGTTGTCCTCTTCAAGTAGTAAAATTATAGTTAGGCTTTATTTTTTTATCCTAACATAAATTTCGCAGTTCTTTTGTGTAGCTTGGAGATTGTGCTTAATGATCCTTAATCGGTTTAAATATGTAGTATAATAATGCCGTTCGGCGTACATAGATTTGTTTAAACCCCCTTATAAAAGATCCTTTCAGTGAAAGGCTTTCGCTGCTTTAAACTAAACTCCTCGGTTCGCTATTATGCAAAATACGTTTTTGCTAAAAAGGGAAAATTAAAAGTAAATATTATACTTGATTATTTATAATAATATTTAATTAAAATAAAATGGAAACGATATTTTTTTAGCTTCCCTTTCTGACGTAAGCTGCGATGAAAACGATTTGCCTCTGCAAGAAACAGCTACGGATATTTTAATATACATCGATACGAAGTGGACTTACAAGACGGCTGAAGCTGTTGTGACGTAAGACCGAAATATTCTATATTTTATATTTTTGCAATTTATTACTTTTCAGTTACATTCTCGACAATATTGACGTGAACAAATACAATTCTAACTATACTTTAATAAATGGAAACACAGGGCAAGTGATTATCAACTCAACATACCGTCTAAGTCACTTGTATGAGTATTACAATGCATCATTACATGACAGTAAGATCCTTATTTGAGTGTTGTTGTTTTTTTAATAATCAATATTGTTGTTGTAGATAGCGCGTCCGCCTTCGATTTTAACACAGCTGTGAACTCAGCGGAACACCTCCTTTCAAACAAAGTTACAACGAGAAATATTGGAGGTAGATCCACTGTAATCTTGTTTATTCCGAATTCAGTACCGACGGCATCGGAAAAGTCCTTTATCTCACAAAGGAAGCAGATTTTATCCAACACTCTGTCCAGTAAGTATTATCGATTAGGTTTTGATAAACACTGACCAAAATAAATATTTTAGGTGTACAGTTTTTGGTTCTTGGTGCTGGAGCTGAAAGCGATTACACCGACATTTTATCAAACCCTTCCAAACAATTTGCACAACTTTATAACTTTGACGATTCAAATTCGGAGTCCATCAAAACAAACGTGAACAAAATCGTCGATGTTATTTTGAACACACCTAGAGAAATAGTTAATACTAATTGCCCAACATCGGGAAACAACATATACGCAGCCCCAGTGTACAACGTGCCATCGCAAGGAGTCAGTTATTTCCGTTTGTCGCCACTATTTTTCTATAGAGGAGATTCATCCAAAAAACTCAAAATTAGAGAAATGGGAACAGGGAGGCTCTATGTTTGCTCTTCAATGAGCAATGATAAGCCCAGCAATGCCACAGACAGTTGCACGATTTTGTCGAGCAATGAAACATATTATGACTTGAGCTCATATTGTTCAGGATCATATGAATCATGTTCATCCCTTTATTTGTCTGTTGAAGGATGGGAAGCAAGGACTATGTGCAAAGGTAAACAATAGGTTATAGAATAAATTAAAAAAACTAAATTTTTTTTTTTTAGAATGCCGGTTTCCAGATAGCATTAAATACCAAATCACATTGGAAAATGTTGGTTGTGGAGCCAGTAGTAGCGTTGCACTTGCTGCAAGCCTTTTCTTAGTTCTTTTATCATTGTACAATGTCTTTATTTCGCTTTAGATTTTAACTATTTATAACGCAAAGTGTACTTTATATTGCCAATTATTTAATAATTAGTATAGGATTTTTATTGAATAAATATTTCTTACATTATGACATATTGTTTTAGTGCGCATTCAATATAAAATGATATTATATTTGGCCATTTTATATTATTCTAGTGCATTGTGCACGGACATAGCTAACAAATGTAGTTTTTTTATATTATGGAATGTATACTACCATCACATACGAGCGAAATCAGGGTTGCCTATACAATATTTGATTAGTTTCAAAAATGGCGAAGGCTCCGGGTATAATTACATTAAAACTTTATTAATAAAAACTTAACATAATTTAATTTGGAAAACAAAGAGATCAAATCTTATTGATAAAGGCTATTAATATGAACAAAGTAGGGTGTCACATAATATGCTGTTTATGGAGGTAGCATCTAATGGCAATGTATGTCTAATATGCAAATTTCAGGCTTTCATTAAATAGAGTACGGAAGGGTTGAAACAACTTTAATACATAACTTTTAGGTACTGAGGCAATATTCACTCATATTTAAATAGAACAAGATGGGAGAATATTTTTACAAAGAATTACACGTAAATAAACAAATTTACCCATTACTGGTAACGACAGTTAACTTAGAACAAACTAAAAATTGTTATTGCAGAAAAATAATGTAACATAATACTATTATTAATGTTTTACCTCCTAAATTAGGGCGTATGTATATAAGACTGGGTTATCATTTATATCTATAAACCTATAATAAAATAAACAAAAGATAAGATAAACTAATAAGTTAATATTATAGTTATTAGACTGCCAGAGTGTTAAAAATGAAATTTTTAATATTTCTCGTTGTGCTAGGTAATTGTCGATGATTTTTAAAAGGGTAATAATTTTCTAAATTGGAATTTCAGTTTGCTTCGATGAAAATGTTAAAGGTGAAATATCAACGACTCTGCCAGAGTTATTACGTCGATGCTACGAAAGCGGATACAATAATGTTGCCAATCCGCCATTATCCATACCGGTACTAATTGAATTAATTAGGAAAATTGAGATGGATTCAAAAAATACATTTAATTTGCGTCTATTATCATCTGCTTTATTGCATGGGTAAGCTATGCCAAATATGTCAAAATCATTGAGATTACAATCTGGGTTATATTTACACTAAAAGAGTAAACAATATTTTTCCATTTATAATATAAATACAGGGTGTTTTAAAATTTGCTGTGATTGGTTTAATGCTTTCTACAGAGGTCATTTTCTATAGAATATTGGCAAATTTTAAGGATATTACAAAATATTGTTCATCACATTTTAGGGTACAGTTGGACGGAATAAGAAAACAAAATGCTATCAAAGATTATATTCAATATGCAGCGACAGGACCACAATTTTACAAATACAAACTTGTAACGCAATATTTAACGTCTATGACAGAATTTTACAATGATACACTTTCCACTGATGAATTATGTTTTTTGCATAAAATGATCTCCAACTCAATTGACCCCACAGAAGTTGATCCAACGTGTAGTTTTCAAGCTACAATGCCTTTGTATGTATGATTTACGTTTTAAATTTGTGTGTTATTGACTTTACAATCTATATGCAATCTGTAAAAATATCTAATAGAAATTATAAAAACATTTTTGTTCTCAAGGCTTTCAGGAAGATAAATTAATATGCTGCGTATATATATATATATATATATATATATATATATATATATATATATATATATTTATATATATGTTACGGCTAATGTGCAAACTTGGATAGTTTATAAACTAGCTGGATAGTTTATAAACTAGCCAAACTGTCAGCTATTTTAATTGAAAACATATTTTCAACTAAATTAGCGGCTAATTTACAAAATAATCAAGGATCTTGGCTAATTTACTTGAAATTATTAGGGAAACTAAAATAGCTGGATAGTTTGTATACTATCCAATTCAGTTTGGCTAATATGAAAACCAAAATTTCTAGTAACACAAAATAGCCAAGCTTTAGCTAGTTTGTAAAGTAACCAACCAATTCTCTGGCTAATTTATTAAAAAAGTGAGCTTACGGCATTGTTTTTCGTTTTGCCGGCTTAACCGGATTTGTTTTGTGCATTTTAACGTTTTTAAAATGAATCATAGGCTAAATTTTAACGCTTCCTTGTTAGAAAAGTCAACAACACAACCCAACCGACCCCGCCCCATTGGGCCCCCCCGCCCCATTGAGCAAAAAACCCAACTAAAATGGGCAATAGCCAGAGAATTAGTTGGTTAGTTTACAAACTAGCTTAAGCTTGGCCATTTTGTGTTACTAGAAATTTTGGTTTTCATATTAGCCAAATTGAATTGGATAGTATACAAACTATCCAGCTATTTTAGTTTCCCTAATAATTTCCAGTAAATTAGCCAAGATCCTTGGTTATTTTGTAAACTAGCCGCTAATTTAGTTGAAAATATGATTTCAATTAAAATAGCTGACAGTTTGGCTAGTTTATAAACTATCCAAGTTTGCACATTAGCCATAACATATATATATATATATATATATATATATATACAGTGTGACCCATTTGTTTGCGACTCACCCCTGTAAAATATTTATTTATTGTGCGATTTTAACCGGATTTGTTTTAAAGTGTAGATCTTGATAAACTGTATTTTTGGAGCAAACGACGCCATATTAATACAAAATACAAGGCCTACTATGTCAGTTTTTAAGAATAAATTTTTAAGAATTCATATTAGCGATTTTTTTAAACAAATATAAGCACGGCACTGGATTCACCACCCCTCAAAACTATCCTAGACTAAATTTTAAGAAAAAAAATGCACAAAAATAACTACATAAATTTATTTTGTCAAGTTGTCCATGAAAAAAACATTGAAATAAAATTAAACTAATATTAACATGGTACTATTACTATAAGTTTAATTTTATTTCGAGGTTGTTTCATGGATAACTTGACAAAATAAATTTTTGTAGTTATTATTCTGCATTTTTTTTCTTAAAATTTTTCAATAAAATTTAGTATAGGGTAGTTTTGAGGGGTGGTGAATCCAGTGCCGTGCTTAGATTTTGTTTTAAAAAAATCGCTAATATGAATTCTTAAAAATTTACTCTTAAAAACTGACATAGTAGGCCTTGTATTTTGTAAAAATATGGCGTTTTTTACTTCAAAAATACAGTTTATCAAGATCTACAGTTTAAAACAAATCCGGTTAAAATCGCACATTAAATAAAGTTTACAGGGGTGAGTCGCAAACAAATGGGTCAGACTGTATATATTAGGGTGATTCATTTCCGCAAAGTTTTTGTTTTTTTTCGGTGCTCAAGCAAAATATTAATCTACCTATAGAAAAAAAAAATTTCACCAAGGTAGAGCTCTTAATATCAATTTTAAGTACTTGCAGTTTAAATTTAATGTTTTCCCATTTAAAATGCATGTAAAAAAAATGGTTTTTTTTTCAAATTTCTAATGCTTACCCACCTTTGACAATATTGCAAATCGGTTTAATACACCTTATGGGGAATTTCACGCAAAATTGCTTTTGAGTTTTTTTTTTAACTCGCATTGGTTCACCAGTAGGAGTCGTCAAAGGACAGTTTTTGAAAAAAATCTTTTTCAAAATATATCCCTTATGGTCTAGTGATCTTACTCTTAATAGTAAGAGGTCATACGTAGATAGGCTTATTAATTTAAAATAATTATGTATTTGATAAACTATAAGAAAACCATTTGAAAAAATGAATATTAATATATTGTAAGTAAAAAACTTATTTTAGAGAATTTCATGAGTCCAGTGATACCACAATAAATTGTCAATATAAAATGGGTACGGTAAAATCAAATTGGGGTCCAATATCCCCCGGCCAACTTATAATAGGTATAGCCTCGGCCATGGAGCAATCCGATGTCTCGTTCCAGCAGCTTCGTAAAGTTTTTCTCTTCAAAATGAAAACTTTGGGTTCGACGTCGGATAAAATTAGTTTGTGGTCATCGACGATTGCCGGCGATCTCGCAATGGTGATTCTTAGCCAGATGAGCCTCAATTTGGAGATCGGTGATGAGGGTTTTTGGAATGACACCGCCTTACCCAGGCGGTATTATTTGAATTCTGTGGCGAATTTAACCGAAGGCGACATCCTTGGGGGAATCGATGGTAAATAAATGCGTTGTTCCAGTTATATTCTGAAAAGTTTAGATATTCTTTGAAAACTAAATTAAATATTCATTAAGAACACTACTTCAGTACGAAGTTTGAATTTTAAACGATGGCTTCTTGCTCCAAAGCCACAGTGTCCTTATTTGTTTGTTCATCATCTTTTAGAATTCCAAAACATTTCCTGAATTTTAAAATGCTTTAAATGACCTTTTAGGTGTACACGTTATTAACAAGGTTTGTACAACTTTTTAGCCACCATTATTGCTTTAAACATACAGAAATGGGTTAAGCAAATCAATTCTTTAAGATTGTCACAAGTTATTGACATGTATTACTCTACCAGAGGGGTTACTTTTGATAACACAATACATTCTGGAAACCGAGCTAGCACAATCAATTTTTTAAGACAATCTGTTAATCTTGAAAATCAGGTATTAAAAAAAACAAAAAAAATATTATTTTTGATTATATAAATTTATGTAGGTACTTGAAACGGCCAAATTACTTATACAAATGGGCTTTCAACCAAATGGATCACCCAATGAAGATGACTTAGTTAAGTTAGCCCAAGCAGCAGTGGAAACATTTACAAAAAAGTCAGATGATATATTGAGGAAGTATGATAACATAGAGCCTATAACAAATAACGAAGTTAAATCTGCAGTAGAGTTAATTGTAATTTTAGACAACTCCTATGATTCGTATACGTCACAAAGATTTTTAAGGTACTATCAACTGTTTATGACTAAAAAAGTCAATAATCTTTATTTATTTTTAGTATGCTCTCAGAGAGTCTTCAAATATCATATTATGGAAGTCAAATGGGCATTATAAACGGAGAAACAGGTTCTTGGATTTCAAATGTTACAACTGAAATATATGGTCTTTTTCAAGGGATAGGGGAAAATTTATATAAGTGTAAGTTTTTTAACTGATTCTAAACTCAGTCACACACGGTGGTGGCCAAAAGTATAAAACAAAGTGGCTAAAGACAAGTCCATCGTTCTGATTGGCCAAATTGATCATGTGCTATCATCGTTATTCCTGAGAATTTTGAAAAAAAGTAAATTTTACATGTTTATCCAATTTCTTCGCTACCTACCATATTTTGAGTTACCATCACCATCATGTGTCATATTGAAATTTTATATGGTTAGGTAGCCATAGAAAAAACAAAAGATGGTGGTGGTAGCTCAAGATCTTGTAAACAAAAATAATGTGAAAATTAATTTTTATCAAATTTCCAGGAATAATGAAGATATACAAGTTTAGGTTTTGACAAGTTTTTAATTTTGTTTTGTATAAGTGAACCTCACGAAATGTCCCCCGATGGTGTTACCCCGTGATATTTAATAAAACTAAATGAGTTTGAACTACACTTTTATTGGGTTTTGATCTTACAGCTCAGGTTCTAGATTTTTAACCGCAATTAATTATTTTTTACAATGTTTTAAAAGTCTAAAACCTATCCTCCGTGACTGTTACTCTTTCTAGGTTAACCTATATGTTTTCAAATATCTGAGGTAGTAAAAGCATACTAAAAATATCAGTTCACTAAGTAAATTAAACACATACAAAGCAATCTAATCTAATCTTTATGTATGTGTTACAAAAATTGATTCTATCCTCCGTGAATCTGTTTTTGCTTTAAATTTTATGGCGCTTTAATCATTTTAAATAAGCAAAAACCTCTGTTTACATTATAGATGCATGTGATTTCTGAAGGTCAGTTAAAATTTATATGCAGAGAGTGTTGCTGTTTTATAATTCCAAAGTTTAATTGACTAATTTTCTATTTAAAAATCTATCCTCCGTGAAGTGTAATATCTCAGTAAGTAGATTTTTTTATAAATATTTTATGTATGTTCAAGTGTATTTTAAAAAAATATTAAGGTGTCAATAACTTATTTCAAATATACAAAGAGATGTTTAAAAAAAACATACAAAATCCTAACCTCCGTGAAGCTCTAATATTCAAAATGTATGATTTCTTAAAATTCTTGCATTAGAGCAGAACCACTTATGTTATGTTATTACTATACCCCATCCTAGACTAACAGTGAAACAACCAAAAATAAAAATGCTCAATTTGACCAATCAGAACGATTTTTGATTTCGACAGTTTTTAATTATTTGAGATACGCTTATTGTTTTTCCAATTTTTAAATGCCAACTTAATATACTTGTAACTTTTCTCTAATTAACCGACCTTGTATCTCTTAAACAAATTAAAAAGATACCCATACATAGAAGGATACTTGGTGCACCCTGTATATTTAACTAATTTTAATCAAATGAAATAAATATTTACAATTTTTGTGTTTCTTTTTGTAAATCATATTATTTCATAAAAAAAGTCTGAATTAATATTTTTAAAATCATGCTTTAAAGAAACGACTAAAAAAGCTATTTTACCTGTTGTTACAACATAGGAACAAAATATGTTCCCTGTCAAAACTTTTAGGCGGGCAGTTGTCTGACTTGTCCCATTATATGGCATGACCCTTATGGTATAAAGATGCGTTCCTTTTATGGCATGATTAATGATTGAAAAGGTTTTTATAATGAGAATGAAACATTATCTACCTGTTAAAAGCGTTGACCCTCCAATTGCTTTTAAGGATTTTTAATTTTTACCTGTGCTATCTACCTGATAGATTTAATGAATTTTACGAACGGTCTGGTCCATGATATTTTTTAGGGCCGTCTCGACTGGATTTGAATAAGAGCTTGAAAACTGCAATACGATTTTATCAAAATAAAACAAATGCGAATTGCACGGCAGGCGCAAAACCAATGGCAAAATCGATAATAATCCTAAGTAAAGATGGTAGAATAACTGATGTGGATAAATCCGAGGCCCAATTTTCCATAAAAGCAATAAAAGATGCATATCCTGAGTGCAATTTAATCTACGTTACACCAGACGAAAATGGGTTTTTCAGGGAATTGTCAACGATATACAAAAATGATTCCGTCGTAGACCTGTCAAGCGACATATCAGCCCTAGTCAACGAATTATTCAACAAGCTCAACAACGTCCCAGCAAGCATTGTTAATTTTTACTGCAACCAAATTAGCGTCAGATTTGAGGACTTTATCACACCCGCAGTCGAATCATTTTACGAAATTCACGAAGAATATATTAAACGACGGCAGTTTGTCACCAAGGTACGAATAACAACGAGTTTGCGAAACTTTCAAGCCTCATCTTTATTCCTAAGACAACCTACTATGTCTATGTCATACTTATTCCGCCGTTAAAATAATCATTTATTCAGAATCATGTAGTAAATGCTCACTACAATTACCATATGGGGCAACACAAATATAAAATGTCTTATTCTTATTTTTTTTAGTTTACAAACTACGATCTAGGAAGTCTGCATATATGCTATACAGGATCAAGTCCAGTAAAAACATGTCGATCATTAAAGCTAGACGAAGAGGTTGTGTACAGCTCTTCTGATATATGCCCCGAAGATACATCGTGTAATATACATTTTTTTCTGTATGCCAACTCATCTACAAACAAATGTACAGGTAATATTATTCGAATATCTCCTTACCTGTTCAAATATTGACTTATTGTTTACATAAAAACATATATACGGATGATGTAATCACAAATTAATAGGAATTTGTTTGTAATTACAAATTTTCGGAACGTTTAGCAGATCTGTAGGACGTAGATGAATAAAATAATTCTTGACCTTTTCAATTATATCGTCGTATAGAGGTTTTGCCTTTTATGGAATTACATAATGAGTAAATAATCGTTTTGTTTTTACAGGTAATGAATGCAGATACCCGGACCAAGTGAGAGTTGGGATAAGTATGTATTCGGGAGCTGCGTGGAAGGGCGCCATTATGTTGTTAGTTATTATTAGTACCATTATTAATATTATTTAATTATAAAAATAAACTAAGTGTTAATTAATATTTTTTTGTATGGATTCGTGCCCAGTAATGTGATACGATTCCAATAAAATGGTAGATAAATTGAATACGTTACCAGGTTTCAGTTTGCAGTAGTGTGGAGCTGTTTCTAACTCCGGTAACCTAGCTTTATGATGTCAAAAATACTCATACAGCTAGATAACCAAAGAAAACATCAGCTCCAATATGTGATAAAAGCACGATCGACACAGACACGTGATAAATCCATGTTAGCACAACCGGCACAATCTTTGAAAATAATTTTGGGAGAGATGGTACTGAATTAGCAATCGCACGAGAAGAACTGACAATGCAAGAGTATCTTACCAAGTGGGACATTTTGCTTTCCCCAACGTCGCTGAGTAGTCCGACAGAATTCGAAGTTAATCGTTGGGAAACCTGTTTCAAAAGCCCAGCCTCAAATCAGCTTGGCCTGTTATTCACCGCGTTGCCAAACTTTCTACTCTCAAGGCTCAAGGTATAACGCGCGTACACAATTACAATACCATTTGATTTGGTACTATGAATATCGAAGACATCCCTTCTCGACGACCGCTGAACCACAACTGATCAAGATCAACTTTTGGTTCTTCGTTGCCCATGCTAGCCCATTAGTGACGTCATCGCTACCTGCACCGAAATTATTGTTCTAGCGGAGCGCCGAAGGTGCGAAGCCCGAATCAATGGAATCAATAGAAATCGATGGGTACCTCAAAAATAACACAAATTTAAACCCGATGAAAACAAATTTAATTACAAACTCTGTTGTCTTCATAAAATAATAAAAGTAAAATATTCATAACTTAGTAAGAGAAAATAGTGCACCATGCGAAATAAGAAATTAATGAAATTTGATATGAATTCTTAGTAAACATCTAGGAATGGATAAATTAATAAAAACCAATAAAACAACTAAAAATTTTCCAAACCATTCAATATTGTTTCCACTTCCACCTTTAAAACACCTATTATCTTACATATTTCCATGTCAGTTGTCAAATGTCATACAATTGTCAAAATAAAGTCCTCTAAATGTCCCTCTCTTCACTTTCACTGTGAAAAACTGCTTCTATATCGGATTTAAACGGTTGTTGGTCCATTTTCGATTTTACTGAAAGTTTCGATTTTACTGAAAAATTTCATAAACTAACGCTGCCATTTTGAAGGCAGGTAAAACAGATTCCTGGTACCAATTTTGTTTATTTTTGTATATACACTATTGGACAAAAGTAAAGCAACAACTGTATAAAAAATCTAACCCCAAAACGCCTTTATTAATCTTTAAGAAATTTTGGATAAAAATACTTGAACTTAAATCTCAGTTTACGTGTTTGAGGGTTTTTAAAAAAATATTTTTAAAGCCCATTTTTTTAATATTAAAAAAACCTTCGAAAAATAATTTTTACGGAAATATTTTTTCAAGTAAATAAAAAATATACTGTTAAATACCGTATTTTTGTTAGTATACCCTGAAAATTTTGTACAAATCAAATGAACAGTAACGAAGATACAGCGATTCAAAGTCGTCAAAAATGACCACTTTTCAGCAAAATAATCAAAAAAGGGTCATTTTTACCGACTTTGAAGCGCTGTATCTTCGTTACTGTTCATTTGATTTGTACAAAATTTTTAGAGTATACTAACAAAAATACGGTCATTAACAGAATATTTTTTATTTACTTGAAAAAAAATTTCCGTAAAAGTTATTTTTCGAACGTTTTTTTAATATTAAAAAAATCCACGTAAACTGAGATTTAAGTTCAAGTATTTTTATCCAAAATTTCTTAAAGAATAATAAAGGCGTTTTGGAGTTGGATTTTTTATACAGTTGTTGCTTTACTTTTGTCCAATAGTGTATGTCGTATATTTATAGACACTCCTTTTATTAAACACTCGCTCGCAGATCAAACAAAATTTCCTCAAACCAATAGTTTTCAGAATAATCCTTACAACTCGAGGACTACTAGGTAAAATTTGTATGGGAAGATTTCCACGAGGAACAAATTTTACTATAATCAAAATATACGTAAAATCCATACTTTACGAGATAATCAAGAAAACCAGTTCTTCGTGACCTTTGACCTTTTGTATTTGGCAACGCCGACACGATTTAGCTTGGGACTTTTGAGACATTATGACTAGTGCTCATATTTTTATATTTAAGATAAAATTTCGGTTTTTTTTTCATACGACTTATGGTATGTAAAATTAAAAATTAAGATGAATTTAAATTAATCAACTAAAAATGTTTCCAAACCAATCAATATTTTTTCCACTTTCACCTTTAAAACGCCTATTATCTTACATGTTTCCATGTCAGTTGTCAAATGTCATACAATTGTAAAAATAAAGTCCTCTAAATGTGTCGTTTGTGCTGGCTTTTTGAGTTCTCCAGCAGTAAACGAATATTGTCCGATAAAGCATTACAAGTTTCGGGTGGAGTACCCATAAAACATCCTCTTCACTTTCACTGTGAAAAACTGCTCTTATATCGGATTTAAACGGTTGTTGGTCCATTTCGATTTTACTGAAAAAAACTAACGCTGCCATTTTGAAGGCCGGTAAAACAGATTCCTGGTACCAATTTGGTTTATTTTTGTATATATGTCGTATATTTATAGACACTGCTTTTATTAAACACTCGCTCGCAGATCAAACAAAATTTCCTCAAACCAATAGTTTACAAAATAATCCTTATAACTCGAGGACTACTACTCCTAGGTAACATTTGTATGGGAACATTTTTATAAAGATTTTCACGAGGAGCAAATTTTACTATAATCAAAATATACGTAAAATCCATACTTTACGAGTTAATCGAGAAAACCAGTTCTTCGTGACCTTTGACCTTTTGCATTTGGCAACGCCGACACGATTTCGCTTGGGACTTTTGAGACATTATGACTAGTGCATATTTATATTTAAGATAAAATTTCGGTTTTTTTTTTCATACGACTTATGGTATGTAAAATTAAGAATTAAGATGAATTTAAATTAATCAACTAAAAATGTTTCCAAACCAATAAATATTTTTTCCACTTTCACCTTTAAAACTCCTATTATCTTACATGTTTCCAGGTCAGTTGTCAAATGTCATACAATTGTCAAAATAAAGTCCTCTAAATGTGTCGTTTGTACTGGCTTTTTGAGTTCTCCAGCAGTAAACGAATATTGTCCGATAAAGCATTACAAGTTTCGGGTGGAGTACCCATAAAACATCCTCTTCACTTTCACTGTGAAAAACTGCTTCTATATCGGATTTAAACGGTTGTTGGTCCACTTTCATAGTTTCGATTTTACTGAAAAATTTCATAAACTAACGCTGCCATTTTGAAGGCCGGTAAAACAGATTCCTGGTACCAATTTGGTTTATTTTTGTATATATGTCGTATATTTATAGACACTCCTTTTATTAAACACTCGCTTGCAGATCAAACAAAATTTACTTAAACCAATAGTTTACAAAATAATCCTTATAACTCGAGGACTACTACTAGGTAAAATTTGTATGGGAACATTTTTATAAAGATTTCCACGAGGAACAAATTTTTCTATAATCAAAATATACGTAAATGTCATACAATTGTCAAAATAAAGTCCCCTAAATGTATCGTTTGTACTGACTTTTTAATTTATCCAGTAAACGAGTATTGTCCGATAAAGCATTACATGTTTCGGGTGGAGTACCCATAAAACATCCTCTTCACTTTCACTGTAAAAAACTGCTTCTATATCGGATTTAAACGATTGTTAGTCCATTTTCAAAATTTCGATTTTACTGAAAAATTTCATAAACTAACGATGCCATTTTGAAGGCCGGTAAAACAGATTCCTGGTACCAATTTGGTTTATTTTTGTATATATGTCATATATTTATAGACACTCCTTTTATGAAACACTCGCTTGCAGATCAAACAAAATTTACTTAAACCAATAGTTTACAAAATAATCCTTTTAACTACTATTCCGGTAAATTTTGTATGGGAACATTTTTATAAAGATTTCTACGAGGAACAAATTTTACTATTATCAAAATATACGTAAAATCCATACTTTACGAGATAATCAAGAAAACAAGTTCTCCGTAACTTTTGACCTTTTGTATTTGGCAACGCCGACACCATTTCGCTTGGGAATTTTGAGACATTATGACTAGTACACATATATTTATATTTCATATAAAATTTCGGTTTTTGTTTCGTACGACTAAAAGGCCCTTATGATATGTAAAATTAAGAATGAAGATGAATTTAAAGGCAAGCCAGCAAGCAGGCGAAACGGTGTATCATCGTGTATCGAACGTTGGTAGGATCCAGCGGATAGTCTGATCCAAAGCCGAACGAAGGATATTATTAACATAACCGGTCGGGCCAGTCAAGTTTTCAATCGTACACGACCTCGTTTACCTCCCGCGCTGCCTCTGCTCAACGTTCGGCCATTGTGCGACTGGAATGCGGTTTTCGGCCCGTCGACTAGTCCCGGTCATAAACTAATGTGCCCAATCCAGCAGACTAAACGACCACAAATACCAAACCACACGGTTTTTATTGCGGAAGAACTACTATTAATATCGATTATAAATTTATTAATACCCATCAAATCCCCTATTACTATTATACTATACATCGGTACATTTTCGAAATTTTAAACCAAAAGTTTAAGGCTCGGCTCGGTACTATTTTTGTCAAGTTTAGTTTGTATACTTATACGCTTACTTCAAAATTTCACTTTTTGTGGAATTACCTATATTTCATAAAGTGTATTTTTTATAAGGGCACAAACTCACCTCTGGCTGGTGTGGCTCAAGCGGAATATGCTGTATTCCAAACAACAATTTTGCGTACAGTGCCCATAAAACATTCTCTTCCCTTTTACTGTAAAAAACTGCTTCTATATAGATTTTTAGTCTATTTTCAAGGGACAAATTTGGATTTACACGGAAAAATTTGAGATTTTAACGCCGGTAGATTCCCTAGTTAGAAAT